AGTATATTATACGCTCGAAATAATGATGTGTTGTATGATATGAGGAGAGGCATGTCAGCTGTGACGTGGACAGTGTTAAATCATGTTCAACGTTGGAGACATGTTTCATGATCGCCGACAGACAACTGTTATCACAGTGACTTTGTAACAATCTCACTGCTTTATACATCGTCTATCGTTACTTCAAGGCATGTTGAGGAGGCGTCAACTGTTTGAAGTACATAAACATAATTTGCGGGGTGCGAAACAAGATCCAGGGGAGTTAAGTGTCATTTGTTTATCTTAAGAAACACAAAGAGGTTATGATGTTTGTTATATGGAAAAGAAGGCATAAGAACGAAGTATAAAATGACTCCGTTCCAGTTGTTTAAAAACACACACAGAAGTCTTATATTTGTGATTTGAGGTATACAAATTGATGGTATTGCCAAATTTGAGCATGCAAGAATAAAGCGACAAAACTATTATTTCCATTATCATTAGAATCTAAAAGTCCATTGCACGATTCAGACTTTATCATAAGCATGCGTTTATGAATCACTATGAAATAGTGATGATACAAGATATTGGCAAAAAGATGAGTGTATCTTGCTCAGTCGATGGTACCCGTCCTAAAAGCATGCAAAGGCAAGTCAATTGTTCAACTGAACAAACATTGGAACATGTGGTTCAAATGCATCAAGTTGGTAATATCCACCACACAACTTTACTGGGGTCTTGAATGTTGTATGACGCTCTTTGAGGTCTTCGTAGCAAATGCATGCTCTATTGTACCTCAAAAGTTGTGAAATGTACACGCTAAAGGCTCGAGCTGATGGAACATTCCTCGACACAATTGGAAAATTTACTATTGGAAAGTGGAAGATATCCCTCTTGCAATACTGTCTTGTGAATGTTTAGTCATGTCTGAATCTTTAGTCATACTTTAATAAGACAAGATAGGTATTTCGTTATATTTTGCCAATCCCAAATTCCGATTCATATGCATAAAGAAACAATTCAGCCTACTGTGTGCCTACGCAGTAATCCCCACATTTCACATTGATGCTATCAAAGATAAAGTCCAGCATTTTACCGTTTTCTGAGTGAACTTCTGATGACTATTGCTTATATTTCTGACAAATTGTCCTGAAGCTCTGAAGATAGAGATGTAACTATAACTATAGTCGTCACGTTTGGTAGCAACAGATAATTCCGCAATGAATTTGGAAAATACTCAATTCTGGTTGGTCAATCAGAGGTTTCAAATCACAATATTAACCATCACTGATTAAAACAGCCGATTCAAATGTTATAGCCATGACATCTAAAACCAAGAGTGTACGCTTAAAGTCTACACCTACATGTGTTCCGTAATGTGTTTCTCCTGATATATCTCTTTCTTGAAATGGTAATGCGCATTTTTGTTTGATTCAACAATAATACGAATAATATTTTTGAATTCTAATAACTTCCCATTTACATCACTAGGGTCATGGAGGTTTCATTGGGAGCCCAAGACGAGTTTCCGGACACGGCTAAACAGGTACCGCTGGTTTATCTATTTGTTATTTACTTCATTGTGCAAGACGGAGTTTTTCGAAGTTGAGAAAAGTGATATTTATTTTCTTGCAGTGAACATAACACTTGACATTTCACTACTGTGAACATAACACTCTGACAGAACTATTATCATACAAGAGTTACCTACACTCAAATTGTATCCCTTTATCGTAAGTGTCTGGTCCGTACACACACCGTTGACTTCCTTTTCACGTTAGTTCCAAAGGCAAAATAATGACAGATGGTCATTTATGGAGTTAATATCGCCACGGGCCGTTTGTTATTCTCTTGAAAATGTGCTATTTTTGTTACATTTTTGTATTATTTCGCTTCCAACAGCGGTCTCGTAGTTTTCAAGAATAGTAATATATATATGAACCGTCCCTGTGTGTTAGGTGGTGAGAATTTGCGTTTCAAGCTTTTACTTTTGTAATGAAATAATTTAATTGTAAATTGTAAAATATATTCAAAATATAAAATAAATAGAATAGTCCAAGTGTCCATGAAATATTCTCTATATGTACAGATTGGTTCATGTATAGTCCACACTAGCGTCGTGGTACACTGTATATGGTCACAAATAAACATGTAAAATATAGCGAGTTTTTGATGATGTATTCACGTAAACGCATCATTGTGGTAGAACTATCATTTATGCTATGTGTTTGTGTCACAGAGATGCTTGGATTTCAAATGGAACAACCGTTACCCTCGACCTGAACTGCCAAGGCAGAAGAAAGATGAAATATTCATAATCGATCAGTACAGGGGGCAGGATAACAAGACAAAGCAGGTATGATAGAACAAAGTGCAGAATGAGTTAATAGAGCGGTGATTAGTGTTGAATTTGTGTATAGGAGAAGGTGTGTATGTGTGCCACACAATGTTACATACCTATCGGTGCAATACAGTAACACACGTATATAGGTATGACTAAATGTAGAAAATAAACATCAGACAAGTCATACAAATACCTGGAATAGCCTGAACGGTCATAAATCCCTAACTACTTCACGGTTTGATATGTCAGTGTGTATGAGATATATGGAGAAGCTATTTCCAATATATGTTTTTCATTTCCTGTATGAATAATATGTGTTCATCATCCATTTCTTCTGCCAATAAGGTGTCAATAGATAATGTCTACAGTATTCGTGATTTGGTTGCCAAACTAACTGTTGGCTTGGTGACTGATCTGGACAAAGTAAGAGCAATTTTCACATGGCTGGGAGCACAGAAAGTCCTTACCATGGATTTCAGCAAGTCGAAAATTCATGATACAGTCAAGGGCTATTTGAAAATAGTCCAGCAAGACAGGAGCACCTACACAGAGATCATGGCCATGTTATGTCGGTATGTACTCAGACAGGAACATAAAAGTAGGTAGACCATGTTACGTCGGTACGTGAGTGAGAGAGTGAGTGAGTGACTAGGGTTTTACGCCGCTTTTAGCAATATTCCAGCAATATCATAGCGGGGGACACCAGATATGGGCTTCACACATTGTACCCATGTCGGGAATCAAACCCGGGTCTACGGCGTGACGAGCGAACGCTTTAACCACTAGGCTACCCGACCGCCCCACGTCGGTATGTGAGTGAGTGAGTGTTATGGTTTTACGCCGCTTTTAGCAATATTCCAGCAATATCATGGCGGGGGACACCAGGAATGAGCTTCACACATTGTACCCATGTCGGGAATCGAACCCGGGTCTTCGGCGTGACGAGCGAACGCTTTAACCACTAGGCTACCCGACCGCCCCACGTCGGTATGTGAGTGAGTGAGTGTTATGGTTTTACGCCGCTTTTAGCAATATTCCAGCAATATCATGGCGGGGGACACCAGGAATGAGCTTCACACATTGTACCCATGTCGGGAATCGAACCCGGGTCTTCGGCGTGACGAGCGAACGCTTTAACCACTAGGCTACCCGACCGCCCCACGTCGGTATGTACTCAGAGGAACATAAAAGTAGGAAGACAATACATGGTCGAATGTATATGCACATCCTTAAACTTTTGCTAAGAAAATGAAGGCCAATAATAATAATTAAAAGCATGAACATAATTATTATGAATATTTCAGTCAGTAAATAATGAAGATGTTTTCCGGCTTGACTATACATATACTTACCTCTGGCATAAGCTCTGTAATATTATGATTATTAAGAAAACCTTTACCTGACTTTACCTTAGCCTTAACCTACTACTTTTAATGCATCTGCAAGTTGTATATTGAATCTGTTTATCTCATTTTTTAATGTATCCTACACAGAGAAGCTCGTGTTCCGTGCGTTGTCCTCTCTGGTCCAGCTAAGGGGGCAGACTACATAGTTGGTGAGGCAGTCAGTGGGCGGAGCTCGTGGAACGCAGTCTATGTGGCAGAAGGTTGGAGGTTCATACATGCCCAGTGGGCTTTCTCCAGAATCTCTGGACAGGAGAACTGTGACTGGGTGATGCTTGAGTCAGAGAACGGGAGGGTGTGTCAAGATGTACCGAGAAAAGGAGGCAAAGAAGAATCAGTCATAAACGAATTCTTCTTCCTCACAGATCCTGAAATATTCATCCACTTTTGTTGTCCTGATGAACCCCACTGGCAGCTGCTCAAACTGAAGGTATCTGTGGAAAAGTTCACGTTGATGCCCTATGCTCAGCCTCATGCTTTCAAGTCAGGAATAACTTTTAAGCGATCCCAAAGTTGCAGTGAAAAGGCCGAACATGGCGAAAGTCGAATTAGCTTGTCGGCTCCGACAGATTCCAAACCAAAGCTGTGCTATGACCTGTTCCTAAAAAGAAACGAGTTCACAGACACGTCTCTACTGAACGGGAAGGAGGGTTTGGTGATCCAAAGCAACATACAAACAAATGGCATTATACCATTCTTCGTAAGATTTCTGGTAAAAGGAATATACAGGTTGAGAATCTACAAAGAATTCAAGGAAAGGAAGTACTGGCTATGTGACTTTAAGATAGACTCCGAGGAAGCAAAGCCATTCTGCTCATCGTTTCCTTTCATCCCGGAAATAGGATGGGGTCCAGGACCACTAGCTAAACACTATGGACTGTATGGATTCTCCCACGAGGATGGTTTGGTCCTAACACATGATGCCACGATGGTCGAGCTGTCTTTTAAAATGACTCGGACACTGATCTTTCAAATTCTACTGAAATCTGACAGTAAACCAGACAATGAACTGATGCATTCTGCAAAACTAGCCATCAGATATGATCAGGTTAGAGTTAACGTGGTAGTGCCAGATGATGGAGAATATGTCATCAAGATCGACGCTAGGAAAGAGAGTGAGAAGGAGACTGATACAAGAAATATCCTTAACTACGTCATCGAGGCGGATCCTAAACAGAGGAAATACAAAGGCAGAGATGTAAGTACGAGGAGACGAAGACAAAATGTTTCGCATGTGAAAAAGATCGTGTCTCTTATCCCATTTCTCAATCAGAATGGTGATCAGACGTTTATATCTGTGTTACAATATTGATTAAATGCAGTATATGTTTGCAACTATTGTCCAGAAGGCAATGTCTGTGTTAACATGTTATCCAGAATGCAGCCCAGAAGAAGGCGAGACAGAACATTAGGGAGGCCACCCGTGCTGGTAACAGGACTGTCCTCTCCATAGCAATAGACAGATTCCGGAAGCAGGATTGTGAGGACAAGGGGGACCTGACCAAGGCCACTGAGGTTCTGGACGAGTTAGACACGAAAGAAGGTAACTGTATATTTCAGTATCATATCTTCAGCCTCAAACATATCTTTCCAACCTCGAATGTTTGCAATGCCGTCGCCATATGGCAGGAGTATTGCCTTTGTGGGTGCTATCTGTAGAGCAGGATATTTTCCCGAACACCTGGTGTCATGAGTGAGATTATAATAATTATCATCACCATTCTGCCTTTTGAGTCCTATGGATAAGATAGTCGAGACAGATTATGTAGAGAGATTTTTTTTGTAAATCATATAATTAATTTCATAATGATTATTATCTTTGTTTGTTTTAGATTTGAGGTTTGCAATGTTAAAAAACCGATTCGACAAGCTGGAAGATGCAATCGGAAAAGCCAAGAACTCACCAAGAAGTGAACGGTTCCAGACGCTCGTGATGGCAGCTATTGAACAGAAGGAGAAGCTTCAGATCCCAATTCCCGCAGACAAAGGACGACCTGAAGTTACGAAAAGAACTGTAGCTGACCTCAAGTCCTACAAGACACCACCAGCTATTGTCCATCAGATTGTAAAAGCTGCATACCTGGTCTTAGGAGAGAAGATGGACATGCTGGATGTAAGAAGCATTTATAACGTTTTAGATTCGTTTTAACTTAAAGTGAATCGGCATGAAAATGATAATATTATTATACGACAGATGCTTATGGGATGTATTTAACTTAAGAAACGAGTGTGAATGCCATGGTGAATTGGTTCTTTACCTAGCACAAACTTCACTACATACTTGGTTCAGTGTGACAGAGATGCGGACTAGTAAGTGTCTTCTATTGTACTTTGTACACCCTTGCATCAATACAGCCAGGACAGGTTTCATCACAGACACACATAAGTCTTTAAATCATAAGTCATTTAGAAGTGATACACATAAGGAAGAGATCTTAGGGATGTCAACTTCCTTATTATGAGGAACACAACGTTTCGGAGTATATGCTTACTCCTTCATCAAGTGATGACTGATATCATTCATTCATCCATAAATTCTCTTCCTTAGATGCACATAAACATAATATTTAATTGCTGTAATGTTTAAGTTGTCACAAAGCTGTTCTACGCATGTTAATACTGAGACAATGCTTTTTAGTTTCCCTATCTCCTTTGTATGGCATTTTCTTTTATCAGACCTGGTCCAACATCCGAACCATGCTGCACAAGGTGGGCCGCAACTCCCTGGACTTTAGACTACAGAATGATCCTGGTTTCGACGAGAATAACGATGATATTCTTATTGCTGAAGCCAAGGCTATGGATATTTTGAACCAATATAATGCCCAGACTGTCGGCAAGATGTCGCCAGCCGGTGAAGCCGTATTTATACAGGTAATCCAAATATACTATTTACGACACCTGCCCCGTGGGGACTCCGGGTTCCATTCTGGTCCCCAGCAACCTTTACATGTATGTGTCGGCAAACTCGGTTATTTGGTTGTATTGCGTGTACTGCTAGCGTTGTGCATATAATACCAGTCAGTAGTTTCTCTGGTCAGGACTCGATTATTTACAGGCAAGAGTCATGTAGTTGGAATATCGCTAACTGGGGAGTTAAACAACAAACAAACGTATTGGCAATACGTACTGCAGAGAAACATAGAACAAAAGCAATGTGTTGTCATATAACAAAGCATACGTACATGGCATTACATTTGTCCTCATCTTCCAGACCCAGCTGCTGTTGGAGAGGCGACAACAGGCTCGGATGAAGGATGCGGAGGACAATGAGGACACTGAAAAGGATAAGCCGCAGCTTTAGTGGAAATGTAGATATAGTCCAACACGGTTCAAATGTGCTCAAGAAGCATTTAAACTATCATGCATTCGCATATCGAAAGAAAGTTTTGATTACTGAAAATTGGATTGATTTCTGACATCAGAGTCGCCCGATCACTCTTTCGATATGATATACTGCTCCAAAGCAACATTACCCCTTTGTGATAATGAAATATCAAGAAGAATTATGAAATACATAACAACAGAATCGTAGATCTGTATATGAAGCAGTTTCAGTTTGTACAAATATATGCACCAATCGTTCCAATACTGCATGTTCCAGAAATGATGTGTAATGTATATGCATGAATGGATACTGCAACTGGTCATGTTGCAAATTGATCAATGACGACGGATGTCCTCATCCCATTAATCACGTGTGCAAAATCTAATACTTGAACGACTTCAATTTGGTTTGAATATGTGAAAGAATAAATTTACACAGACAGGGATAAATGTCTGCGTTTGCTATTATCTCTAATGCTATCTGGTTTATTTCCTTTGATGAAAATACAAATATATGTCATAACAAATTCATGTACAATCCTTGGAGACATGAAATATAACATATGATTTTAACGCATGAGTAAATTCAAATGACAACCCCAGTTACATATGCTCAATTAAATCGACACAGAGTTACAAATTCAATTACCTCTTCTTGGATTAAGGAATTTCATGAACCGTAGATGGCGTCATAGGCTTCCATATCTGGAGTAAAACTAACATAATTGAATGTTTAGATGGACTAAATATTTACAAGTAACAGTTTCGTGTCAACAAAGTATGATGTTTCTGTGTACAATGGAACGTTCAGATGAGAATAAAAACCACGACCTCCACAACTATTTGATAAAACAATGCTTGTTTGACTCATTTGTAACAATATTGCCTGTCGTAAGTGTCACAATGTCGGGATGCATTTTCTGTATTGGCGTTATCTTCCAGCGTTCCTCTGATGAAGCAACAATAAACTGTCATGCCGTGTCATATATAACGCATAAATGTTAGTGACACTGTCCCATGGCATGTTCCAGTCACAAGACGCCACAATAATATTTTACAGGTATTTAGTTCTCTTTGGATTGTTACCCTCTTCAGTCAGTTTACGCAACGGATGTCATCTGTTCTCTACCAATAGCGCTTGTCTTGGTTGATAGGTTGCAATACTATACTGTATTAGCAACCGGACTACGACCACAAGCACTGTGGGTCACAACAACAAATTCCGATTTAATCTGTGGGCTTTGAATTCACGATAGGTAAGGTACACCTTGAGGTGAGGTGAAATGGGGTTTAACGTCGCGTTCAATATTATTGCATTTCTATAGCGACATGCATGCACGTGTGTGTGAGTGTGTGTGAGTGTGTGAGTGTGTGAGTGTGTGTGTGTGTGTGTGTGTGTGTGTACGTGTGTGCGTGTGTGCGTGCGTGTGCGTGTGCGTGTGTGTGTGTGTGTGTTTCGTGTGTGTGTGTGTTTCGTGTGTGTGTGAGTGTACGTGTGTGCGTGCGTGTGTGTGTGTGTGTGTGTGTGTGTGTGTGTGTGTGTGTGTGTGTGTGTGTGTGTGTGTGTGTGTGTGTGTGTGCGTGCGTGTGTGTGCGTGTGCGTTTGTGTGTGCGTGTGCGTGTGTGTGTGTGTGTGTTGGGGAAGGGGGTATCAATATTTATGTGATATTCATACCACTGAAATTAGAACTATACGAAGGAAAATAGGTATCATGAAATGATTCACACACTTTAGTGGATACTTCGAAGAGAAAGCTATGTCGAAACACACACCGAATGGTATTTCAAAAACTTTAGGGTATTTGGGGGGAATTAGAAGCAGTCTGGAAAATATCATGAATATAATAAATTAAAAAACTTATTATATTAACAAATATGTGATTCAGAATTAAAAGTGAATCTGGATATGATTTGATCAAATATCTTTGAACCGATTTGTGATTAATACTAAAATGTCAATTTGACAGAAATGAAAGTGATTTCATATAAACGACAAATTCTATATTTCGTCTCTGGTGTTCAGTCATTTTGTTTACCTTACGTTTCAATATACATTTCAAACAGTTAATACACAAACTTTGATTTATGTAAGCATCACAGACAATATATAAAAACATTTTAAAATCTTTTAAAACGAATAGTTGTTCGTAGTGGGTTTCGTAAAGCATTTATTCTTGTAAATCTTACAAATTCACATATCCCCTCATGTCGTCACGCATTCCGAAAGTGAAAACCAGTTTTACTTCAAACGTGGGTATTACAGATGACTAAAGTGAACTAATCCTAGCTATTAATGCACGTCAATATCATTAAGTGTACAAGTCTTATACCATTAGTTCTTCGCAGTCGTTAAGTTATGTGAAAAACAGGTAATCAAATTTCACGCTGGTACCTCAAACATACAGTCAACGTATTCAATTTCCTAAGTAATCACCTACATTTAGTATCCCCTAGCAACTTACGTAGATATACATTTGGGATTGTGTGAGACATCAAGATAACATGGATAGTTCTTAGCACACGCAAACTGTCTGTGTATGAGAGAACAACTATTATACCTTCCACCCGATTTTCATCTCTCATACACCAGCTAGCTTCTCCGTCTTGGTCTGGTGTGAGCATTAAGCTTTATCACTGAGCTCAATCGCTTGTCCTTGCGCTGCTTTTGATGTTGGCCCTCGTGACACACGATCATGACTCTCCTGGCATAAGCTATAGGTCGCATATATCAAAAATATATAAAGCTATTGTCTGAGTGCGGCAAGAGTGTACAATGTCCTTCAACTCAGACTTCGCGGACATAAGGTAAGAATGATGTTATAAATCTTTTTTTTATTTTTAATAATTATCAAATATATTCTTTCTGAAATGTTTAAGGTAGGTCAATTCTTATACACACATGTGACGGGAGTCACCTGGTATCATCAATATTTGATAACGATTAATAAACACAGGCTTATGACATTGTCGGAATCGTAAAATGGAATCTGCTTTAGGCAAATAATTATTATGATTATATAAAGGGTTTTGTCACATTTATTACTATCGATATTGTTGTTGGACCGATAATTTAATTGTTGTAATTGATGTAATTATCTAATTACGTAAATACCATCATAAGATTTACATATTTTTCATGTACATACAAAGAATGCATATCGTTTCAAGTAATTAGTTCCTTGCAATCTCCCAAAGTACAGCCATCATCCAAATAAACGAATTCCTCTAGAATCGTTAAATGTTGCAATTTATACTCATTGTATTACGTTTATAATTGAACTAAACGACTGAAGAGCCATTAAGAGAAATGGAAGAACTATGTGTGTGTATTTTTTAAATGTTTCTAAAGTTATAATTGTATACTCTTAACAAATTAGTCATAATACCAGCCGTCTCGTAGTTCGATAACACATTCTTGGTAGCGTGGAGACAACAAGGAGGAAACAACGTCACGATATGTTTCTTTAATATTCCTTAATATTCAAAGTGTGTTCTTCAATAATATTGTCGTCATTTCAATTTTTCCTATGTTTTATATAAAGAGCTTGATGAATATGTCATAGTTTCATAACACGATTAACCAATACATTAATTACAATTAAAGGCACACATTATTGGAATATATATTGAACGAAAAAATGCTGTTCCACTATGTTCGAGGAGCCGCACGGGAGGTAAATTCAGAACATCATCTTGGTGATCTTTAATAACAAACACTTTCAAGAAATATATGCCAAACTTTCCTCGTCAAACAAAAAAGAGCTTTCTGGAATGGCATTAAAGCTATTGTAAAAATACCTGATTAATTTCATACTCTGTACGAGTTTCAAATCTACAGTTATCTTTTTAAGAAGTCCTGCTTGACCAATTTATATCTCATGTATCATTTTGACTTTCAACTGCCCAATAACTAATACCAAATGTTAATTGATTTTACACCATCCAAAATGGTCCTCATCATTTCAATATACAAATGTTTTCCTGCTAATAATGGTAGCCTTAGTATACAAGAACATAGCGATTATGAACTGTTCAACATGGATAAAGAACAACATGTTATTCACAATTGCGTCTTTGCTCAGATACATAGTGCTTCTGTCGTACTCTGACCATCTCTGTATCAGTACACGAATATCAGTGTCAGGTGACACCCGAATCCTGAGTCACGCTGGTAAAAATACTCGACGTCACTGATTCAGTGATACTGTCACCGTACACAAAGGAACACACACACATACACAACGGAACACAAACACACACACGCACATACACATTTGGCACTACAAATCCTTGCTATCCTATGCTACAACGCTGCACTTAGCCTTGCTCCAAGGCGGTATTGAATGTACAATCAATGAGTGTATAGTTATTCTATCCTTATAATTGGCAAGTCTAGATAAGTGGACAATAAGGATTTAAACTAATGGCTTTTGCCTTGGATACTTGAGTCTAAGCTGCTCTCTATGTCCTACATTTGTTTGGCTCCAGATAAGGTGATGACGTGTTGACTGTATTCTACCCATCCATAAATCATCATGGGATGCAGTCTTAGCACTGGGAAAGTAGCGGATGATGGGGACTTGGAGCCCGAATATGAACCGGTGAGTTATATGTTGCACAAGTAACCAATGTTTTATGTAGGTGTTTGGGCCCAGCAGTTGATGATGAAGTAACAGATCATTGAATTTCCCTACGAAATGAGTTCAACAGCAGTAATAACTAAATAAACTGATTGGTGGTGATTAAAGACTTGTGTTAACATTATATGTCTCTTAGTATGTACCATTTGATTAACAGCTGAACGTCCCTTGGATAGAAGATGGGTATCCTGCTCCATGTCCGCCAGAAAGCAAGAAATCAGATATATTTCACATTGATGACTTCAAGGAAATAGATGCAAAGGCTGCCAATGTAAGTTGTTATGATCGTAGCACCCATGGTTATGCTCAAAACATGTTCGATCAGGTTACAAAATTCAAGGCCACAGTAAAACATTCAAATTGTGTTGTGGTAAACATGCGGAGGGCATTTCCAAATTTGACGCATCAGTGACAAACATGATGTCCGATGCAAAACGCCAGGAACATTTGCACTTGGTTCCCGTGTTCTTTCAGGTGAACAATTGACTTGCCTCTGTATGTGTTTTTGACCCCACCGGTGGGGAAGAATGCTCACCTGGTATCATCACTATTTAATAGTGATTCATAAACACATTGTCTATAATTCAGTCGGAATCGTACAATGGACTCGACATTAAGGAAATATTTCCAATGATTGTGGACATAAGTTTGTAGCTTTAATTTACTGATTTACTGGCAGCTTGTGGCATCCAAAAAGGTGCAAAGTATATCATGGTTTCATTAACATCTTTATGAATTCCAGTTCCATCCCTAGAACAGAAATGGTCCAAATTAATGATTTATTTGAATTCAATTTTAATGCAAATTGACTATATATTCGTTTCTGTCATATTTATGTATATAGTACGATTTATTATCCATCTCCAAATGTATGGTTTCACTTTTATTTTCGTTGGCAGTGTCCGGTCGTGCTTGCCCAATCGTACGATGCTTTATTAGAATACTTAACTGAAGACTGCATCAACGATATTCAGAAGCTGAGATCAGTGTTCACGTGGTTAGGGTCTCAGGACGTGTACAAGGGCGACTACACCAAGACGACCTCCTATGACAGTCCTTTAGGGTACATGAAGCTTATGTACCAAAACAGAGGCAGTTATGCAGCCCTCCTCGCGTTATTGTGCAGGTACGTGGTCGAGTTACTGTGTGTTATGCAAATTATGTGAGTGGCATGATTGTATCTCTGATAATGTGTTTGGGTTTATATTGGTGGTTGCTTCAAATGTTGAGTAGTCAGTGGTTACTTATGTTGTTGCTGTGCTTGTTATGGATAATGTGGTTTAAATACTGTTGGAGCGAATATAATCATTGTTGTTGTTGTGAAGATAGATGGGCCTGTCATGTTTTACATGTCTAATCACACTCTTAAAACATAAATTTCAGGGCTGCTGGACTTCCATGTGTTATAGTTTACGGTGTGTCGAAAGGATTTGACTATGACGTAGGTGACCGCGATATCCACCATCTGCGGAACTGCTGGAACTGTGTGTATGTGGACGGCTCGTGGAGGATCATTCACCCTCTGTGGACTTTCAAAAAGGTGCAGGGCTTTGATAAAGGCAGGTGGACCAAACACAAACAGAACTTCGTTGACAGTGACAAGGAAAAGATGACAGAAGGTACAGAAGTCAGTGCAACGGACGATTTTTACTTTCTGATAGACCCTGATGTATTTATTTACATGTGCCGACCTTCAGCTGATATGACTCCATGGCAACTGCTCAAAACGCCGTGGTCATGGGATGTCTTTGTCTGTGCACCCTACTTCCGTCAAAGATACTTTCTTTATGAACTTACACTGACCAGCATGCACCGGTGTATACTTCCGGCAAGGGAGGGAACTGTGGAAATTGTTTTTTCAGCACCTGAACATTCTCCCATGATCTTTGCATGTGAACTCTTCTTTGACCAAAAAGCCTCATTTGAGAGAATACCAAAGGAAATCAAGTTAGACAGACATGTTCTTGTGAGCACGAAACAGGATAAGAAGATTTTCTTTGTAAGGATTCCAGTAGCCGGGATTTACAGATTACGTATATACGGAGGTATCACCCGCTTGTTCCATTTGTGTGACTTCCGCCTGGACTGTGATCGACCCCTCAAAAACTGTCGGCCCCTACCGCTGTTTTCCCCAATAGGGTTCGGGTTTACCCAGAAAGCTCGAGATGCAGGGTTGGATTTCCCCTCGGAGTACAGTGGAGTCGTGAGGGTGGAATCGGGAAATGGTAGGATCTTCAACTTCACCATGATCAGACAGATGGAAATTATGACGACAATCCTTCATACAAAGTTTGCCTCCGAGTTCCTGAAGGTAACATTAAAACACTTTGTGTAAGCATTCACTGCGTTTGTGCCTTTGTCTGCTGTATCATGAAGAGTCTTTGCAATAACGTTGTTACATAACAAATATAAGCAATTTTTTCAACCTATTTTGTAACTTTAAGTAACAGGTTCAGAGTGGGAAAATGTGTATTTAGTTAATCTGAAGTTTTGGTTCACGTATATGATTTTAAATATTTAGTAAAAATACCGAAATGTGAGTAACAAGTTGTACAGATGTTAGGGAGGACAACGTTTACGACTACTGTTGGAGTATCATAAGATTTATAAATAGATATGGATGTTTAAGTGAGCTTGAATTCAGAACTGGTACTTGTTGTCCAGGAATATGTGACTTGCAAGATGAAGGAGCTTACAGTGTCTGTGTACGTTTACATCCCCGAGACCAAAACAGAGGAAGAGTACGTGCTCCAGATCTTCACCAGGGATGCTGGAACCGCTGACAAGTACAGGAATGCCCTCAACTACCTCATCATCATCGACAAGAAACAGAACCCGACGGGGGTAGGTTTTCGAGATGCAGCGCGCCTTCAAAGAAACTTTCCTTAATGATAAGAAGACATTTTAGACCAATGTCAAAATGGAGAAGGGAAAAGTTGTGGATTTCACCTTCTATATTCTTTTATTGTGACTCCTCGGTGAGTAATCGCATATGTACCAAACCGTCATATATGTCTTCCAAATCCAGTTTGATGTTGTAATTTCTATTGCTGTGTTACAGAACCCAATGGAATGGAGAAACCGCCTCAACGTCCGAGAAATTAACGGTCGGGAGCACATCGCAGATTTTGAGCACATCATTTCAATATGTGACACTCCCGAACCAGAGACAATGGGGAACGGTAGTCTCGGCTCCTTTGGCGTCAGTGACAGGAGAGAAGTACTTGTTCTGGAGAGAGGTCTGGTTCCATGTTATAATGAGTGAATGAATGAGTGAGTGATTAATGTATGTTCAACGCCGCTTTGAAGGGCATTCCACGGCATATCAGCTAAATGTGGGTGGTAAGCCCTAAGTGATGCATGTCCCAGAGATTTACCACTTTGGTGAAACTAACGAGAGCACGGGTATGTAGCTGACAAATGTAGAAACATAATCTGGGCGAACATTTATCATTTGGCCATCCCAGTGTCGTTCTCACACTACTGTTGTCTATTAATCCACACTTATATCACACAGGGTTCAACCAGTTGCATTTTGTCAAAGGTATTACCACATAAACGTGGGTCAGTCGATCAGGCCACACAAATGAACGGGGATGGTGCTGACAAACTAGAAACATAAAAGGGGCGAACCGGGATTCGAACCCACGATCATTGGTTTTTGCTGTGCACAGATACGCAATTCTACTCAACCGTTGACTGGTTATTCTCTGGCGTTGACGTTTTACATTTACAAGTAGATTTAGAGTGAGTGAGTGAGTGAGTGAGTATGGTTTTACGCCGCTTTTAGCAATATTCCAGCAATATCACGGCGGGGGACACCAGAAATGGGCTTCACACATTGTACCCATGTCGGGAATCGAACCCGGGTCTTCTGCGTGACGAGCGAACGCTTTAACCACTAGGCTACCCGACCGCCCCAAGTAGATTTAGATATTCCTCAAGAAATACTTCTTCTCTATTTTGCACGTCTCTAACAAGACATTTTTCAATCACCACTGAAACAGTGTATGGACAAAGGAAGCATATATTGTGTGGTATGTCTGCAACCACTTTTTCAAAAGAAAGTACCGTATTCGACGTAATAAGCGCCCCGCTCTAATCAGCGCCCACGGCGATATTTGCTAATATATTGGCCAGTGCACAATCCCAATTAGCACCCCTTCCGATTTATCAATGTACACAAGACTTATTTATTCATGTATAATACGCACTCGTGTGCTATATGCACTCTTAATTATGGGCAATTTAATTCCGGAAAAATATATCTGTCGTATATAAACATTTCAGGCTGTCAGCATAAACAACGAAATTTATCTTTCAATTCTGTTTTTTTTCATCAAAATAATATTCTAATAAGAGCCCCCTATTTCTAATTTTGAGAGCGCTCTGGGCGCTTATTACGTCGAATACTGTATTTTCCCCCCAGATCTTAAAGCTGCACTTTTCCGACGCAACATCGAGGCCCTGGACCGTGCGCTTACTGCCGCTCATCAGTCTCGACACACGACTCATCTCGACTATCTGATCAAGCAAGCGGATGAGGTGCGCGATCAACTGGGAAGACTCCGGAAGTATCTTCACTACGTGCTTCAGATCAAACAGCCAACCCTCTCAGAACTACACAACTACAAGCGACCCATTGCGCCCATCCATGCGACAATGAGATCGACCTACATACTTCTCGGAGAGAACGGGAGAGACCTGGAGGCGAGTAACATATTGTTTGAAGGACGGCGGTGTTTTACTCCAGCAATATTACAGCAGCCCCAGCCTTTCTTGCTCAAAAGTTCTTTTTGATCAGAGTTACAGCATTCTTGGCCTCATTGCCTTAGCTCCATTTAGCTTATCACTGACAAAACAGTTTACTTATTTTTGAGTTGCCGTGTTCGTTCAGTTGAATTGACTCGCCATTGCATGTGTTTGTTACGTGTGCAAAGGTGGGGCAGGATGCGCTCACCTTTTCGAGGACACTTGGTGACATCACTATTTGAAAGTGATTCGTAAGCACATGTTAATGATATCGTCGGAATCATACAATGGACTCACAGTTGATATTTCTTATGCTTGTGGAAATGGGTCATCGTTATTCAATAGTAATGTAAAAATAGTTTTCATAATACTAGATATTGCATTCATTTACTGGACTTAAGTTATTGATGTTACATGACAATCATAACGAATTTGTCATGCGCCTATGTATTGAAGTGGTCTGTGCTTCTGTGCTTCAGTCCTGGGAGTTTGTTCAGAATCTGATGAGAAAGGTTGGCAAGGACAGCCTCATCTACCGACTGATGGAGTTTGACGTCATGCAAGTATCCAAACAGCAGATTGAGGCAGTCCAGGCTCTCCTGGATCAGTTTAGTGACCATGCCGTCACACAGGCCAGCATCGTCGCTGGTCACTTCTATGTCTGGGTATGTCAATTTTCATTCAGACCGAAAGGGAGAGGGGTTATTTTAGTAAGATATCTAGCTGTACAACACTGTTGAGTTTCCATTCGAAAATGAAGTGCAAGGCCCATCTGAACAAAGCGTTCACTATCTGTGGATTGAATTTAAAAGATGTTGTTTCATGGAAGACGCATATTCCCGAGGCAAGGGAGTTAACTGAATGTAAAAGTACAGTTTCCACCCTTGCCGAACAAGGCTGGGATTTCTGGGCTCGATCGTAGCGCCACCAGTGGTTATTACGTGTTATGTCCCTGCCATGGCCCTCCTAATGACCAATCAGATTCCACCTCTCATATCACTTGCATTTGCTTTAAATTAAAAGGCAGCACCCAGTCAAGACGATCTGATCGATAATCAAGATCTGTATTGTAATAAAACGGGTCTTACCTCACGAAGTGCATCCGATCACTTGCGCACCCTGATTAAAAACATGAAAAGATTTGCAAAATATTAGTCGATGCCCAGTTGGCGGAAAACATTCTTTGCAAACCCTGCAATCGACCGAAATCCTCACGTTGAAGTCCATGATGTTTGCGGACCGGATGTCTAGTTCGTCACGCGATTTTGATTGGACTATGCATAGCCTGGTTAGTCCAACCAAAATGTCACTCCGGAATTCCAGCCTAGTTCGACAAGGGTGAAAACTGGACTTTTATAGTCAGTCAACTCCCTTTCATTGGGAAGATAGGAAGACGTGACTGATTGCTTGTAAGTGAGTGAGTGAGTGAGTGAGTGAGTGAGTTTGGTTTTACGCCGCTTTTAGCAATTATTCCAGCAATATCACGGCGGGGGACACCAGAAATGGGCTTCACACATTGTACCCATGTCGGGAATCGAACCCGGGTCTTCGGCGTGACGAGCGAACGCTTTAACCACTAGGCTACCCGACCGCCCTGATTGCTTGTAAAAGGGTCTTGGAAATGTACCGAAACGTCGAGGCGAGACCCTGGTCGTCATTGAAAGAAGCGCTTATAAAATCTGTTATAAACACCCCTACGTTGTTGAACTTTCTCATCAGTAGTAGTACAGTAGTTACACAATCAACCACACATGTGTTTACACAAGGAGATTATTTAGCCTTCCGGTATCATTTTATAAGCGCAATATTCAATTCTAGAAGATGTGGAAGACTATTCTAATGCCATGATGAACAGTTTGCTGATAATGACGGGCATGGTTGATCCTGTGGAGTTCGCCATGCAGATTTGTATCTCTTATCTGTCCGGATCACAAGCAATCTCATTAAAATCAGACCTTAGTTCTCGCTACCGCTAAACAAAGATCTGAAGACATCCCATTAGGGGTCACGTCAGAACGACCTTTCATCCGACCAATCAGTGCGTCGCTTACCAGCTTATGAAAGTGACAGTTGGTATGTGATTTCTAATCATGCTATCTCGAAAACATTAACATGGGCTATTCCGAACGATAGTTATGGGTTTAACGACTGAATCCTAACAATCTAGACCATCTATTAGCCATTCCAGAATGTTTGTTTGTTCAGGTTTCAAATTTGTAATGGAGAATTTGTCAAAATATGTTTCGAAGCGTAGTCGCCAATTTGAAATTTGTGCCGTAAAGCACGAGAAAGCTGCCTTCTGATTGGTCATTCCATTTGGTCGGTCAAAGTTCGCGAAAGGTCGGTCTGACGTGACCCGTAACGGGATGTCCTCAGATCTTTGTTTAGCGGTAGCGAGAACTAAGATCTGATTTTAATGAGATTGGATCACAAGGTGTCGTTTCGAATCCAAGATAGGGCTTCTACATGTAGTCCCAATGCAATACCGTATATCTATCTAGAACCTCTATCTACTACCCAAAGACGTAAATGTACCAGTTGTACATAGTAATTCGTACACTTTATATTTTCAGTGCCGAGATATTGTCATAGAATCCGAGATCTCGACAACCAGGAACGCTTTCAAGCGGAAGGAGGAAAACTGATGACGTCCACACAGAATGTGATGATATTCTTCCTCTGTGAAATTTATCGCAAGAGGCAGATATATGTCTGTATATACCTAAACAGTCTAGACTTTAGACAGGCTGTTGCAATGTGGAGCCTCGTCCATGTTGTTATTGATGGATGCGCATATAGTGATGAGTGTTTTACGTCTATTACGTCTAACACCACCAGTATCTATCTTACTTTACATGTAAAATACAATATTATTTTATTGGTCAATGACGTTCCTATGTACCTCGCTACAGTGATGCACAACTGGAAAAAAAATATGGTAACAGACATTTGTAGATCTGTGTCCGATCTTCGTAATTTCGGAAATTCAAGCTCCAAACAGCGAAAAGACAACGCGCAATGGATATTTACATTCACTTTTGATGTACGTGATGCACAGAGCCTAAACATAAAACATTGTCAACTGGTTATGAGGCGACAAGCCGTTTGTTTTCAAATTGTGCTAAATGATAAACACTGCGGTTAGAAATTTATTGTAGGCTTATACGCCGGTACAAAGTTCTTGTGTACGCTCTGTCTGTCGACTGGGGTACGCGTCACACAGAGGGTACACGAAACGCTATTCCCAACGTGAAAAGCCTACAACTACTGGTATACAATGCTCTGTATGGTATACCAGTACCTGGTGTGGACAAAACGAGGTGGGGGTAGTCAATATAACCTATTCCTTGTAACCTCCTTGACCCTAGGGGCGGTCGGGTAGCCTGGTGGTTAAAGCGTTCGCTCGTCAAGCCGAAGACACGGGTTCAATTCCCGACATGGGTACAATGTGTGAAGCCCATTTCTGGTGTCCCCTGCCGTGATATTGCTGGAATATTGCTAAAAGCGGCGTAAAACCTCACTTACTCACTCACTCCTTGTCCCTATGTCGCTGCCACCACTGCCATGATACCAGGGACACGTTTAATGTAAGATGACATGGAAGTTTTATTTATCGAGTGTACATTGTTTATGACGTTCGCCATAACGATCGATAAAATGAAACCTTTAACAGGCATAAACTAAAAATATTTAGCTCTTGGTTATGTCTACTGTTAGTTAACCGCCATTGTGCAAATGGACTATTTATATCATATGCTGAGTTGTATATTGTATAAAATAATAATGTATATAAGAAAATAAACAAACAAATATTAGTTTAACCATAGGTGATAGAGTGAAATATTAGTACGACTGGTGTTACCAAACAAAGAGCCCAAGTGACATTACAGGTAAAATAGCCCTGGGTTCCGAGGATGGATGACGACAGGCGATCTTTGGGTCGTCTCGATGTATTGACGTTTCTCTCTTTGAGTATGCCGAGAAGCTGGAAAGTAGTGGAATGTATTGTGCCGTGATATATGTATGCAGTGTGCGCTAGGTGTTATAAGGGTGACAGGCGTTGTGTGGTGACGTATACCTGCATGTACATGTATTAAACCGTTACACGACCGCATACACAGCAGTGGTAGAGGTTACAATTGTTAAACGTGATGGTGATTGTGAAGCGAAGAGGGCTGCTAGCATTGTGTCGGATTGCCAATCTGACTGAGAAATTAATGTGACGTTTTCGCTGGTATTGTTCATTAAACAGTCCAAATCAGCACAAGGGACCGACCATTATATATTCGATGTGTGTGAGCTGGGATTTTGTGTGGAGATTAGGAATTTTTCAGGTACAGCTGCAAAATCAGATACTTCTTTTAATTGCAAATATGAGCCGGATTCTTTTTCGGGACTGAATTGTTCATTACTTGTCTGTACAGGTTGGGGCCGTATTGTTCATATCGTCTATACAGGTCGGGGCCGCATAGTTCATCATCGTCTGCACTTGTCGGGGCCATATTGTTCATCGTTGTCTGTACAGGTCAGGGCCGTATTGTTCATCATCGTCTGTACAGGTCGGGGCCGTATTGTTCATTACTTGTCTGTACAGGTCGGGGCCGTATTGTTCATTACTTGTCTGTACAGGTCGGGGCCGTATTGTTCATCATCGTCTGTACAGGTCAGGGCCGTATTGTTCATCGTTGTCTGTACAGGTCAGGACCGTATTGTTCATCATCGTCTGTACAGGTCGGGGCCGTATTGCTCATCATCGTCTGTACAGGACAGGACCGTATTGTTCATCATCGTCTATACAGGTCGGGGCCGCATAGTTCATCATCGTCTGTACTTGTCGGGGCCATATTGTTCATCGTTGTCTGTGCAGCTCGGGGCCATATTGTTCATCGTTGTCTGTACAGGTCGGGGCCGTATTGTTCATCATCGTCTGTACTTGTCGGGGCCATATTGTTCATCGTTGTCTGTGCAGCTCGGGGCCATATTGTTCATCGTTGTCTGTACAGGTCGGGGCCGTATTGTTCATTACTTGTCTGTACAGGTCGGGAAAGTATTGTTCATTACTTGTCTGTACAGGTCGGGGCAGTATTGTTCATCATCGTCTGTACAGGTCAGGGCCGTATTGTTCATCGTTGTCTGTACAGGTCAGGACCTTATTGTTCATCATCGTCTGTACAGGTCGGGGCCGTATTGCTCATCATCGTCTGTACAGGTCGGGGCCGTATTGCTCATCATCGTCTGTACAGGTCAGGGCCGTATTGTTCATCGATGTCTGTACAGGTCAGGACCGTATTGTTCATCATCGTCTGTACAGGTCGGGGCCGTATTGCTCATCATCGTCTATACATGTCGGGGCCGCATAGTTCATCATCGTCTGTACTTGTCGGGGCCATATTGTTCATCGTTGTCTATACAGGTCGGGGCCGTATTGTTCATCATCGTCTGTACTTGTCGGGGCCATATTGTTCATCGTTGTCTGTACAGGTCGGGGCCGTATTGTTCATCATTGTCTGTACAGGTCAGGGCCGTATTGTTCATTACTTGTCTGTACAGGTCGGGACAGTATTGTTAATTACTTGTCTGTACAGGTCGGGGCAGTATTGTTCATTACTTGTCTGTACATGTCGGGGCCTTATTGTTCATTACTTGTCTGTACAGGTCGGGGCCTTATTGTTCATTACTTGTCTGTACAGGTCGGGACCGCATAGTTCATCATCGTCTGTACAGGTCGGGGCCGTATTGTTCATCATCGTCTGTACAGGTCGGGGCCGTACTGTTCATCATCGTCTGTACAGGTCGGGGCCATATTGTTCATCGTTGTCTGTACTTGTCGGGGCCATATTGTTCATCATCGTCTGTACAGGTCAGGACCGTATTGTTCATCATCGTCTGTACAGGTCAGGGCCGTATTGTTCATCATCGTCTGTACAGGTCGGGGCCGTATTGTTCATTACTTGTCTGTACAGGTCGGGGCCGTACTGTTCATCATCGTCTGTACAGGTCGGGGCCATGTTGTTCATCGTTGTCTGTACTTGTCGGGGCCATATTGTTCATCATCGTCTGTACAGGTCGGGGCCGTATTGTTCATCATCGTCTGTACAGGTCGGGGCCGTATTGTTCATCACCGTCTGTACAGGTCGGGGCCGTATTGTTCATCATCGTCTGTACAGGTCGTTGCCGTATTGTTCATTACTTGTCTGTACAGGTCGGGGCCGCATAGTTCATCATCGTCTGTACTTGTCGGGGCCATATTGTTCATCATCGTCTGTACAGGTCAGGGCCGTATTGTTCATCATCGTCTGTACAGGTCAGGGCCGTACTGTTCATCATCGTCTGTACAAGTCGGGGCCGTATTGTTCATCATCGTCTGTACAGGTCAGGGCCGTATTGTTCATCATCGTCTGTACAGGTCGGGGCCGTATTGTTCATCGTTGTCTGCAGAGGTCGGGCCCGTATTGTTCATCATCGTCTGTACAGGTCGGGGCCGTATTGTTCATCGTTGTCTGCAGAGGTCGGGGCCGTATTGTTCATTACTTGTCTTTACAGGTCGGGGCCGTACTGTTCATCGTTGTCTGTACAGGTCAGGGCCGTATTGTTCGTCATTGTCTCTCAGCTCGGGACAGGGATAGCCCAGTAGTCAATGGCAGTGCAACTAGTTAACAGAGTGTCTATCAGCGACACACGCAACCACACGGTTCACAGCATGGTCATGGTCTTCACGAACATGACAAATATCTACAATCTACATCGCGTAGGCGTTCTGCAAATGTCATGCTGACACGTCGGGATCCACTGTTTAAGGCGGCGCTAAATTCAATTAACACACTGACCAACCCACAGAACCAATCAAAGGTTAAGACACGTAGGTGCATCTAAGATCTGTGATATTTGTTGTTGGTGGTGTTTTTTAATTAATGCCAATATATGTGTTTATTTGTTTATATGACAATACCAATCTACATATTGGGAGTGTAAGTATTTCCCTATGCCAGTTCTATATATATATATATTGATATATACATACTTGTTCACACATCTGATATAGAATCAGTATGAAACAAAGAGCCAGTGTGTATCTGTATCTATATCTGTATCTGCATCTGCATCTGCATCTGTATCTATATCTGTATCTGCATCTGCATCTGCATCTGCATCTGCATCTGTATCTGCATCTGCATCTGCATCTGCATCTGCATCTGTATCTGTATCTGTATCTGCATCTGCATCTGCATCTGTATCTGTATCTGCATCTGCATCTGTATCTGTATCTGCATCTGTATCTGTATCTGTATCTGTATCTGCATCTGCATCTGCATCTGTATCTGCATCTGCATCTGCATCTGCATCTGCATCTGTATCTGTATCTGTATCTGAATCTGTATTTCTGAATGGTTAATACAGTGTATTTACATATGAAAAGTTGTGTTGGCGTTTATATATTAACAAAATAGGATCACGCAAATCTTATCTTTAATCTTTTGGTGAATGACTGAGTGAGTGAGTAGGGTTTAACGCCGCTTTTAACAGTATTACAGTTATATCGCGGCGTGTCAGCTTAATGTGGGAGGAAAGCCCGAAGTGATGCAGGTCTAAGACGTTTACCACTTCGGTGAAATCCACGAGCACGGGTATGGTGCTGACAAACCTAGAAACATAATCGGGGCGAACCGGGATTCGAACCCACAATGATAGGTTTCTGGTGTGCCCAAGGGACGCAACTCTGCACAGCGAATCGCGGCGCCTTAGAAGACTGGGCCACCCGTGCCCCCTTTGGTAAATGATCATGAGTATATATACGTACTTAGATATACCGAATATTAAGAGAAATATTTGTATATTGAAGAATATAGAAGTTGCTATCCATACAAAGAATGTAGAAATTGTTTTCCATACAAAGAATATAGAAGATGCTATCCGTACAAAGAACATAGAAATTGTTATCTATACAGAGAATAACGATGTTGTCCATGCAACGAATGTACAAATTTGTATCCATACAAAGAATATAGAAGCTCTTATCCATATAAAGAATATAGAATTCGAAGATGTTATCCATACAAAGAATATAGAAGCTCTTATCCATAAAAAGAATATAGAAGTTGCTATCTATGCAAAGAGTATAGAAATTCGTATCCATATTAAGGATATAGAAGTTGTTGTCCGTAGAAAGAATATAGAAGTTCTTATCCATATAAAGGATATAGAAGTTGATATCTATGCAAAGAGTATAGAAATTCGTATCCATATAAAGGATATAGAAGTTGTTGTCCATAGAAAGAACATAGAAGTTCTTATCCGTATAAAGAATATAGAAGTTGATATCTATATGTAAAGAGTATGGAAGTTCTTATCCACACAAAGAATAAAGAAGTTGCTATCCATAAAAAGAACATAGAAGTTGCTTTCCAAAGAAAGAGTATATCATTTGTTTTCCATACAAAGAATATAGAAGTTGTTATCCATACGAAGGTTCATGTGTTCAAATTCTACCCACTTCTAAATGCCTGTCAAGGGCCATGTGATATAACAGTTTTACCGTTACATTGCCCCACTAAGCGAAAACGTGAAGACGTTTTATTCAAGTGGTTCATGCCTGACTATATGTCTGTCGCTGGTTGCGTTGTTGAGCGACGGGGTCAGGGTGGCATACCAACAAACGTTACTCGAGCAGATTATACCGACTGACATGCATTTATCATGCCCCAAAGTAACCCTTGCATCAAGATCCTATCAACACAGCGTGGGTATTTGCAGGGTTTTGTTATCTTAGATTTTGACTACAGAAATTCGCTATCTCTCGACACAGTAAGTAACACAACGTTTTCTTTTGTTTATAATGTAAATTTATCTGTCACAACTGTGCGTTTACCTGAGCAGGTTTAGTCACCTCTATTTATGAAAAGAACAAAATGCTCTGATATAACAGTAAACCTACACAACTATGTTCAGTTATTGTATATCGATAACTCTCTACATTTAATGGGAATTGTAAGCGGGGTTAGGCGGGAGGCTACGGGTGTCTTTTGTCCAAAAGGTACCAATTTCTTCTGCGGAGGGTGTTATTTTATTGATAATATATTTCCGCGTACGTAGGTAGCATCTGTCTGTGCTACTAAGTGATTGGTAGTTAACGGGTTATTGTTTGAGAAGCCCCGTGAATGTTACATTACATGTCCAGATATACTACTCAAAAGAAGTTAAAGAACATCCGATTATTTCAGTCATGAAAGATTAACAACAGCAATATGAAAGAATCGGGTGTTCTTTTCTTTTGAGTAGTACCCGTTCCTTCGCGTCCATTGTCATGCGACGAGAAGTTCATGCATGGCGAGCATAAGATTAATACAGTGTTAAAACTACCAGAGGACGGAACAAAAGAACTACGATAGCTAAGTATGTTTAAAAAGAATGTACTGCTGCATGATGTAATTCTTGTCACAAGCAATGTTATAAGATACGACTATATTTGTAATGTTAAAGGTATGGTTGTGCCCCGTAAGTTCATGCTCACCGTGTACATTACAGTCTCGTCACATTGTCTACACTCATAGAACCATGCAAAACCTATTCATGCTTTACGCTGCGCCTATATATGTATATATGCTACGCGTAGTAACTGACGTCGACTAACGCTTAGTCTCTGAAAATATTATAACTTTAAATTGAAAAGGAGCCCCATTGAGAAGGGAGATTCAGAGCCTGTGGAAAATCTAGACTTGCTTCATTTGGGACTATATCATTACAGTAAGACTTGGCAGAGGGGGGGGGGGGGGGGGGGGGGGGGTGACTAGTACGCCTGTTAAGAATGCATAGGAACACATCTTCAAGGTAATAACCAATGTTGTATAGTTGTGTCTGTGATAACCACACACTGTATGCATGATCACAAGTACTCTAACTGTGATACCCACACATGATCACAAGTACTCCAATTGTGATACCCACACATGATCACAAGTACTCCAACTGTGATACCCTTAGACTGTATGCATGATCACAAGTACTCCAGCTGTGATACCCTTAGACTGTATGCATTATCACAAGTACTCTAACTGTGATACCCATAGACTGTATGCATGATCACAAGTACTCCAGCTGTGATACCCACACATGATCACAAGTACTCCAACTGTGATACCCTTAGACTGTATGCATGATCACAAGTACTCCAGCTGTGATACCCACACATGATCACAAGTACTCCAACTGTGATACCCACATATGATCACAAGTACTCCAACTTTGATACCCATAAACTGTATGCATGATCACAAGTACTCCAACTGTGATACCCACACATGATCACAAGTACTCCAACTGTAATACCCAAAGACTGTATGCATGATCACAAGTACTCCAACTGTGATACCCACACATGATCACAAGTACTCCAACTGTGATACCCACACATGATCACAAGTACCCCCACCGTGATACCCTTAGACTGTATGCATGGTCACAAGTACTCCAGCTGTGATACCCACACATGATCACAAGTACTCCAACTGTGATACCCACACACTCTGTACATGATCACAAGTTTTTAAATGTGACTAAGAAAAGATGTTTTAATAGATTATGTATATCCATGTGTTCTGGATATAATATAGGTAGTCATTATCAAACTATTCTAAAATGATGTTGCTGCTATTACATACTGGAATAAAGATAGTTTTCAAGAAAGGTAGACATTCATTGCAAAACTGGGATTGCCTCTCCCCTATATGTGAGTTATCATGGGCGGTGGTTACAGAGTTCGCTCTTCACGCTGAAGACTCGTGTTCTATTCCCCACATGGGCACGATGTGTGAAGCTCATTTCTGCCATCTTCCCGAAGCAAGGGAGTTAACTGACTATAAAAGTCCAGTTTCCGCCCATGCCGAACTTGGCTGGAAATAAGTTAAAAGTTATATTTTGGCTGGACTAACGAGTCTTTGCATAGTCCAATCAAAATCGAGCAACGATATCGACATCCGGTTCTTATACTGTCGTGCAGATTTCGGTCGATTGCAGGATTTGCAAAGCATGATTGAATTTATTAGAGGGAATATTAAATAGGTTTACCTATTACGCAACACTTAGTAGCCTTCGTCGGGCATCAAAAACATGCTATTTGTGCAGGATATGGGATTCGAGCCCACAATCGTAGGAATATTGACGCCTAGGGGACGTCACACGTCACAGCGAATTGCCGCGCCTAAGATGACTGGAAATCAAATAAATGAACGTCATAAATAATTTCACCAAGCGTGTCTCTCATAACGGTAATGACGTCACTTCTTGTAGCCAGTTAATCAAATAGGGCCATTTTTGTTTTTAGAATTAATTAATTTAGTAACCTTTGAAAACTCCTGCTATATTAGAGTTTGTTGTCCTGTTATGGAAAACGTTCACACAATGGTTGTCTATGTATAACATGACACGGTCAACGCCTTTCAGCCGGGACTATTTGCTCTCTTTCAGCCGGGACTATTTGCACTCTTTCAGTCGGGACTGTTTGCTCTGAGAAATGTTTATCACAGCATAAACACACGCTGAACATTTGTACAACACAAAGTTGTCTGAGAGTGTACGTGCGTTCAAGAGACACAGACAAACATATGACTTATACAATCAATATGTAGACCTCATACACTAATCCGTTATAGCCCCAGGTGTACAAGCCCTCAGTAACTCTGAAGTAGGATATATATTATTATCGAAGTATCAATCCTGCTCATGATGACATGCACTGTGTGTTGTCTGGTACCTCATAAGCAGCCCAGAAGTAGACCAGATAAAACAGTGATTCACAGGTGAACATTGATCAATGACGTATTATGATATTCAGACAGATCTGAGGACTGGTCTACCTCGGTGACCACTCTTTCAAGTAAATCATGCAAGCCAATCCTTTTGACAGCGCAATCCACATCTAAGATTCCTGACCATCTCCGGGTTAGAATTGCTTAACGCATGAGGCGACTAACGGGATCGGGTGGTCAGGCTCGCTGACTTGGTTGATGCATGTCATCGTGCCTAATTGAGTGGATCGATGCTCGTGGTGTCAGTCACTGAATTGTCTGGTCCAGACTCGATTATTTATAAACCGCCGTCATATAGCTTGAATATTGCTGAATGCGGCGTTTAACAACAAACACACCAGCGTGGGGCAATGGGGCCTTTTTGTGCAAGCTCGTTCTCGTTCCCTAGTACAGGTCCCCACTACAGGTCCCCAGTACAGGTCTCCAGTGCAGGTCCCCAGTGCAGGTCCCCAGTAGAGGTCCCCATGCAGTCCCCCTACAGGTCCCCAGTGCAGGTCCCAAATGCAGGTCCCCAGTCCCCCTACAGGTCCCCAGTACAGGTCCCCACTACATGTCCCCACTATAGGTCCCCAGTACAGGTCCCGACTAAAGGTCCCCAGTACAGGTCCCCACTACAGGTCCCTAGTGCAGGTCCCCAGTACAGGGCCCCACTACAGATCCCCACTACAGGTCCCCAGTACAGGTCCCTAGTGCAGGTCCCAAGTCCCACGACAGGTCCCCAGTACAGGTCCCCAGTACAGGGCCCCACTACAGTCCCAGTGCAGTTCCCCAGTACAGGTCCCCACTACTGGGCCCCAGTACAGGTCCCAAATGCAGTTCCCTGGTACAGGGCCCCAATACGGTCCCAGTGCAGTTCCCAAGTACAGGGCCCCGCTACAGGTCCCCAGTGCAGTTCCCCAGTACAGGGCCTCACTACAGGTCCCCACTACAGGTCCCCACTACAGGTCCCCAGTACAGGTCCCCAGTACAGGTCCCTAGTACAGGGCTCCACTACAGGTCCCCAGTACAGGTCCCCAGTACAGGTCCCAAGTACAGGGCCCCAATACAGGCCTCCAGTGCAGGTCCCCAGTCCCACTACATGTCCCCACTACAGGTCCCCACTACAGGTCCCCAAGTACAGGTCCCCAGTACAGGGTCCTACTACAGATCCCCACTACAGGTCGCCGGTACAGGTCCAAAATACATGTCCCCACTACAGGTCCCTAGTGCAGGTCCCCAGTCCCCCTACAGGTTCCCATTACAGCTCCCCAGTACAGGTCCCCGATCCCCCTACAGGTCCCCACTACAGCTCCCCAGTGCAGGTCCCAAATCCCCCTACAGGTCCCCGGTGCAGGTCCCAAATCCCCCTACAGGTCCCCAGTACAGGTCCCCAGTGCAGGTCCCCAGTCCCCCTACAGGTCCCCACTACAGGTCCCCAGTGCAGATCCCTAGTACAGGTCCCCAGTGCAGGTCCCCAGTGAAGGTCCTCAGTGTAGGTCAGTGCAGGTCCCCACTACAGGTCCCCAGTGTAGGTCCCAAGTGTTGATCCCCAGTGTACATCCCTAATACAGGTCCCCCGTGCAGGCTCTCACTGCAGGTCTCCACTACAGGTCCCCAGTGCAGGTCCCCCTACAGGTCCCCAGTCCCCCTACTGGTCCCCACTACAGGTCCCCAGTGCAGATCCCTAATACAGGTCCCCAGTGTAGGTCCCAAGTGTTGATCCCCAGTGTACATCCCTAGTACAGGACCCCACTGCAGGCTCCCACCACAGGTCTCCAGCGTAGGTCCCAAGTAGAGGTCCACAGGTTATGCTATGTTTCGAGGTTACATAGCACTAACCCCGATCACAAGCACTGCACTTCTATCACAATGATTTACATTGGTAGCCGCATGCGTAAACTGCATTGTATAACACAATCCCTACATGATCCGAATGGTCATTAATCGTCTTATTTCGAAGTGCAGGTTACTCGACATACAGTACTAGTTGTTTCAGGTCGTAACAGAAATATATATATTCAGTGTATGGGAGACGTACATGTAATTGATATATGAAGCATTAACTTGAAGCTTATTCAGGATCAGGGGAGGTCGGGTAGCCTTGTGGCATTCGCTCGTCGAGTCGACGACACGGGTTCGATTCCCGACATGGATACAAAGTGTGAAGCCCATTTCTGGTGTCCCCGCCGTGATATTGCTGGAATATTGCTTAAAGCGGCGTAAAACCATACTCACTCATACACTACTCAGGATCATGAACTTACAAGCAATAAACATGAAGCTTCAAATATAGAAATGTTGATGCATTGTAATCAATATGGTGGTCTCGATGTATTGGACTGTACATGTGCGTTTGTTTGTTTATTTACTGTTTAACGCCGCACTCAGCAATATTCCAGATATATGACAGCCGTATGCAAATAATCAAGTCTGGACTAGACAATATAGGTGATTGACATCATGAGCATCGATCCACGCATTTGGGATACGGTGACGGCGACTGTGACTACATTAGCATGATCGCAATAGTGTAGTCTACACTGATGCCGTGGAATGGTACTCACGTTCTTGATGTTGCCTCTCTGAAATAGACAGGAAAATATTGCTGATTTAATTACTAATTTAAAAAATAAAGTGACACAGTTTTACCCAGTTTACACACAGGCAATGAATGTTCCTACCAACTACCTACATGGCCATGAGAACCTGTCAACCGAGAGAGAAAAGCTCACATGAGGTGAAAATTAATGTAGCCTACTTCAAAGAAAACAATAACGGCTATTGTTGCTGCTAAAACTCAGTCAAAGTAAGACTTTGTTCCGTTTCAGACTGTGATTAATTACTTTTACATGTATCTTGATCAACTAAAACAGGAAGTGTTCATGTTAGTTTTAAGATGGGGTTGGCACGGGGAACATGGTCCTTGTGCTATGTACATTTGCTGGAATAGATTAACAGAGCAGCGTGTTTATTGCAATGAATCAGTATAGCATTACCGGTGAAAGATGTTGTCGATTTCATCCAAGACAACGGTTGACAATGTCCATGCCTTGTTTAAAATGTCGAAATCTTGTCAGTCTCGAATATCTCCGCAGGAGGAGGGGAAGAGCAATGGACGACGGGGGAGATGTCGTTGCCAGGCAACAGGTACGTCACTATGTACGATTTCTATGTGTGTGCGTGTGTGTGTGTGTATATTTGAATGTGTCTGTGTGTGTCCCTGTGTGTCTGTGTTCGTGCGTCTCTGTGTGTTGTGTGTGTTTGTGTGTGGCAGCCTAACTCATTATACTTACTCCGAGCCGACCAGTCCTTGTTTTATATCCCTAATGCCAAACGCCAGGCAGGGTGACAACAAGTACAAAATTAACATACTTTGGCATGAGGCGATAGGGAATTGAACCACCGACCTTCCGCTATAACTCTACACTAATTGGGTAGTTCACGGCATTACGAAGGCAATTGAAAGTATTTAGAAGTATCTATACCTGTTATCATGATATTTTTCTTCAAGAACAAAGACGTCCCATATCTAGTGAAGGACTACCCTCGCCCGGTGCCGCCCATACAAAGGAAACAGGACGTGTTTGACCCTGAGGATTTCACAGATGACATAATTGAGGTTGTATATGGAACTGTAAACAATTCATATGAATCTGTAAAATCCACTATCACCTGAATGTGATTACTGTTCACATATCACATCAAACTCGAAATACCATGATACTAATTATTGATACTAATATCCAGTAATGGATTGCCAAAAGCCAGTAATGTACATCTATGATCCGTCACAACTTTTTCGTTAGTAAGTTAATTTAACAAACGAATTACAGATATTGAAATTGACGTAACTAAAAGTGTTTGTTTGTTTGTTTGTTTGTTGTTTAACGCCACACTCAGCAATATTCCAGCTATATGACGGCGGTCTGTAAAATAATCGAGTCTAGACCAGATAATTCAGTGATTGACATCATGAGCATCGATCCACGCAATTGGGATCGATGACATGCATCAACCAAGTCAGCGAGCCTGACCAACCGATCCCGTTAGTCGCCTTTTACAACTAAAAGTGACAAAAACCTTTCCATAATCATAAGAGATTCCTGGTAAAAGCAGTGTCTATTGTAGGATTCCAACTATATTACCAGCATGTGTTGTTAAACGTACGTTTGTGTTATACACAGATACCAGATGAGAAGCTGTGTGACTTCCCCACCCTAGTGGGCCATCTCACCGACGGTCTGACAACAGATGTTCAGAAGGTGTGGGCCATTTTCTCCTGGCTTGGAAACCAGAACGTTCTGGACGCTAAGTACCCGGATGCATCAGATCCATATACCCCCAAGGCTTTCCTAAAAGGAATTCAGGAAGATACATCACTCTATGTTAAACTATTTACCATCCTATGCAGGTAGGCCTTATAGATAAGTTTGCAAAAAGCATGAGTTTTATGGTAAATAACAGGCTGGTTTAAGTTCTGTGTAATCCATATGAACTTAACACTATGCGTTTCAGAGAGGCCGGAATCCCTTGTGTAATTCTGAACGGGCGTGCAAAGGCCGGCAAGTACGAGGTGGGAGACAAAGTGACAGGATACAGTACATGGAACGCTGTTTATGTTGCGGAAGGATGGAGGTTTGTACACTGTAACTGGGCCTTCATATCAGTTATCGGTAGAGAAGTGTCCGGTTGGATAAAAGTCGAGGAAGATGGGAAGAGAGTAACAGAAGATGTGCAGGCGAGTGATGGTGAGAGGAAGCACGTTGCTGACTTCAGTGACAGCTACTTTCTCGTGGATCCAGATGTGTTCATCTATTTCTGTCGCCCAGAGGAAGACCCCTGGCAGCTTCTGCGATCTCCCATTTCTTTTAAACGCTTTATGGCGCTGCCTTTCCTCAGACCAGCATTCACAGAAACTGGTTTCTCCTTCAGATCTGGGCAAGAAGGAACCATCAGATCTCACATGGGGGAGTGCGACGTTATCATCCGAGCACAGAAGTGGAAGGGCCAGTTTAAGTATACATTGTTCTACAAGAAAGACTCCGGCAAGGAGTTTCCAGATGCACAGGGCTCCGATAGGTATGTTGCAATGATTAACAGAAACCTCGACGGAGAAGTCAAGTTTAGAGTACGTTTTCCCATAGAAGGTACGTACAAACTTTCAATGTTCAGGAAAAAGGATAAGGTGTTCGCGTGGATCTGTGACTTCCAGCTTATATGTGACCAACGCAAGGCAGGTTGTGAACCCCTACCAGAGACCCCAGCAATTGGGTGGGGACCAGGTATCACTGCACGATCAGAAGGAATATACAACATATCTCACAATGACGGAATAATTGAATCAAAAGATGGGAAGAACATCGAAGTGTCGTTCAACGTAAAGGGGAAGCAGAAAATCAAAACTCGCCTCAAGCATGTCCGTCTCCCTGACAATAAGATGAAGCAGTTCATCTCAACATCCTTCCACAACGGTACCGTCAACATCAGATTGAGGCCCGATGATGGAGAGTATGCCCTTGTGATTGATAATGACAAGGAGGGTGCGGGTCAAAAGAATGTTCTCAACTACATCATCGAGTCAGGCCAGGCCAACAGGAGACCAGTGGGTCACAGAGAGGTAGGACTGTTTATGACCGGGAACACCTGGTAACATCAGTGTTTGATAGTGCTTCATATGTCATGCTTATGACAGTAAGAGTCTACAACGGACTCTCCTTTAAGCAAAGGTGAGGTGAAATGGTGTTTAACGTCGCGTCCAAGATTATTGCACTTATGTAGCGACGTGCATGCACGTGTATGTGTGTGTGTGTGTGTGTGTGTGGCTGCTTGTATTATAGTCCGGACTGATGCCGATTTATAGTGCTAGCACACTGAGATACCATGCCGCAGTTTAACATGAATACCCCACTCAGACACAGTATACTGACTCCGAGCCGACCAGTCCTTGTTTAAGCCCCTTATATAATGCCGAGCGCCAGACAGGACCATCTAGTACAACAAGTACATCTTTTAACGTATTTTGGTATGACGCGGCTGGGGATCGAACCCCGGACCTTCCGCTCTCCAGGCGGACGCTCTACCATTAGACCACGGAGGCGGTCCCCTTTTAGCAAAGACTTCTTATGGCTATGGGAATGGTTTTGTCGCTTTTATTTAATGAGGCTGCAGACTGATAAAATCTTAGTCATTGTTTCAAATTCCTTTTCTGAATAATTCAGTGTTATGTGACTCAGTATGTTGCTTGCTTCTAGAATGCCACAGAGAGATTAACCCGACAACAGCTGAAGGAGGCAACGAGGGAGAGAAAAAAAGACGACATCATTGAATACATTGCAAAATTCAACAAGATGAAGCTGGAGGACAAGGGACATCTGACCAAAGCAAAGGAGACATTGGAGAGCATCGAAATCAAAGAATGTATGTTTTCGTCTATTTGCCGTAGTTTAACGACATCAGTATTCAACCAACGGAATAAAATAGGCTTACCGTATTCACCGTAATAATACCCCTGGACACTTAGAAATATGACAAAGATGGGTGCTTATTAAAACCATACACAAGGAGTTAAATGTTTTCAGAGATCGAGGCGTAATGGAAAACTTAGCTCAAACGCCGATGGAAATAAAATTGTTTCTATAAGAGGCAATTATATATTCTTTATTAATTTATATATATTTACAAATCCTTTGGACACTAGTTGGACTGTCATGTAAATGTTCGGTCTTTGTAGGGAGTGCTTATCAATATTACTAGGAGTTGGCGCTTTAGGAGCAGGGTACTGACGTATACGGCGAATATGTATATGATGTTTGTATGGAATAGAATAACCGAATTGCACTGTTACCTGGATACAGAATGTCAGGGATTCAAAGTGTAGTGGTGATTGTCTCTTGTTTAATGCTGTTATCAACATTACCAGTTGATGAACTCCCCAACCGTTGGAGTACGATGACACACAATACTTAGTAAAAAGGCCTGTCCACCAGATCCCCATTTTAGGCTCTTAAATTATACTTTGAAGGCATGTTCTTGTGCCCGTAGCTGGAAATCCCTCTCCCTGAAATTCTGCTGTCTTAAAGGGTGTGAAAATGTTCCTAGAACAATTATTTCCGAATGATATATGTACTTTGACGAGATACAAGCAGTGAGCTGCAGTGGGCAGGACAGCTACAATGTGCATCTGCTTTTTGTTAAATGTCTCCACGGACGGTCACACAGACTATCAGAGAACATTTCAGGATAAGATGTGTTTTACATTGTGACAGAGAACATATATGTTTACATACATGTACACATTTTCTCGATGTGTATACAGCTCTGAGATACGCTCTGATGAGGGAGCGAAGTGATGAATTGGAGAAAGCGATAAGGCGAGCCCGGACGTCAGATGTCGCGGAGAAGTTGGAACCTGATGTTGAGAGAGCTGAGTCGGCCCTGAACAACCTCCTCCACCGCAACTCTGTGCCTCGTCATCTGTCAGCTGTTACCCACAGAAACGTTGCCGAGATCAGAGCTTTAAGAACACTGACCGTTCCACTCCAGGACATTTTCACTGCTTTATTCCTGCTTTTGGGAGAAAACAGGTTCAACCTACAGGTAAACGCAAAAGAAGTGGAAGTGTCCATTCTATATTATGCTGATATTTCACCATACACAGTTAATGAGCAAGTTTTTTTGCGGTTGTTTGGTCTATCTTAACATTCTGTTTGACAACAAATATGACAGTGACAGTACCTCAATTAAGTAGTGTATTGCAGATGTAATCGCTGGCACTAAAATGTTTGTTTCACTTGTCTCAGATTCCTCTGAGGTTGTATTCAAATGTAAGTGATTCATGTAACATGTTCATCTAAAATAATAGTGAGTGACTGTTGTTTAAGGCAATATCCAGTGATATTCCATCTATGTCATTTCGGTTAGTACAAATCGAGTCTTGATCAGTACATAATCGAATCTTGATCATTACTTAATCGAATCTTGATCAGTACATATCATGAGCATGTGTTTATGAATCACTTTCAAATAATAATGATACCAGGTGTTCGCGAAAAGGTGAACGTATCCTGCCCCGCCGATGGCACCCATCACAAACACAGACCAAGGCCAACATAATACATTATCCATTTCTTATCCTCTGTCTGATGTGTTTAATGTATGTTGTAGGACAGTAGCTACATGCTAGGCCTGCTGAAGAGAAGTGGACCAGATGGGTTATTGCCACGACTGGAACGGTTCGAGCCTGGTGATGTCAACCCGGAAGTGGTACAAGAAGCTAAGGGACTTCTGGAGAGGCATCAGGAAGACCATGTGACCAGAATCTGCCCTCCAGTCGGAAAAGTATATCAGAAGGTAGATTTATGACTGAGAAACTGTATAGTACTGTTTACATAAATGTGGCTTTAAACATATAAAAAATAGACTCAATATAATCACACACCATTTACCATTCGAATGTAGCTACAATGCTCAAACATGGTCAAAACTAATTTCAAGTACACCATCATTACACCTGTAGGGTGCATAAGAAATTAATGTTTCTCGGGCACATGTTTCTCAATATGAGGAGGGGACCTTTATATATTATGTTTATAGTGTCAGCACATGTGATGAGGGAATAACACTTTTACTTTTTCCCCAACAAACGCAACTGCACACATATGGCACCCATCTCTTTAATATAATGCCAGTTGTCCAGCAAGGATAACAGATTCCGCTTCATAGAACGCTTGAAATTGAGGTTCCGGTGCCCAATGAACATTTTCTGTTACAATTTTCCACAAAAGTGGCTCCTATTCAGCTTTATTGGTTGTAAAGGGGGTGGGTCATCAGTTTTCTAGTCACGCAAAAGAACCGGTCCGATTCCCAGGACGGGTACATATTCATATCCAGTCCATGTGTCCCTTCTCACTCAATCACTCACTGTAGGTTTCAATCGTTTCAGGGCAAGAACCTCGTGGCCAGATACACAGGGGAGCGGTCACCTAGTATTCATAACGATGGATCTTCATCACCAGCCGAGGAGGGGGACAATACAGATGCGGTTGTGACCAAAAATCTCTAATCATATTAACATGCTGCAGTTCTAGCGACATCCAATTTATAATTGAGCATTTACAAAGATTCTTAAATTCTCCAGATGACCCAGTATTTTAGAAATACACATTGACTTCAGCGCATCAAACTTAATGACTTTGACTGACTGCTGAACGATACCATTATAGTACATGCAAACTTTATTCCCAGTGCCTCCAATGCACTAGGTATATGTCGCAAAGTGAAATGAGAATTTACAGCTTCTACTCGTTTCATTGTAGTTGTTGAAATTGACAAGTCGATTGTCATGTAGTATATTTCTGTTGAGTTTTATTGTAGCGTATTCTAATTCTCCAATGTCTTAGGGGTCGTGCGCTGTTAAGATATGACTACAATGTAAATTAAAGTTTTCATTACACCTGAAGAGCCGTTCAACGGCGATAGATCTTGTGTGGATAAAGGAGTTTTGACAAGCAAGAATATCTGGATTCTTTTATTTGTATTTTTTTTATTACTTACACACGTGATGAATCACTTGTTTATATAAATATATGTCATTGCATATTTTCTTTATTCCGTTACATAGGGTTTTTTCAATCAATAAAGATCCCGGTTTAGTTGCTTGTGTTGTTTGCTTTGATTTTCCAGGTGTGTTGCCCCTCCAGGAATCACTGGGGCTGTAAGTTGGATCAATACTATACGCTTTTTCATTGAAAGAAATCAGTATCAACAAGAGGATATAGTTCTCTTGCTCGATCATGCTTGAATCCTTTGACCAAATAAGAAACAGACTCAACTAAAATCGGAAATAATACCGCTTGTTCCTGAATTTGACATGTGTAAACATGGGAACTGATGCTCTAAACCAAGTGATATTTTCAGAAAAAATCAGTTTCTTATATGTCCGTGCATGTCGAATTTCAGAAGCCATCGAGCTTCATTTTCCTGTGCGAACACCGTCTCATTCAAGCTGTGCAATTATACGTGTTGGAAAACGTGGACTTGACAGGTCATAATGTAAATTTCACTACTTGTGGCTACCAAGACTCATCAACCTGCTACCAACCTGTTGGTCATGTAATCACAGCTGACCATAACACACTCGTCAGTTATTCCAATATGGCCCAAATATCGTGAACAGACAGCTACCCATTGGGGTCCCAACTTTAAAATTATTATGGAATCTGTCGAAGCAGAAGCGAAAACAATAGGCCAGAGGTGAAGAGGATCCTTTCGACTGTCTTTCATGGAGGATTGTCAGTGCGTTATGTTGTCATTGATAGAATCCACAAACTGGAGAAGAGGAAAGAGAATTGGAATACACCCATTCTGACCAAGTCACCTGTTATCGAAAGACGGGATGAACCACCTGAAATGACTGTAGTTGTTCCACTGATATAACATATGTTTATATTCTCGGAAATGTTTTGAGACCAGAGGAATTATTACCATGTCGATACTCACAAACTCAGATTTCAGTTATGTCTAAACGTTTCGTTTTTCAAATTTGCACACCACTACCTCACAAGACAAACTTATTTGGTAAGTTCATTCCTTGATCCATGGGACATCTGTCACTAAACGTGGTGACCATAGATATAGATACATCTCTGTATTCAAAGGTTCAGGGCAATTTGCTACAAATGAAAGCAAATGTCATCTGAAGTTTACTGAGAAAACAACATGTGAAATGCTGGAGTCCCTCATTGTTCCTCATTTGTGTGAAATATGGGGATAGGACAAGAAGTAGGCGTCACCATGGGCAAACATTGTGCGCCCGTTTGTTTATGCATACGAATCAGAATTTCTGAGCTGATTGCCAAAATCAAATAAATAAATTTGATAAGGACGTTTAACTTAAGATTCCGGTCTATTGATATAACGGATATCGTTTCAACAATGGTCTGATTGCCAATTCCCTTCCATCTGAACTAGAAATAGAGACTAGTGAAACCTCCTCATCTGTTTCATATTTAGATCATTGCATAAAGATTCAGAGAGACAAAAATTACCCCAGAAGACTGACTTCCACTTTTCTTTTATGTCGAGCAAACTTTCAGCAGCTCAAGCCTCTGGTGTCTACATTTCACAACTTTTAAGATACAATTGAGCATGCTCTTTCTACGAACATTTCTAAAAGCGTCATCGAACTCTTGCTCAAAGGTTCTTTGATCAGGGTTACAATTTCCAAGGACATGGTAAAAACTGCTAAGCTTTCAAACAGTTTTATGGTAGACGTGTTGGGGACATTTCTAAATTTGACATACAAGTGACACGAATTACGTATTCTATTTGAAAGTAATTCAAGCAGTATAAAATATCAATACTGAGGAGATTAAACGATTATTACCATGGTCTTCGTTGACTTGTGACAGTGACATTGCAACATATCTATGTTATGCCTGTGCTATTCTGCAAATAGGAGTAGCACGCAAGCGGGTTTGATAACAGATCAATACGCTCGACCCGGTAAGTATCGTCTTGGCTAAAGCTGCTCCCCGTTGCACAATACAACATGAAAGAACAGTGTTTCCCACAAATATGTTCATGTTAGAAAATGAACGTGTAATCCTAGGTCCATATGACAAACGTTTGAAATATACGAATCACTTTGCAGCACATTTTAAAAATAATAACGTGGATATTGAAATAAAAGAATGTTCAAGTACCTGTGAATATATACTACAGACATGTGTAAATATGGTTATCCTTTGGTGCAAAATTTTGGAAATGTTGTACATATATGATATGTGATCTCATATGCCACGATTGTACAAGACATCTTAAGTTATTGTATATGTCTATATGCTGGCTGCTCTGTCGTGAAGTCTACGGCCTGGCTTACTGCAAGTGTTAGCTGGCTGCTGACGGCCAGTTGTTTTACAGTGTTGTTATCGGTTCCTTGTCTTCCGGGTCTGGGCGAGTGTTGGGTCCCCTGTCTTGAGAGCTCTACGGGTGCCGGCTAACGAGGGGGACATAGGCAGAACCGGGGGGTTCAGACCCCCCCACACAGACACCATCACCACCACCACCACCACCACCACCACCACCACTACCACCACCACTCCACCACCCACTCCTCTTCCCCTACTCCTCCCGGCCCCTTTTGGAAACCAAATGTAGTATGATGTAAGTAATTGCGAGAGGATTTTGTGACGACCCTACATAATAAGTATAAGCGATGTAAATTCATCTGGTAAGTTTGGAACATTACTCCCTATATGTTTGGTTTTGTTATGATGAATAACACTCAATGCCCCACATTCATCTGTGCACTTCCCACACACTATTTAATGTATATTGATACTGAACAAGACTCCAAGCTGAGTTTACTAACCAACTGACTTGAAATGACAAACTCACTTGTTTAAACTTTATTGAGGTTTATTCACTACTTACAACTTAATACCTGGAGATTAAAATGATTAAGAGAGAAGCCAGTGTCTTGTTTGAATAAGTGCTGAAGTAAGTATTTGTATTGTTTCAGTTAGTTTGGCTCTATATTTGCTACATTTTTTATTGAAAAACAGCAAAATGATTCCATTTGATTAATTTCGATAATAGATCGGTCACCGTAACCGGTTCTTACAAAAAGTCGTGATCGTATAGCTGTAATAGCCACTCTCACTGCTTCTAGTTCAACCAAATCGTTCACTATGGAACTGTACACACATAATATATGTATTATCTACAGACGAAATGTGTCAGGAACGGAGCATGGCCACATACCACAATACCACATACCTTACTTTCCATGAGTTAATATATTCTTAGTTACACGTGCTGCTCTTCTGGTTTCTCCAGACTTTTGTTCTTGTTTCTTTCTATACGTTTTCGCCAAGACAGTCCCAGCTGTTTTATGGGTTGATATAGAAACATAAATTGTGTGAATTAAGAATGTACATTACTCTAAGCGCTAGCCTGACTAACGTTCAACTGTGGGCCTTAACAAAGTGAACAAGTCAATGTAATACATTGTTTGAGTAGTTCATTTCAAGTGCATTTGGTCTGTTGAGGCCGTTTGTATATTAGTGACAGCCAGTTGAACGTGATAGGGACACAGATATTGAAAAGAACGAGTACAGAGCAGTCATCAAGCCTTTTAGAAGGATTTAGTCAAATTCAAAAACGGGTGTTGAAACATGGGGCTAATACCATGATCCCGAGTCAAAACGTCAATCCATGGAATGGTACCATTTCACTTCTCCGTCAAAAGACGATTATCGGTGCCTACTATGCTGATTTGCTTCATCGCCTGAGATATTCTATTAAAGATAAGCAGCGAGGAATGCTGATAGCTGGAGTTCTACTACTTCATGACAATGACTCTTTTCACACCTCTCGTGGCAAAAGTGCTGTGCGACGATGTGGGTTCGAAGAGCTTCCTCACCCTCAATACTCGCCAGACCTGGCACCAAGTGATTTCCGCCTGTTTCCTAAACCGAAAGAACACCTTCGTGGAAAGCGCTCTGACGACAACGATGGCCTTATAGCTGCCGTGAATGGGTTTTTCGGGGTTGCTTCAGAAAATTTCTTCCTGACTGGAATTGAAAAGCTTCACTATCGATATGAGAAGTGTATTGAAAAGCAGGGAGATTATGTTGAAAACTATAATTGAAAACACTTCCACAGTTTGTTAGGCTCAGAACATTATGGCCAGCCCTCATTTTTCTGTAAAAGAAAAGACCTGAAATTATGCAAAACCAGACATATTGCAAAATATCAATACCGCATGCGTTTCGCGTAATAGTGTTTCGTCGCATGTTGTTTCATGAGGCTATATATGTAGCTTGTGCAATAGCGCAAACGTAGTGGGAGCAAAACCATTTTCTCTATTGGCTGACACATGTAACTAGAAGTATATACTTGTCTCCTAAATCAGTTATATTTTACATCGATATTTTTTTAAAGGGAAAGGAAAAGACAAAAATAAACTTGACAAATTAGACACAATTTATGGATATCAACTTCTTTATTTACTGTAAAGGCGACGTTTCGGTATCCTTATGCCGTTGTCAAGCAAGGCTGAATAATGAACATGGTTCAGAGTTTATATAGTAGGTAGAGGATTAACACCAACAACAATTGCATACATGAAAGAGATTGAATAATAGCAACAACAAACTGAAAAACGCTATGATCAAGTATCTACTGAGGTTCAACTTGGCAGAAATTTTCTGAAAATCCGGTCATAGCATTTATGACAATAATGCATGTGCTACGGCAAGAAATGATGGTCATATGTTTCCAAGGTGTAGCTTCATATCAAATAAACTCCCAAAGGTAGTTCTTATCGGGAATCACACGCACCTCCAGAAATTGCATTATTCCCTTCTTTTTCCGCCTTTGTTTCATCGGTGTAAAATCCGTCTTTTTGTCCAGTGTGCAACCAGGAAGAGGTATCAGTTATCAGCGTTGCCACCAATCGGTCCGATGGAAACATTGTCCCACCAAGGATACACATGAACACGCCATTCTAAATTATCTCCAAAAGCACGTAAGTATTTTCACATAATTCACTGGATTGATTTTAATCAATTGCAATGTGATAATCTCACCTTGACGTATACACCGAAACGGGAATAGTAAAACTATACTTTACATTGCCATTATAGATAAACAATGTGTGCATTAGCTTTTATAGTTGGTTGCTGGACACAGGTTTATAAAATATTATGCATATGGTGTTTCACAGCGTATGAATTCCAATATGCTTTCTTCCCAATATGATTATTACAATTGAGAGTACTGTGTATGCTGCTCCAGCTAGCCTTTTCGTCTTGTTTTAATTTCATTCAAATTAATTAGCCGCATATTATTACAATGCATATAAATTAGATAGTTTGGTTTCAGTTGTATCTTAATATCATACATATATACGTTTCCCTCACATTTACCAAATGGTCATTTTGTTCATATAAGGGACAAAACTTTGTCCATATTCAATAGAAATTTCTGCTTTAAGCAGAGTTGATTGTACGATTCCGACTATATCATGAGCATGTGTTTATGAATGTATCACTATGAAATAGTGATGATACCAGGTGTTCGCGAACAGGTGAGCGAAGCAGTCACAAACACATGCAAAAGCAAGTCAATTGTCGTAACCATAATGTGAGGACCTTTTGTTTAAAACTGTTTCCACGCAGGATTGGTCAAAGTAATGGAGGAAGGAGATAAAAAGGTAGGACAGTTTTCCTCGATCCGTTATTTCAGTTAGTCTTGTGTGAGTGGCGGCACTGTGAGTGAGTGAGTGAGTGGAAGGGGTTTAACGCCACCTTGAACTGATTGTTACGGTATGTTCAATTACATCAGCGTATGTCAGTTTAATGTGGGTGGAAAGCACAAAGTGACAACACAGGTCGAAGGTGGTTTCCACTTTGATAAGCCCAAACACATATAGTTATGACAACTGCATTGTATGGAAGCATACAGTATTTGTCAGGGACTTGTAATTTAGTATAGAGATTGGAGTGCGGAGATTGGTATCATATTTTGCCGACCCCCCATTTTGTGTTTACTAACATTTTGTATTGCCTCCCCACCACCCCTCCCCCCCCCCCCCCCCCCCCCCCCTTAAAAACAACACACTTTAAAAAAAGTACAAGTAACAGTTTCATGATCCCCCTAGCTACAACAAACAGTCCCTAAATATGTTGAAAATTGTGTTTCAAACAATTATTTAAAAAACAAATACGAATCATTTTGTTTTATTCTCAAGAATTACTATGTCATCCCTGCCTTCGTGAAAGGCTACAGCACGCCACAACCTCCGAGAACAAGAAGTTGGGACATTTTCAATGTGGAGGATTACAAGGACCAAGATGAGCGAGTGAAGCACGTATGTTACGTGTTAGAAACTTCAAGAAACATGATATTTATCTGTCTGTTATATAAACCATATTTTACTCTGTTACTGTTCATGACGTTGTCCCGTGGTAGAATAGGTCTTCAGCAACCCATGCTTGCCGTAAAAGGTGACTATGCTTGTCGTAAGAGGCGACTAAAGGGATTGGGCGGTAAGGCTCGCTGACTAGGTTGATGCTCAATCTACATGTTGTCAATCCCTGGATTGTCTGGTCCAGACTCCCTTATTTAGAGCCCGTCGTCATAAAGCTGGAATATTGCTGAGTGCGGCGTTAAACAACAAACAAACAAATCACGCCGTTGTCAAATGCGAAATGAAGACAAAGACGAAATATCCCTTATAGGTTCTTTGATAGTTAATAGGGAGGTAAATAAGGACAGACGGATAGTTCGTCCGACGACGTCTAAGCAGACAAGTTTATTGTATGATCGGCGACCACACTAACCAGACCGATTTATGGCATGTCAAAATATATATTGGCGACCAGATTTATGCAGATTGTAAACATAAATACCAGCCAGCAATAAAAACACAATAGTGTTATAACGGCAAGATCACCTTTTAAGCACGAACCCCACCCTGTCAGTTAGATATATGATTTGGTTGGTTGGTTGGTTTGTTGTTTAACGCCGCACTCAGCAATATTCCAGCTATATGACGGCGGTCTGTAAATAATCGAGTCTGGACCAGACAATCCAGTGATTGATATCATGTGCATCGATCCATGTAATTGGGATCGATGACCGTGCATCAACCAAGTCAGCGAGCCTGTCCACCCGATCCCGTTAGTTGCCTTTTACGACAAGCATAGTCGCCTTTTACGGCAAGCAATGGTTGCTGAAGACCTATTCTATCCCGGATCTTCACGGGTCTGTTAGATATATGAAGGGAACGATTATCAACATTGATTCCCCGCGTGTGGGTTCAAAACTTGTTTTGTACAAAATTAAAGAACCTGGTGGCAAAATCACAAAATTGAACATGTATCCAAAACACAACCACTTTGGATAAAATTGAGCTGCACGTGCAGGCTGAGCAGCTTGGCCCTATAAAAGTGGCAGCGTTCAATTACACCTCAGAAAAACTCGCCTAACGGAAGAAGTAAGAAACCATCAATGGAGGATGAAAGTTGGAACATCCCAAACACAGGTTGCATGGCGTTTCAACGTGCACCCATTCAACGTTGGTGGTTTGCAACACCCAGTCATGACAACTGGAAGTGTCGGTTATCGCAAGGCGGGAGCGTTCGGGAGGATTCGGGAGCATTCGGGAGCATTCGGGAGCATTCGGGAGCATTCGGGAGCATTCAGCATTCGGCAACTCCGAAATCGGTTAGGGACGGCAATTCACACTGATAATGCCACAATCGTAGCAAGGGTGGGTGAGTGAGTATGGTTTTACGCCGCTTTTAGCAATATTCCAGCAATATCACGGCGGAGGACACAAGGAATTGGCTTCACACATTGTACCCATGTCGGGTATCGAACCCGGGCCTTCGGCGTGACGAGCGAATGCTTTAACCACTAGGCTACCCGACCGCCCCCGTAGCAAGGAACGCAACATCAGTGAAAGAACAGTTCGGTGACGTCTTACCTTTACTGACATGTTTAGACCTCTGCGCCATTTCCATTGACTCTGACACTTTGTTTTTTTCCGTTGGGATCTTGCATGTGATCACTTCTTGGGAAGAACAAATCGTTTTTCTATGAAATAAATTATGTTGATTATCGAAATTGCTTTTATTTTTCAATTCTGGTTAGTAGATGAAGGTGTTAGCAGTTAGCATTGAAAAAATATGTGAACAATGGCAACTTAAGTAACACAACAAGGCATACTGCATGTACGTAATTCGTTAAGACAGACGAGTATATATCTAAGAGACTGACAACTAATCGATATTCACCGGGAGGAGAAAGTTTGGAAAGGAGGAAAACGAAATGGGAATGTTCCAGAAAGAAATATTTTATGGCTCAAGTAATACAAAAACTCACTGGTTTTCCTAAAATATTGTATGTTTTATCATATCTCAAGGTTTCATATTATCTCAGTTATTGATGGATTTATCTGTATATTGATTAAATCACAATTGTCCCCCTGGGAAGGTACGTAAGTCCGGTATCATTCAACGTATTTTTTCATTTCTCGGTAATTTCAATCGTAGTATTTTTATTGATTTTTAACTCTTTGGCTAATCTTTCTTGATAATCGCCAGTGGCCAGAGGGATGGTGTAAATCCTGCTGGGGTACCATGTAGGTAGCAGAAGTACCGTAAGTACCCATGGTCCCTAGTATGGTGGCCTAACTTTGGTTGCTGGCGATCTACAGCCCTTTTGCATATTGTATCGTCTGTTATAATCTGATTATTTTATTGTTCTAAAACTAGTTTTACAATTATAATCTGTGATATATTGCTAGTTGTTGTACTGTCCTTCGACGACAGGTCTTAATATATTATATAAATACATAACTTGCTCAAGTCACAATATGGCTGAAATAATGCCGATGTGACTTTAAATATTTACTCACTCACAACTGATTAAATCATGCAGATACCAGAAGACACGCTCCGCGACTTCCCCACCCTTGTGAGTCATCTGACCGACGGTCTCACCACTGATGTCCAGAAAGTCAGAGCTATCTTTTCCTGGATGGGTCATCGAAACCTCATGGAGACTGAATACCCGGAAGACACAGATCTCTACTCACCAAAAGGATACTTGAAGCGTATGAAGGACACATCTTTTTCGTATGCTGTGCTGTTTGCCATTCTTTGCAGGTATTTGAGAGTTCTGTATTCACACTGCTTGTATTTGTCCAGACTGTTGCCAGGTTTATAGCGCTAGCCCACTGAGACACCACGAAAGTTTAAAATTGATACCGTACTAAGACACATACTCCCTGTCCTTGTTGTATGCCTTTAATGCCGAACGTCAGGCAGGGCAACAAGTACTGTCTTTTAACGTCTTTTGTTGTGATGCGACCGGGAATCGAACGACCGACCTCCCTCTCTCCGAGCAGACGCTCTATCCCCTAGACTACGAAGGCGGTCTATATGTGTAGTAGATAAGAAAACATGACAGTCTGGATTTTGCAGATAATTGTTCAAGATTAGACAGTACGAGAAGGCGGGAGTACGTCTATCTCCTTTCGAGATAAAATTGAGAAGAGACGGATGACGCATATTGCGCGGGGGACGTACCAGCTCCAAATATGTTCTGATTTTTCCATTTTCCCTCTGTGAAATGTACGTTTGACAATTTCAGGCCGAGTTCAGATAACTCGCTGGTGAGTGAGTGAGTCTGATTTTACGCCGCTTTTAGCAATATTCCAGCAATATCACGGCGGGGGACACCAGAAATGGGCTTCACACATTGTACCCATGTCGGGAATCGAACCCGGATCTTCGGCGCGATGAGCCAACGCTTTAACCACTAGGCTACCCGACTGCCCTTAACACGCTGGTACTAACAGTGACTACAGTAACATAAGATTAACCAATTCATTAGTATAGCCGTTTATCCTTATTCAAACTTTGAAGTACGTTTGCTGTTACAGAGAGGCTAACTTAGAATGCGTGATTCTGCAAGGCATCTGCAAGGCAGGGGATTACGAAGTCGGAGACAGGGACATAAGTCAGTTCATTAGCAACTGGAATGCTGTGTATATAAAGGGAGCGTGGAGGTTCGTGCATTGCCTCTGGGCTTTCACCTCACTGGTTGGCCAGAAGACTGGGGGCTGGTTAAAGGTCGAACACAGAGGAGGGCAAGTACGCGAAAACATTGAAGAAAGTAAAGGAGAACACCAGAACAGCGAGGCAGATGATGATTACTTCTTTATAGAACCTGAACAGTTAAATATGTTGTGTAGATCAGAAAGGGAGAAATGGCAACTTTTGAAGAAGCCGTTCTCTAAAAAGAGATTTATAGGTTGCCCCTACATTCAACTGAAGTTTACTGAATACGGTTTCACATTCAAAGGCAGACAATCTGGTGTGATCACGACAAAAATGGGACAGTGCAAAGTAACAATCTTATCAAAACTGAAGCACACCCTGACGTATGAACTGTTTTATAAGAAGGACCAAGAACGACAGTTCCCAGAAGCCACATCAGCAGATAGATATGTGATTATGGAGAACAAAAATGATATGGACGAAATCAACCTCACCCTAAATCTTCCAGTAACAGGAGTCTACAGACTGAGGCTGATGGAAGGCTCTACGAGATACCGTCTCTGCGACTTCAAGATAGTATGCAAAGAAACTTTGGCTAACTACAGACCACCTCCGAGACCGGACATCAACTGGGGCCCCGGACCGGCTGCCAAGGCTGCAGGGATAAGGAATATTTCTCACAGAAATGGGATTATCTCTGTTAAGCGTGATGAAAACATGTCAGTTCATTTCAATATCAAGAAGGGTCAGAAAATCGGGGCACGTCTGACGAGTGAGACATTCCCAATAGATGAAATAAAACAATATATTTCAGTCTCGGTCATCAACCAGCATGTACAAATCAAGCTGAGGCCAGAAATCGGGACTTATGCTCTGAAAATTGATACATCTAATCGAAACACGAGTGAAAGGAAAAATGTCCTAAATTATGTTGTTGAGTCCGGGCCTACCAACAAGCGGCTGGATTGCGGCAGAGAGGTAATATACTGTAGTTTGGCCCAGTTGTCTATAGCCCCCCCCCCCCCCCCCCCCCCCCCCCCCCCTTGGGCACGCCAGAAATCTCTGATTGTGGGTTCAAATCCCGGTCTGACCCTGTTGTGTCTAGGTTTGTCAGCACCACATAGTGCCCAAGGGTTTCACCAAAGTGGTTTCACCGATATAACTGGAATACTGTTAAAACGGCGATAAACCCAATTCACTCACTCACTCACATTGCACGACAACTAATGTCACACATTCATTCAGAATGACAATAGAATTGTGTCATTCCTATTCATTGATTACACGTATGTTAAACCACAATGTTAAGGTGTTAGTACAATTTGTCATGTTTACTGTGTTTGTACCAATAGCCCACTGACGAGAGACTAGTCCGTGAACGATTGTTGGAAGCAGCACGCAAGGCGAACAAGGAAGATCTCATCAAATACATTGGACGGTTCAAACAAATGCAGATGGGGGATGTGAGCGTCTACACTAAAGCCATACAATCACTGGAAACAGTAGAGATCAAAGAACGTAAGTAATGTATACGAACCATGTACTTTCATGCATATTAGCTGGGAATGTGTCCTGTGTTATATACCAACGGAACAACGTAGGTATGATTAATATAAAATTCAATAAAATTTAATTCATTCTGAAATTTAATAAGGTATCTTTCATGAAGACATCTCTTCGACCTTACAGCCGTGATTCAGTTTGCACGTGCATGTTCATGATGACGTCATTCGAGAGCATGTTCTACCCTTTGTGCAAATGCAGGGCCGTAACGTCACGCTGTAGCAGGATCATACCTAACACGTCTTGTCACCTGACACCTGACACCTGACACTCCTTGTCACCTGACACCTGACACCTAACACGCCTTGTCACCTGACACCTGACACGCCTTGTCACCTGACACCTGACACCTAACACGTCTTGTCACCTGACACCTGACACCTAACACGTCTTGTCACCTGACACCTGACACCTAACACATCTTGTCACCTGACACCTGACACCTAACACGCCTTATCAACTGACACCTGACACCTGATACGCCTTGTCACCTGACACGCCTTGTCACCTGACACCCCTTCATATAAGCCTTGATATATAATATTGTTTCACAAATAGGAATAACGTGCTCACTTTCGGTCTTTCCAACATAGGACTGATAGTCACCTTGTCACCTGACACCTGACACGCCTTGTCACCTGACACCTGACACGCCTTGTCACCTGACACCTGACATGCCTTGTCACCTGAAACCTGACACGCCTTGTCAACTGACACCTGACACGCCTTGTCACCTGACACCTGACACGCCTTCATATAAGCCTTGATATATAATATTGTTTCACAAATAGGAATAACGTGCTCACTTTCGGTCTTTCCAACATAGGACTGATAGTGGTGCGGATTTTTAACCAAACCTTTATCACTTAATACACATTTGTCTGTATGCCATTTGTCTACATGTACATAGGACTACATGGACCCATTGGTATGATGTATATGGTCGATGTTGTGTGGTCATCAGACTGTGCTGACCGAACGGCGACTTCTGGGCAAACACATTTGCTTTAATAATTCACAGCAAAAACAATTTTAGCATCTCCATTTTTTAAGTAAAAAAACACTTTAATGATTTGTATTACCCTAATGGTTTATCAAAGAGCTGAAACAGGCCGTGCTGAGGAACCGAACGGACGAGCTAGAGAAGGCCATCAGACGGGCCAATTTATCAGACGTGGCGGAGAGACTGACGTCAAATGTCCATGAAGCTGAGAGGGTTCTCAGCGAGCTCCTGCGACGTCAGGCAAATCCTCGGGTGATGTCACCGTTGAATAACAGGACCATTGCGGAACTGAAGGCCATTCGGCACCTAACTGTACCTCTCCAAAATGTCCTGACAGCGGTGTTTCTACTGCTTGGAGAAAACAGATGGACATTACAGGTACATGGTAGAGTAAGTGAGTGAGTTGGGTTTAACGCCGCTTTTAACAGTATTCCAGTTATATCACGGCGTGTCAGCTGAATGTAGGAGGAAAGCCCGAAGTGATGCAGGTCTTAGATGTTTACCATTTCCGTGAAATCCACGAGCGCGGGTATGTTGCTGACAAACCTATAAACATAATCGGGGCGAACCGGGATTCGAACCCGCAATCATAGGTTTCAGGCGTGCCCAAGGGACGCAACTCTGCACATCGAATTGCGGTACGCCTTGGACGACTGGCCCTCCCGTGCACCCGGTACATGGTAGAGCAAATAGGTGATAACTTTATATCATGTCCAAATAATTAGAGCCACCATGACTAGTATGTTTGTTTGTTTGTTGTTTGCCACACTCAACAATATTCGAGTTATATGATGGCAGTCTGAAAATATTCGTGTCTGGACCAAAAAATCCAGTGATTGATATCATGAGCATTGATCCATGCAATCGGGATACGATGACATGCATCAACCACGTCTGCGAGCCTGATGAGTACCCGATCCCGTTGGTCGCCTCTTACGACAAGCATAGTCGCCTTTTACGGCAAGCAGGGGTTGCTGAAGACCTATTCTATCCCCGATCTTCACGGGTGGGTTAGGTTAAAAACTGTGATAGGTATGAAAGTCTCTTCCTCTTTATCAACCATCAGCACACAAGTTTGTGGATACACAGGTTAACACATCACGTAAGTTCTCCTCATGATTCCAATGACTTCGTAGTTCCGAGTGATTACGGAAGATTGACATACAATATGGCAAAATATTGCACACATAAATTCACAAACGTATTGGTATATTGTGTACAGTGTTCATAGTAAGTGGTTATGGATTTCAGGATCCGAAATACATTCTTAGCCAACTGAAGCGACACTCGGCAGATGAGCTGCTACATCGTTTGAAGGACTCCACTAACCATGTTCCACCAGATGTAGTGATGGAAGCCAAACGATTGCTGGGCACAATTCTGGGCGAGCGACTAGCTAGGTCTTGTCCCCCAGCACACAAGCTCTACCAGGAAGTGAGTATACGTAGAGACACGTGTAACGTGAGCCAGGACCCACACGAAGGTATTTGTTCACATAACCTGATAACCGTGAAGATCCGGGGTAGAATCAGGGCCACTATGCTTGTCGTAAGAGGCGATTAACGGGATCAGGTGGTCAGACTCGCAGACTTGGTTAATGATGCATGTCATCGTATCCCAATTGCGTGGATCGATGCTCATGATGTGAATCAGTGGATTGTCTGGTTCAGACTCGTGTATTTGCAGACCAACGTCATGTAGCTCGAATATTGTTGTTAAACAACAAACAAACAAACACATAACTTGATGTTGCTTTGTGCATGCCTGACAGTGTATGTTTAGGATTTATGTGTTCAAATATTTGCACTATTGTTGCAACTATTAACTCTGACACTGTCAAGTCAACCGTTTCAATTCATAATACATGATTTTATTTTTGGTGTTAGGTAACAGTCTTCAATAATGATCATCCAGAATTTAAATTTTAGCATTGGCTATTAGGCCACAATAAATGATTAGAGTTATATCCATTTTTATTTTAAAATGTTCAAAGCATGAACCAAGGTTGTTGTTTACCCTATCAAATAAACAAAATAAACGAACAGTTATTTTTCATCTGCAGTACTTGTGGACAATAAAATGATGTGAGGCAAAGGTTTGGGTAGTGAGACATTAGGGGGCGAATTAAGCTGCCCAAAATTTCAAATTAGAGACTTGTAACTCCTAATAGGCAGACGGACTATTTTTCAAAGTACAAATAACAAATGATGACTTGTTTGTGTTATTGTTTCCTTTGTTAGGTTGTTGATTTTCCCACAGGCTGTGAACATTGTGGCTGGCTATGGTGGAAATCCCAGGACACAAAGGTCACCAAGTATTTGCAACCAGTCTTCGCCTTGACTTCCTCCTGCTACTTGAGATGCCAACAAGGGTCATTGGTCACCAAGTATTTGCAACCAGTCTTCACCTTTCACTCCTGCTTCTTTCAAAGAGTGAGTGAATATGGTTTTACGCCGCTTTTAGCAATATTCCAGCAATATCACGGCGGGGGACACCAGAAATGGGCTTCACTCATTGTACCCATGTCGGGAATCGAATCCGGATCTCGGGCGCGACGAGCGAACGCTTTAACCACTAGGCTACCAGACCGCCTCTTTCTTAAAAGATCAATGCAAGACCCATACATTTGAGTCAATTTGCAATGTTTTGGATCACTACTAGCTATACGCTAACCATTCATTCACTTAATAGATTCATCATTTCACATTTGTACAATGTGTGAATCCCTTTTCTGCTGTCCCCACAATGATATTACTGGGGTATAGCTACAAGCACCATAAAACCCAATTCACTCACACATCCATCACTCTCGTCCTCATCCAAGTGAACACACCTGATACTTAAAATTTAAAAGCTCATTTCAAAACTTGGGCAGAGATTTGTTAATACTGACACTTGCAACGAGTTTTACTGTAATGTGATAATTCAAATACACAATAGTTATCACACATCAAGTCATTGATGGATACGTTTTCCGATTCCTAAGATATCCTCAGAATAAACAAACATTATTTCTTGTTTATTATAACATTGTATATGACATACTGTTTTCTGTATTGTTATATTGTGTTAATGATGAGTGTACAATATGAAATGTATTGTTCAGCATGTCAGATCTTACTTCATGAATACAATATTTAATCTGTATATTCTACATAGATGTTGCTATGACATATTATATATTTCTTTTATAAGTATATACATGTATACACTGATTGTCAAGGTTAAGGAACATCAGAATTTAACTTTTTAAAACGTTCTGAATATTAGCAATAACACTCTTTCCACAATCCTATGAATTATCTGGTAGAAGCTGAGTCCATTGTACCTTTCCGACTAGATCATAAGCAAGTGTTTATGGATCACTATCAAAAAGTGATTGACACCAGGTGAGTGTACTCTGCTCCACAGCCACCCATGACAAACACATGTACAGGCAAAACAAGTGTCACCTGAACAAATACTGGATCATATGGTACAGGTACAAGAATTGCATCCCACATCCTTCTGGTCAATGGTGTAGGACCCAAAACTCTACATAATTTGTATACAAACTTCTGCAGGGAAAAGTGTTTGATGTCAAATGCATTGATGCTGAAAAGCAATATTACGTTGTATATATATTATCATGCAATAAATACATTTGTAGAGTAGATGGGTATATAACTCTATTGATTGGAGGACCACAGTGTGGTCAGACATTCAAATTAGATGGCACAGAATATAGAGCTATACTGTTTGTTTGTTTGTTTGTTGTTTAACGCCGCACTCAGCAATATTCCAGCTATATGACGGCGTTCTGTAATTAATCGAGTCTGGACCAGACAATCCAGTGATTGATATCATGAGCATCGATCCGCGCAATTGGGAACGATGACATGCATCAACCAAGTTAGCGTGCCTGACCACCCGATCCCGTTAGTCGCCTCTTACAAGCATAGTCGCCTTTTATGGCAAGTATGGGTTGCTGAAGACCTATTCTACCCCGGATCTTCACGGGTCTTTTTCATACTGACATGGATTGATAACATACTACCTAGTCAGAGATTTATCAAGGACATTGTGTGGCAAGTATGAGTGACCCCTCTCAGGCAGTTACTCTTACGGGGAACGGGGACCAATCTAATGTAAACAATATTGAATGAAATTTTTAATAAAAATAACACTATAGATTACAAACATAAGCCCAGATATACAATGAACACTTTTTATAACCAGACAGTTTAATTACAAGATTAAATTGCATATTCAGTACAGATTTGTTGACCTGGCATTTCCGGTGTTACGTGCTCACGGTAATGTCTTTGTGTTTGGGAAATAACATCAAAACTCGAAGACGACGCCCCCCCCCCCCCCCCCCCCCCCCCTTAATTCTAGGTACGAAACACGCCTTATACACGGTGATATACGGTACATATTACGTCATCAACTGGTTACTAGCTTCAAAAATGGGATATGTATGACAGTTTCTTCCTCTGCAGCAACCAACCGTATACAAGTCACTCTCGTTGTAACACTGGTCATGGTTATAACTAAACTGAATTGGGAAATATTTAATTCCAATTTGGGATTTTCTGTTTGGGATAGGGCCGAATATCATCCTCTGAGAACACCTAGACAAATCCCTGCTTGAATTATGTTTTGGCCACTTATGGTCTATATTGTTTCATGTTGCTACCCTAAATAATAAGACCGCCTCTTGGTGGAAGCGTCCGCCCGGAGAGCGGAAGGTCCGGGGTTCGATCCCCAGCCGCGTCATACCAAAAGACGTTTCAAGATGGTACTTGTTGTTACCCTGTCTGGCGCTCGGCATTAAGGGGCTAAAACAAGGACTGGTCGGCTCGGAGTCAGTATACTGTGTCTGAGTGGGGTATTCATGTTAAACTGTGGCATGTTATCTCAGTATGCTTGCACTATAAATCGGAATCAGTCCGGACTAGTACAAGCAGCCACACACACACACATATACACGTGCATGCGCGTCGCTATATAAGTGCAATAATCTTGGACGCTACGTTAAACCCCATTTCACCTCACCTCACCTAAATTATATTAAGTAATTAAAGATCATTAAATGTTGTATTCTTTAACCTGTTAGTATTGTATCCCCTTTACGCACATTTAACCACTGTTTACAATACAGATAATCATCACGGATGCTTGACACAATCTAAATATGCCATCATGTACGTACATTAAACATACTGCAATTACATTGCATGTCAATAGCCCAATTAGTGAAGAGGATTGTACAAAATTTTAATTTGTCATTCTCGCTTAGGTTGTTCCATGTTTGCAAGAATGAAAACTGTTTTGACACCTTTGTTTACCTGGATATATGTTAGTAAACAACAGAAGCTAAAGACGATGTCAGTCTAAGTATTTAAATAATGGGTATCACTTGTGAGTGTCAACGTGTGCGAAATATGCATAATGTCGGAAAGGGCATCTCTAACAGTATGTAAGTTGTGATTTTCACTTTTCAGATTCTGTATTCACACATAAATGACAAAGGTCGCGCAGTGGTGTAAGCATCTGCTTAGCTGGGGGGATACATGTATCAAGTAATAGAGATTGCTGGCAGGTGAGATTCCAACAAGTTGGAGCTTATTTGTGGTTATTGTTTGTATGGCATGAACAAATCTGAACCACCTTGTGTTTGAATACATCATATCAATGTTTCATATTCCTAGACCTTGTGGCGTCATAGGGCACAAGTTTTCACAATGTCATTGTTTTTTTCACTTAAAACAACGCTTGTTTACACTTGCCTGTAAATAATACAAGTCTGGACCTGGCAAACATGTGGTGGAAGGCATGAGCACCACCATCTGAACACAATGACACGGTCCTACTACAAAACGTCGGGGGTATTGTCGGGATGCATCCGGGAAGATGAGACTAAATAATAACATGTATTCTATATTCTTGTGTTCTTGTATTAATAAAAATAACCTTCATGGCCTATTAAATATGTCTCACCTTGTTAGTTGTATTTAATGTTTGTTTGTTTTTGTTTTGCTGTGCGTTTTGGCTATTTATTTGTATGCCAGTGGATATTCTCATGATCTTTCCCAACTGAGAAAGACATGTTTTATTGACTGACTGCACTGTATTATTAAACTCCCAGACGTCTGATGAAACCTCCCGGACGCTCCCGGAAGTTAAATAGTAGGTCCCCAATGACATGCATTCAAACAAGTCACCGAGTCAGACCAGTTCATCCTCCTTTGTCACCTCCCACAAGCATAGGATACTGACGATCTGTTCATCCCTGGCATCCCCATAGGGTAGATGTTATCACCAGGCCACTTTTGTGATGATACATGTTACAGTAAAACATAGTTATTGGAAATCCAAATGAAATTTGTTTCACGAAACATGTCGTCTGCCAGTTCCCCTGTGAATCCGAATTTTTTGGCACTAAAGTGCCAGTGGCCTCCACACGTTTTGGCTGGAAGTTGATGGACAATTTATGGATAACAACTTCTTTATTCCATATCTGTCCATATCAGCAACTGCCCCAATCACAAAATCAACTGGGAAAACATCCAAATCCTCTCCAACATCCTCCATGACTTCACTGAAAGAAAACTAACAGAAGCAGCCCACATTCCCCGCCACAAGCCATCAACAAAGATCAAGGCTATTACATCCTATCCACCTAGTATGAATTCATTAAGCAATAATCACCCCACCTGTGTCATTGGCTTCCTCATCATGTGTTCTCTGCCCATAATGTTGTTACAGTGTTATCCTTCTTGTGTCATTCCGGGGTAGAATAGGTCTTCAGCAACCCATGCTTGCCGTAAACGGTGACTGTGCTTGTCGTAAAAGGTGACTAACGGGATCGGGTGGTCAGGCTCGGTGACTTGGTTGATACATGTCATCGATCCCAATTGCGTGGATCGATGCTCATGATATCAATCACTGGATTGTCTGGTCCAGACTCGATTATTTACAGACCGCCGTCATATAGCTGGAATATTGCTGAGTGCAGCGTTAAACAACAAATCAACCAACCAACCAACTTAACTTACTCATGTTAATCTCTCTCTTGTAAACAATTGTTGCTTCTCCACCTACTATATATATTCTGTACCATGTTCATCATTCAGCTTTGCTTGATAACTTTATAAAGATCTATACCGAAACGTCGCCTTTACAGTAAATAAAGAGGTTGTTATCCATAAACTGTATACAGAATTTGTTACTCATAATAGTATGGAGTAAAGTGTTCAGGACCTCGAAATAGTTTGTACGACCATAGGTGGAGCACACACACACACACACACACACACACACACACACACACACACACACACTCACACACACTCCTCATTAAGAGAGGATTTTGATATTTTGGACCCCTCACTTTTAAAATTACTGGATCTGTCCTTAATAACCATTTGTACATTCTATTTGTGTTTGTTTAACCATGTTCTACTGTACAATGCGTGTCATATTCAGCACTCACAAAGATGGCTGAAAATACGGGATCCGGCAACACTCCAGCTTCATCCTAGCTGCCATACATGTACCAGTGTGGCCAGACATACCACAGGCTGATAGTGTGAGCAATCATACATGCCATGAGTACACACCGATACACTCAACCAGGTGACACATTGCAGCCATCTGAGTCTCACTACTCAGCTCACACAGCAATCCTCAGGTATTGGGACCTCCCCAGGACTCCCACGTACAAAGAAAGCATCTGTGACTGCGGATGTTGAGTATCCTCCATGATCTTTTAGATTTAAACTTCTTTTCCTCATCCACATTAAAAATATCAGCTAAGTCTCACTACTCAGCTCACACAGCAATCCTCAGGTATCGGGACCTCCCCAGGACTCCCACATACAAAGAAAGCATCTGTGACTGCGGATGTTGACTATCCACCATGATCTTTTAAATTTAAACTTCTTTTCCTCATCCACATTAAAAAATATCAGCTCTAAGTTAGGGATATCTCTGACAGTATAGGTTGATGCCTCTCCTACATGAGTGTGGATAAAATGACAAACACGAAAATAGTATGTTGCAATTTATTATTGTGTATCACTTAAAACAAATGTAACAAAGATGATTGAAAAGATTCTTCTTTAAGTCTGATAATACTGCTTGAATACATGATGTATCAAACCCATAAAAAAACAATTGATCATTATTTTTACAGTTTTATGAGGCCAGCTCAAACAAATGATGACACATTATAGGGGCTGCCATTTCAAGTTTAATATTACAGGCTTTTTGATTCTTACAAAAACAAAAACGTGAATATCTGTTTACAAGTGACAAGTCACAAATTGCTACCCTGAAAAAGCATTGTCTATAAAAGTGTAAGGAAACATAGTTTTTAGTCAATAATCTATTGCTTTACTCTTCCGTGAAAATTCCAAAAAATTTGAGACCATTTTACATAAATTTTGCAACTATGTATGGACACCTATGTCTACACTACTGATACAGTTCAACATTGTATCAAATGTTGCGTCACATGTACATATGACTTGTCCTAACTGAATAGAGGAAAATATCAACTGTTTTACAATAAACCACCTCCGTGGTCTAGAAGTTAAGCGTCCACCCGGAGAGCAGTAGGTCCGGGATTCAATCCATGGCCGCGTCAAACCAAAGACGTTAAAGATAGTACTTGATGTTAACCTGCCTGGAGCTCGGCATTAAGGGGCTAAAACAAGGACTGGTCGGCTCCAAGTCAGTTTACTGTGTCTGTGTGGGGTATTTATGTTAAACCGCCGCATGGTATCTCAGGTGGCTAGCTCTATAAAATCGGCATCAGTGCGGACTAGTACAAGCAGCCACACACACACCTGCATGCACGTCGCTATATAAGTGAGATAATCTTAGACGCGATGTTAAACCCCATTTCACCTCACCTCACCTAATTTAATTTACAATAGGTTATTCACTCCAGGCATTTCGGTTCAAACTGACTGTAAATAATTATTTTGTGAAACAAACATGTTAAACTAGTCATAAACTTTGATATGTGAGAGATGTCCTTACCAGCAGAACATCCCAGAAAGCCAGCAGGTTTCTCAGGTACTATGCCCTTAAAGGCAAGAGTCTGGAAGTGAATTCAAATGTATCTGCTGAGTTTGAGGCCTATGGAAACACAACTCGCAGCAGGAATAGCAGCTTCATAAACTTCATAAACTGTTCGACTGACCATTTTCTAGTCGATGGAGGAGAGGGGATTTTATGAAAAAAATATGTGCCCAGAAAATACTTGAAAACGACAATTATGCTTCACACTGTTGAGAAACAATATAGAAAAATAAATTGTCTGACACAAAAAATACATTGTTGCAAGATTTTTGAAAATAATAATTAGGCCTATAAAAAGCATGTGGTTCCCAGCTGTAGCTGAAAAAATATTCAGTGTCTATACAAAACCCCAGCCCCCTTCCTGCATCACATCTTCATAACTCTGTCGGGAATCCTTTCAGCGTGCCATTACATATCACAGAGATATTGTCATCAACATGTCCAATATGTGTCATCACGAGAGCAAACATGGGAATGTAAGTGCAAAGATCAAAACAAGGCTAAAATCCAAACAAGGAAAAGGACTTGGTATTCCTGCTCAGCCCAAAACATATATTCATCATCTACCTAAATGTATAAGGCTACATTACCTATATATCTGTGCAATGGCAAACAATCTAAGAAACACATACATCAATACTTGTACCATATTAAAGCCATGGAGTGGACCGATTAACATAGAGCAAAAATAGTTCTCTTATAATGCTGGCAATCTAAAGTAAAACCATTTTTTTACTAATTAAAAAAGAAATACTTAGATATTATGAAATTACAAAACCTATTGCACATTCGACTAACGGGATCGGATTGGTCAGGCTTGCTAACTTGGTTGATGCATGTCATCGATCCCAATTGCGTGGATCGATGCTCATGATATCAATCATTGGATTGCGTGGTCCACACTTGATTATTTACAGACCGCCGTCATATCGCTGGAATATTGCTGAGTGCCGTGTTAAACAACAAACAAAACAAACAAACATGCACATGAAATAACAACACATACATGCACACTCTATGTTGACATTGAAATGTAAAATATGATGGGAAATGGAATAAAAATATTAAAAAATTAAAAAAAATAATCTTGGTTTGACTCAACATAATATATGAAGAATATGTTCTGTGTTCCCCATTATAATACAGAAGTGAATGTTGGACACATCAGAACAATGTCATCGAAGGGTAGGTTTCAACCACTAGGGTGTCTTACTGTCCCAACACACTAGAAGAACCTGGTGACCAAACAGACACATCACTGCCTGAGGACTCATTATTGAGTGAGTGAGTGAGTGAGTGAGTGAGTATGGTTTCACGCCGCTTTTAGCAATATTTCAGCAATATCACGGCGGGGGACACCAGAAATGGGCTTCACACATGTACCCATGTCAGGAATCGAACCCGGGTCTTTGGCGTGATTAGTGAACGCTTTAACCACTAGGCTACCCAACCGCCCCTCATTATTGACTTTGAAGGAAGGAAGGCTACTTCCAGGGAGTTTATACTGTTCTATAGTCAATACTGTGTTGTTCTTACAGGATCATATATATATATTCTCTGCCTCATAGCATTTACTTTTGTTGTTCCTATAGGTACATATATACTGTAAATCTTGAAATTTACGCGAGATGAATTAGATGCGGAAAATGTGAGTGGTCTTTGTTCGGATTAATGAAACTTCGCATTTACGTCTCCAAAATGACTATCAACAATAAGAATTTAGATAGCGAGAATAACAACTTGAATATATACACAGAACACGGTTTATTGAGCGGCAGTTGTAACAAGTCCCTAACAATGTCATTTAAAGAGTAGGAATTACACAATGGGTTTCCAGTGAGTTATCACTGCTGGGGTCAAGAGTTCTTCCCAATCATGTCAAACGAGGCATCGTTGACCACCGTTTGATTGGATTAGGGTAAGGATTCCTATCATTCCACTTCAGAAGGGGTAGGGGCAGTCACATTTTTGGCGAGGCTTCATCAGGCGTATTAATTTGGAGACACATTAATTTCAAGATTTACAGTATATTCTCTGCCTCATAGCATTTACTTTTGTTGTTCCTACAGGTACATATATATATGTTCTCTCCCTCATAGCATTTATTCACCTGATGAAGGAGTAAGTATATACTCCGAAAAGTTGTGTTCCTCATAAAAAAGAAGTTGACATCCATACATGAATATTCCCTTCCTTATAGATGTCAGATTATCAGTGTGCATTTCTGTCAAAAGGTCATTTCTATACCAAGAGAAAAATGTAAGTCAGTGACAACTGTAAGGTAAAATGAGAGCAGATTATAACCGTGGGGGTCAGCACAATATCAGTACTAATTTGAACTCTAAACAACAATAAGCACCAGTCAGAACAAATTCTTTCACATTAAATTTTAAAACATCCCACTTGACATAACACATGTAGATTGCAGAACTATCATAACTAAACACAAAAACAAATTTAACAAGATCAAACTACTTGTTAGTTTATAACAATCAATACAATAACATCATCATCTGAAAACAATATACACCAACATTTTGCTACATCACATGCAGTTCATAACAAATGTTTGCCAAAGTGCAACAATTTGTGGACAAGAGTAGCATTTATCATCCAGAACTGGCTCCCACAGGAGATATGGCTTGGGTGAGATCAAGCGATATTTACATTGTAGATATCACTGCAGTGAAATTGCATCACAATGCTTCGCAGAACATTGTGACATCATTGGTTACCATGACATCACAATCAAAGGACATCACAAATGGCTCTGCTTTTAGCAGTTCTTTTTACACTAAGACACTGCTTATTCTACCATGAATTTGGAATTTACTCGATTCTGATTGGTCAATCAGAGGCTAATAAATCACAATAAACCCCCTCTGATTGAAACAGCTGGTTTGACGGCCGCATCACCGCGGAAGCTAATATTCATAGAATAGTACTATTTTCAGTCATTGTCGGTAGGCATATTTAAATAACTATATCTACAATTACAGGTTACAAAATGCACATATGCGGTTACTACAATATTCAAAGGATGTGTGGCAATACATTTCGTGCAGAAATAAACAAAGGGAATGTATTTACGTTTTGGAGACAACAGAGAGCTTGGAATTTTGGCCCTTTTCTATATACGACTGTGACGTTCGCGTTCGGTTCCAAATTCAATTTAGCGGGGTTAAATCTACAGGTAACCTAGCTCTACATTGAAAACACAGTATGTTTATGTCCTAATTACTGTCTATAAACTGAAAATGTTGGAAGAATGATGTTGGATGATAAATAAAATCTCACCCTCGTGTCTTTTGATCAACACGAGTTGATATATTTGATATCAAAAGACACTCGGGTGACATTCTCTATATATAGGCAATGATACTTTAGACTTCCCAATACCTATGCAAGGCAATTCTCCAATGATTAAAAAAAGATTTAGAAATTGTAGAGATTTAAGCTTGATGTAAGATGTAAGCTTTCCTATGAACAAAATGAAGCTATCGCCAGCATGTGATATGTGAAACATGTACATATTGTGTGTTTCAGGAAGATGAAATTAGCACAGCGGTTCTTAGTTTTCGACTCTTGCATGTTTTTGCATGGAGGACCACATGTCTACCTGTATTGTGAATGTACCACAGAGTCATAAGCAAATTATATATGGCTGAATGATACAGACTTAATATGGCTATCATGGCTACAATATTAAAGACTTTGTGAGCTATATCGGACATGTCCGGTGCATATGACCGTTTCCGGACCCCTGGCTATATGATTGTGAAAAAACGCCAAAACTCACATAAATATTATTTTCTTGCTCAGTTCTCAAGGTTGTATGTGAGTGACCATTGACCTTGACATTGTTATTAATACTGATTGCACTATATACCACATGCATTACAAATATGTCTACAAATCTAATATCCGTAGTATCCTTCAGTACTCTCTGGAACCAGGTCATTGACCATCACTTACCAAAGTCCAAATGTGTTATTGGCATCTAAAACAGAAAGAATAGCTTGGACGCAAAAGTGTATCATTTGATTGCCTTTCTTCATTGAAGTCATCTTCTCGAGACAAGGGAGTTAACTGACTGTAAGAGTCCAGAACTTGCAGAACTAGACTGGAATTCCTGGGCTCGATCATAGCGCCACCACTGGCTATTACGAGTTATGTCCCTTTTATGTCCCTCCTATTGACCAAGCAGATTCCACCTCTCATATCACTGCATTTGATTCAAACAAAATGTTGCCACCCAGTGAAGACAATCTGATCAATAATCAAGATCTATATTGTTATAACATGGGTCTTACTTCGCAAAGTGCATCAAATCACTTGAGCACCTTGATTTAAAACATGAAAAGATTTGGAAAATATCTGTTGACGCTAAGTTGTCGGTACACATGTTTTGCAAATCTTGGAATCGACCGACATCTGCACAGTAGTTTAAGAACCGGATGTTGACAATTTTGATTGGACTATGCAAAAACTCCTTAGTCTAGCCAAAATATAACTCCATAATACCAGCCTAGTTCGACAAGGGTGGAAACTGGACTTTTATAGTCAGTTGACTCCCTTGCCTCAGGAAGATGCAATGAAGCAGGAGGCACCTTAAGAAGCAAGACTGTCTTGCTTTGTCAGCTCCCTCTCTTCTCTGGACACGCTATTCCAAAAATGTGTAACTTCATTTATCCTCCTTCGTCCCATAGCCTCCCACACAGACAGCTCTGTCTGCAGTGACCTTGGCTTGGGACTGACCCTGACACTGGACACAACCATATTCCCTGCTGCTGTCATCATGAATACAGGGCCTCTTTCAATCTGCCCATCGTCCAGCCTTGCAGTTGATTCATTCTCAAGTACTGACAGCTTTGGCCTTTGGTGATTAGGTTGTTTTTCATTGACACCAATAATTAGTATCTTCCCTTTGTTGGTTCCCACCCATAGTGTATCATGCACAACCTGCATAGATGATACAAGTGTCCCAGAGGGTTGTCTGGACTTGAAGTTTGCTGGTATGGTGTTGTATTTAGCACTTAACTGGGGTGCAGTTTCACCAAGCACAATGTTAGGTGGTTGAAGGCTTGGAGAAGAGGCACCTCCTTTCTTAACAGTTGGGCTTCTTGGTGGTAGGGCAGGAGGCTTGTTAGATGATGCATTTGAATCTGGTTCTAACTGAGGTGATCGTCCTGGGGATTTAGAAGCTGATCTTTTAGGCACATCTGATGGACTGGGGATACCCAGTGTCGATCGGCGAGGTGGAAGAGCTGGAGGCTTATCTGACCTATCCTTATCATACACAGCTCCCTCACCTTTGTTGCTGATGTCCCCAGTGGAAATAGAATTCCTGGGAGGTGGCACAGGTGGTTGGATCTCTTGTAGAGATCTTGTCGATAGTCGGGGTGGTCTGGTGGGAGGTGGGGTTTCCTCTGTTGGCACTGATATCCTACGTGGTCGAAGGGGTAGAGTGGGAGGAATGGTCTCACCGCTCTCAGTAGGTTCTGTTGAAAACCATGTAGTTCTTTTCTTATTCCTGGGTGGACGAACTGGAACAGAGTCACTGATTGCCTTTTTTCCTGAATTCAAGGTAAGTCTTGTTGGGTGTCCCGGTGGTATTTTGTTAGGTGCCTTCAAGGGTGTCCCTTTTCCAGTTGTTTTAGATGTGGGAACGCTTCGTTTGTCAGTTACTACTCCTCGTGACTCTACACATTCATACAGGTTGGAGTCTTCATCATCACTGGCTTCATCCACTACCTGGCCGTCAGGTATCAATGTTATATATTCATGTGGTTCTAAGGATCTATGCTGAGCTTTAACATGCTCTTTCTGATCCACTTCATCATACACATTCTGGTCAGGTCTTGTTTGTTTACCTGGTGTGGGGGCAGCTGGTCTCAAGTCTACTAAAGACACTGATGGACAGGAAGTACTCAAATTGGACGTCTTCGCTGCCAAATGAGTATCATCAAATTCACCATCATCAGAATCCAAATCAGACTCTGTGTCATGTTCCGTGTCTTTGGAATTGGCTAAATATTTACACTTGACATCCCTGCCTTTCACATCCAGACAAAACAACAGCTGTCTCAGTTCTGCATCATATTCGAGAATCTTTGAGGACTTTCTGAAGGAACACCAGACCTGGTTTTCATTAGAAACTAGTCGCTGAATAACAGGATTCTTTCCCAGTTTACCTGACACACGCTCCTGCTTGATGTCAATCTCGTCCTCTTTGAGCAGTGTCTGGGTGCTGACAATGACCACCTTGTGTCCACAGGCCACCCACAGTTCTCTACCCTGGCTGACCAAAGTCATCCCACACACTGACTGGTCAACTGATAGTGTCAAAGACTTCGCCAGTCTCCATTGTTTGCTTGCTTTCCTCATGTTCCGCTGATGTGAGTAGATGACTACAGACCCATTGTCAAGTCCAACAAAGACATGACCCATATTCTCTTCTTCATTGTCACTCTGAAGCAGATATATCAAACAAAACATTTAATTCTTTAAAATAAACATGTCAATATATCACTGGCAGCATGATTGAATGATTTTAAGAATAAACAAAAAAAACCAACTTAACTGACCTAGACACCAGCAACATGCTGGACTGACAGAGGAAATTAAGCTTGATCTTACAAATGCTTAGCCAAGATACCGGTAATGAAAGTTCACTGAGCTTGAAGAAGTAAGTTGAAAGGATTTGTTTAAGTGAACAATGAGTGATTATAGTTTTACGCCGCTTTTAGCAATATTCCAGCAATATCACGGCGGGGGACACCAGAAATGGGCTTCACACAATGTACCCATGTCGGGAATCGAACCCGGACCTTCAGCGTGACGAGCGAACGCTTTAACCACTAGGCTACCCGACCGCCCCTTAAGTGAACAATGACATAGGGGTGTTACATACCGTTTTGAAAAAGATCATTGATGTTGGTATGGCACTCAGCGAGAACTTTTCCTGACACTTTGGAACACCAACACTCCCACAGCCAAACAGTTCTATTACACATTCCTGAAACAGATGGATAAAAGGGCACGTTCAGATGACAATGAACCAATGTTTCTTGTATGTTTTTAAAATGAAAAGTATTACCTTGAAGTGTTATAGCCAAACAAACATAAATATCAAACTCAATTATTTTTTCATTAAATTCATTGATATTTATCACAGTTACAGTTACAGTGTATTCTATACTGAGAGGCATTAAACATACGTACTGTTTTTTTGTCACAAAGTACAGTATACAGCTTTTGCTTTTGCTAAAACTATAATATGTTGAAAACACATTGTTGACAACTGCATAGTTCCAATGGTTAGATTCGAATCTCGAGTTTTCAAAATATGGGGACGTGATACCTCAAACACAACGAGGAACATCTGTGACAATGCAGTCGGATGAAAAAAATCATGATGCACATGCAAAATGTACACTAAGGACCAAAACAAAAAGGCAATTATTCACATTCATAATGCCACAGTTGACCAAAGCCTAAAGGAGGGGGAGGGGGTTCGGTTTAACGCCTCTTTTAACAGTATTCCAGTTATATCACGGCGTGTCAGCTTAATGTGGGAGAAAAGCCCGAAGTGATGCAGGTCTCAGACGTTTACACAGGTATGGTGTGGACAAACCTAGAAATATAATTGGGGCGAACTGGGATTCGAACCCACAATCATAGGTTTCTGGCGTGCCCAAGGGACGCAACTCTGCACAGCAAATCATGGTGCCTTAGACAACTGGGTCACCCGTGCCCCCTAAAGCCTATAGGAACCAAGCGATAGAAAATCTGCAAACTGGCTGGACACAGACAGATGTTGCTAATCACTTCCGTTTCGAGGCTGCAGCAACATCATAGGGCAACAGGAAGTGTCCACGTCAAGAGCGCCTTGTGTGACGTCACAAAGGCAAGACCAGTACACCATCATCAGTCATCTAAGGAATCGCTTCAGGACCGCACGAGAGACTGTTAATGCAATGATAGGAACGAGAGGAAGGCCCATCAGTGAATGGACAGTCCAATGTCGCCTTGATGCACATCACGTCCTATGTCGTTGACCCTATTGTGGCCATATCCTTACCCATGCACATCACCTGCATCATCAACATTTGACAGCTGCTAGAGGTCATCTCGGTGCCACACAGTGGAGAGACTTCATCTTCTCAGATGAATCAGATGGTCTATCACCGTAACCATGAATGTTTTGCACAACCCTGTGTTATTGAGCATGATCGCTCTGTAGGAAGTGGAGTTATGGTGTGGGGAGCAATTAACGTCAACTTCCACTCTAACTTGGTTATTTTTCATGGAAATCTCAACACCTGACGTTACATTGACAACGCGTTGCAACCAGTGCTTTTGCCATTGATGAGAAGACATTGACAAAATCACCTCATGTTCCACCAGGCCAATACCAGACCTCATTCAGCTAGGATAACACAGGACGTTTTACATCAGAACAATGTTGATGTCTGGAACTGGCCCTCACAATCACCAGATGTGATTGGTTGGTTTGTTGTTTAACTCAGCACTCAGCAATGCATCAACCAAGTCAGCGAGTCTGACCACCCGATCCCGTCAGTCACCTCTTATGACAAGCATAGTCGCCTTTTACGGCAAGCATGGGTTGCTGAAGACCTATTCTACCCCGAATCTTCACGAATCCGATCGCACATCTGTGGAATGAACTTGGGCGCCGTGTGAGACGTCAGTTGATATATACCATATAGATCAGAAGATATGTGTTGATGATTCACACTATCCTTTACTTCTTTGGCCTAGCATATGTCCTAGCCTTAGCACATAACCCCTGCTTAACCATAACAGACCAAGGTACCACTCCATATTTCAACAACATCAATAAATGTCCCAACATGTCTCGTGATTTTCTGGTCCATCACATGAATGTCTGGTTTGTTTCCAGGCCGTGCTGCATGGCAGGAGTACTGCTGTGCGACGTTGGACAAAAAACAAACTCTTACATTTTCATGCAAATTGTGTGAGTTGCATTTGCTAATAATAATAATAATAATAATTTATGCATTTGTATAGTGCAGCATTCACTGTGCATAAGTGCTCTGTGCGCTAATGGCAGGGTAGGACATGCTTACTGTTACTCACAGACATCTGGTGTCATCACTGATTTTCAGTGATCCATTCATATTATTTTCTCCACTATTTTGCTTGTTACGCCCAATGGAATCTGTTTCGGGGGATGATCTAGACTGGTTCTTCATTGGCATTGACGTTTTATATTTACCTCTGTTCCAACAAACATTGATCTTCCAGCTTTGATCATGCAGCGAACATCAGCCCCTGGACACTCCTTGCGGGCGACATGGAAGCTCGATGTGTCCAGGTTGTAGATGGAGTAGCAGCGAACTTGTTCCTCCCCTCCTGCCTCCCAAACCCATACCTTGGTCCTTGTATCAGCAGACCGGGTCTGTGAATCACACATCACCACATTATGGCAAACCATTATTGCTCTTCATCAAAATAACTGGGCCCCAGTTTCACAAAGCAATCTTTGTGGTATGACTATCATCATGATCACTTCGTGAAACAGGGTCTTGTTTCACAAAGATATTGTAGTGCTAAGACGGTCATAAGTTTATGTTAAAGGATAGGAGTTACGGTAGTCATAGCGCTACAATTGCTTTGTGAAACGACCCCCTGGGCCCTGGCTCAATATACCCCAACAAGGCAGCATGTTCAAAAGAGTTTTTTGTTTTTTTTCCTGGTTTTTTTATTATTCCATTTCATGTATATTGTTACAAGTGTAGGTATTAACATGTGTATATATGACAGTATTAACACAAGTTATAATTTTCATAGGTGAGGACAGGCAGATTGTGTAGGAAATGTCGTTATTAAGGTTCTTCTCAAACTGAGAGGGAGATTATAAATAATTGTTTACAAGAAATAGATGATTACTAATTAACAGGTAATATGTTTCAACTGCTTCATTAGATTATGAGATGTAATTTTTGCCATTTCTGAGCATATTGGTTAAATTGATTATTTTTTTTAGCGATATACATTTCCAAACAAATCGTGTCTTTTCAAGTGGAAGAAATTGTTCGAAAGATAAATCTTGTTGTTTTATGTTTGATACATGTATGTAGATGAATCTCTTTGCTAGTATAATAATATGATTTGCTACGTGGTAGAGTTGAAAGTTAACTAAAAACAATCTAAAAGTACACAGGTTATATGTAAATAATTAAATCACAAGTGATTCCAAAGCATTTGATTGGCTAACCAAGCCATGTTTTTTAAGTGAAAAATCCATTAGGCCACGCCCACTAACAGACTAACTGTTTCCTGATTGGTAAATAATAAAATGGGCGGGGCTTGTGTTGCATCATCATCCTAAACGATCTCACATGTTTTGTACTGCTGTCTACTGGTTCTTGTGTTTGTCTTAATGATTAAATAAACAGTCTTGGAAGTTATTATTGTTTATGTACTTATTTATAAGAATTGACTAAATATATTTTTGCATTTATGGAGTTACAAACTTAAAAAAGGGTGTGCTTACTTTGCGTAAATACGTAAATTTACACAGTATGCACACGTTTTTACGTTTATCCCTCCATAAACACAAAAAGTTATGAAGTCAATACTAAAATGTTTTAAATGTTACCTCGGAGGTGATTGCTGTGCAGGTGACATCTGTGAATGTCCCGCCCGGCCCTGCCTGTCTGAGACGCTCACACTGTCCAATGAAGTGCTGCTGACGCATGTAGGCAGTGATCTCCCCCGCTGACGGTCTCCGGCTGGCGTCGTGGTTCCAGCATTCGGCCATAAGGTATTCCAGGTAAGGGAAATGGGACACGATGTTGAAATTCTGTAAAAGATGAACATGATCTAGGGCTGAAACAATATTTATAAATGTAGCATTTTAACCCAGCCAGCTCAATAATATTGTTTTTATTAACATACATACGTGTGAAGGGATATGACTTTGAACATTCTTTAAAGATTTTACTGGGTTGCTGATTCTTATTATATACTATTATATTATATTTCAACAATATAGTGATTTATATATATGTCAAAATGCATTTCTATCATTATTTTTGCCATGGGACTATGTGATCCAGGGTAGTTTGTTTTGAACAAAGTATTCATTATAAGAACTGTCCTTCAAGATGCAAATGTTTAACCTTCAGAGGATGACATAGAATTAAATCTCAGAATCTAAATAGAATTATTTTTTTCATGTTCTTTGATGATTAAATTGTTACCACTGACTGACATTATTATCAGATTACCTTTAAGTCTGGCCTCTTCCTGTCCTTGATAACTGCCTGCATGATCTGTGAAAGGTTGACATACTCGTCATAGGGCAGTCGTCCACTCAACACTTCATAAATGAGCATGGAGAAGGAGAAGATGTCCACCTGAAATACACATCAACCCATGGAGAAGTTTCATGGAGAAGTACATAAAAGAACAGAGGTAAAATTGTTAAGATTGATTTCATTCAATTCAAGTCAAAATTTATCAATTTCATATGAAAAAAAAACAATTGGGGGAATCATAAATAACAAAAGGCGCATCTTCACTATGTGGTGAATGCGTGTACCAAGTTTCATAAAGATATCTCTGATAGTTTTCAAGTTCAGCTCCAAAAACGAACCCACTGCTTCCATTCAGTTCAGAGACCAAGTCCAAATTTCAAAATATTATATAAAATATATTAAAAGTGCAGAGGAAAACTAAATAGCGAAAGGCACAACTACACCATATGGTGAATGTGTGTACCATGTTTTGTAAAGTTATCTGTTATGGTTTACGAAGTTCTGCTCCAAAAACTAAACGTGAGGAAGGACGGAGGGACGGACGGATTGAGCCGATTTCTATATCCCCCGCCAACTTCGTAGGGGCGGGGGATACCAAGTTTCCACACGTCTTTCAAGTTTCCATAACTTTAAAATTTTACATTCCAGCAGGTCAAAATGTACTCCTGTCATACCTTGACCTTTAGTAGTTCTTCAAGAACAGTATAAGTATATTTCATAATTATGATTTAACTTTATAAGGTTTCACACTTCTAAGAACTACACCCATAATGTCATATAGATATGATCCTCTTTACCTGAAGCAGTATTCCCATGCATCTGTCAATCTTCACTCACCTTTTCGGTATATATTTGTTTGTTCATGATTTCTGGAGCCATGTAGCCTGGGGTGCCCACAAACCCGCTGAGACCTTGTGAGGTGGCAAACTTGGAGATGCCATAGTCAGATAGTTTGACATTGTGTCTGGCAGTGACATCAAGGGAACAGACAAGTACATTGTCAGATTTCAGGTCCCGGTAGCTGATGCTGTGCTGATGGAGATATTCCAGGCCTTTGGCCACCTGCAGTACACAAATATACACATGCAGAAATGGGGATCCTTTCATAAGCCACAGAAATCTCTGGTGAAAGCAGAGTTGATGGTATGATGCCGGCTATGTGATGTGAGTGAGTCAATCTCATTAAAATCAGATCTTAGTTCTCGCTATCGCTAAACAAAGATCTGAGGACATCCCATTAAGGGTGACGTCAGAAAGACCTTTCATCCAACCAATCATAGCGTCGCTTACCAGATCATGAAAGTGACAGTCGGAATGTGTTTTCTAATCATGTGACCACGAAATATTTAACACGGGGTATTCCGAACGACAGTTACGGGTTTTATGATTATATCCATACAATCTAGGCCATCTATAAGCCATTCCAGAATGTTCTTATCAGTTTTAATTTTTATAATCGAGAATACGTCAAAATATGTTTCGAAGCGTAGTCGCCAGTTTGAAACTAGTGTCATAAAGCTCGAGAAAGCTGCCTTCTGATTGGCTAATGTCAATTTCTTGTCAGTCACTTCATTGGTCGGTCAAAATTCGCGAAAGGTCGTTCTGACGTGACCTGTAATGGGATGTCCTCAGATCTTTGTTTAGCGGCAGCAAGAACTAAGATCTGATTTTAATGAGATTGTGAGTGAGTGAGTTTGATTTACGCCGCTTTTAGCAATATTCCAGCAATATCACAGCGGGGGACACCAGAAATGGGCTTCACACATTGTACCCATGTCGGGAATCGAACCTGGGTCTTCGGCGTGACGAGCGAATGCTTTAACCACTAGGCTACCCGACCACCCCGGCGGTGTCATGAGCAAAGTAAAGTAAACAAAGTAAACAAACGTAAAAGAGTTTTCCATATGAATGCCTTCCAAACTACATGCATGTTGAATTAATAACAATTTGATACGTTAAAACTATTTCGTAGTGAGACATATTTAAATTATCATAACAACTAAGTAATATATTTCACATGGACACATACCGACTCACACTTAGTCAATGAAAACAAATCTTTAAAATAATTTATTTTCTTCCAAACAACCTTTTCTCTATTGCTGTTTTCATGATGAATCAAGAAAATTAGACTTGGTTTAGTTTGATCTAGACTTGCCTAAGCTTTTTGTAAAAAAAGACCTATATATATAAATTCCACAGTCATGGCGCAGGACTAAGAAAAATACTGAACATGGCTGAACAAAGCTCAAAATTAATATTTTCAATATACTCTTCCAGATTACAATATTGGGAGCGCATTTAAAGACACAGCTGTTGGGACTATCCATTAGCCTTCAGATTCAGGTGAGCTACAAATTAGCTGACCACGGTGAAAACAGGTCACTGTCATTGAAAACGTACCTGATAGATGATCTTGTAAGTGATATCCTTACTCAAAACTGAAGAGTATGTTTTGTTTTTATCCTGGAACTTGTTGAAGCTTAGCTGTGCCACCTCCTTGTCAAGGACACTCCTGAGGGAGCCAAGCTTAGCCAGTTCCATGGTGATGTACAAGTAAGGCTGTAAGGACAGGCCTAAAAACGACACAATGCATGGATGTTGGAGCTTGCTCAAAACAGCAACTTCCTTCCGAAACTCAGCAAAAGCCTTGTATGCCTGAAATGAGATCATAACAGGCTGTATTATTTCATGTAACAGATTATTTGTTTGGCAGCTAATGAGATCGGGATGTTGGAGCTTGCTCAAAACAGCAACTTCCCTGTGAAACTCAGCAAAAGCCTTGTATGCCTGAAATGAGATCATCAATGCTTCATCTGATTGTACCTAACAGGCTGTATTATTTCATGTAACGGATTATTTGTTTGGCAACAAATGACATCAGGGGGTCAGACTCTTGGCTGCGGTCATCATGAGCAACTGAGATTTAAACATTGTTTGTTTGTTGTTTAACGCCACACTCAGCAATATTCCAGCTATATGACGGCGGTCTGTAAATAATCGAGTCTGGACCAGACAATCCAGTGATTGACATCCTGAGCATCGATCCACGCAATTGAGATCGATGACATGCATCAACCAAGTCAGCAAGCCTGACCACCTGATCCCTTTAAACGCCTCTTACAACATGCATTGTCGCCTTTTACTGCAACATGGGCTGCTGAAGACCTATTCTAGCCCGGATCTTCAGAGGTCTGTAACAGGTGAGGTGAAATGGGGTTTAACGTCGCATCCAAGATTATTGCACTTATATAGCGACGTGCATGCACGTGTGCGTGTGGCTGCTTGTACTAGGCCGGACTGATGCCGATTTATAGTGCTATCCCACTGAGATACCATGCCGCAGTTTAACATGGATACCCCACTCAGACACAGTATACTGACTACGAGCCGACCAGTCCTTGTTTTAGCCCCTTAATGCCGAGCGCCAGACAGGGTAACAACAAGTACCATCTTTTAACGTCTTTTGGTATGACGGGGCCGGGGATCGAACCCTGGACCTTCCGCTCTCCGGGCGGACGCTCTACCACTAGACCTCGGAGGCAGTCGGTCTGTAACAGATTACACATTCTTCTTTATATACAATAATAATAACATTGTTGAAGGCTCACCACAAAGATGTCACCATTGCTCCAAATAACTCCGGGTAACAACATTTTCACAACATATATATTAATACCCACTGTCACTTCAAAATGAGGCAAAAGATGTAGATGCAAAGAGGCATCCAACTGTTAAATGCCATAATGCTACTAATTTGTAAATGGATGACTTAAACACTTGAAATAAAATCATCTCAAGCTGTTTCAGTAAGGGAGCATCTATTTGATTGCTCTATGGGGGTGGGGGGAGACACCCAAATGTTAACATTTTTGCATTAATAATGAAAATGAATAGATTGTTTGATGGAGCTCAGTAAATAAAGTTTCTTGGAAACAGCAGGGGGAAAATAGATTGTTCTTAAAAAGAATTCAGTCCCCACAGCCATGCAAATCAAACAGATGCATCCTTAGCTCAGTTTGACTAAACAGCAACTGCAAAATAGCTGCTCTGAATTAGTAAATGTTGTGATCCTTACCTTCAAACTGTTGGCTTCTTCTATTGAGCTCCTCTCAGTATGCACATTTCCATAGATGCCGGCATCCTGGCTCCCTTGGGTTGACATGCTGGCTGAGCCACTGTCCAGACTGCTCTCGGGGCTCTTTGCAGCGATGTTGCAGTGGAACATCTTGATTGCAACATCAGTGTCTTTGTACCTGCCCCAAAACACTGACCCTGCTGCACCGGTTCCCAGAGTCTTATCACTCATGTTCATCAGGGAATGATCCAGGAAGAATTTCTTTGGTAGTTCCTTGAAGAACATCTCAGGGACTAGATCCTCCAATTTAACTACTGTTCCTTGAGGACAGACAATTTCTCCTTTATTGAGAGTAGTCAACGCACATGTCTGGACATCAAAATGGTTCATGCTGACCACAATACCTGCGTCATCCTTCACTGGGTCATAACAATGTGGACAGACTGTACACACGCTTGGAAGTTCATCCAGGAAATCCTGGAAGCCTAGAATGAGCCAAATCTACATGTAGAATGCTTGTCCTCATAATAATTATATACAACAAACATTTTTCATCTATCACTTCTTGAAAAAACATCATTAGTTATGAAATTTTAAACCTCATTGAAACAAGATGAATATTCACTATTCAAGTGTTTGATGTTTTGTAAAGAATTTGCACTTTCCAACCCAACCTTCTCCTTCATCTAGGAACAAGCAATACATAAATATAATTGTTGATATGGACAGCAGTTACACATAGGAGATGCCCTGCACCACCATCTCAAGCCCTACATAATCATCCAATATTGACATAAATATACCTGGGAAATAGTCCCTCAGTATGTCATCCAGCTCATCCACAATCATACCCATTGCTGACAGGCCACGGGTGCTAGGGGAAACAATTGTGATGAGGATGCCAACTCCAAGGTCTTCAGAATGTGGTTTCCGGTACTCAATGGACTCGATGAGGAAGTAGCCAGCTTCCTGTGATGCCACCCTGATTCCTTCTCTCCAGTAGGTGATGTCCTTGTTCTTGATAACAAATCCTCGGCTGGGATAGGTGAGAAAGGGGTAGGTTTACCAATTGTTTCACAACTATTGCAACCCGTAGGGCCCCAGCAACCTATGCTTGTGTGAGAGGCAGCTGGGTGGTCAGACTCAGTAACTTGGCTGCTGTCATCATGTCACGAGATTGGGTGGTCAGGTGGTCTCAGAGTGAGGCATCTGACTTTGTGTGCTGGCGATTAGGTGCCTCACTCTGAGAGTGTTGGTTTGAATCCCCCATAGGACTCAACCCCAAAAGGTACTAGAATTTGTACTTCACTAAGAAAGTGTTATTCCATAACATTTGTTGTTGGAGACCACTTTCTAAATGGCATTGTGTATTTAATGTATTTGCGTAGTTGATTGAAGTGTTTGCACCTATAGAGGATAAGCACCACACTGAGCTTGTGGTTGGGATTCTAAAACCTGCAGGAGGAGAGGTGAGGGAAAGTAAGACCACGACTGAGGTCGCGCTCCTGTGCAGGAATGGAGTTTTGTATTGCAAGGCATATATCATTGTTTTCAGTAAAACAAGAGCTTGATAATTTTTTAGAAAAATCCTAACCATCCCCGGAAAACCAAATGGTTGCTCCCTTATTATCACATTGTAAAAATCTAAAGCAGAGAAAAACAGGTTAGTAATAACTTGAAAAAAACACTGAAATCAGACTTTGTTCTGTCATCAAGCACAGCTGACCCTGACAAATCAAAAGTGGTCATCATGTGAACCTCAGAAACCAACGAAAACCACAGAGGATGTTACAGGAAGTTTCATTCAAACTGGAGGTTTCTAACACAAACATTAGGGTACATGTAGTTTTGTAAGGAGCATGTCAGGGAGCTACTTACCTACTGCCTCTATGCTTTAGTTCACTGGACAGTCTTTTGGAGGTTTCTGCAGCCTTCTCTGTGTTCAGAAACCAAGGTGTCTGAGAGAATCTCTCCGTGGCTTTCAGCAAGCGGATGATGAACCTGCTCCAGAGCCTGGGAGGAATGTATGTGAGTTTGTACAGGCGGTAGATCTTCTGAGAGCCAACGCTCTGGGTGATGTCTGCAGTGATCATTGGCTTCTCCTTGGGTAACTTGTATGGGACCAGCAAGCTGAAGGGTCGAAGAGGAATGACAAGACATGATTGTTTTCCACCCAGAAGGAACTTTCAAGGGAAATGTGTTTTAATATAGGGTGTAAGAGTTTACCCCCTTCGATCATTACTGTTTCGTATGTTGCCTTGGTTTGACTATTTTGGAGTTTGTCACCCTTGACCAAAAGGAGGTGCTATCTTCCCATGGGTGACAAACAACATGGCCACAGCCAATTACAAAATTGTATTGATACCAAGAGGGAGCTGAAACAAAAGTGAAAAGAAAGCAGGCAGGGACTGAGATGCCTGCCATTATGGATGTATTGTGGAAAAGTATCATTGATGTCAATAGCAGCCAACCTAGCAGGACCCAATCCAATAGAACATATGACACTACACTAATCCTCTTCTAACGATGCAATGGTTTTTCCAACCAAGAGTTATAATACTCCCTCTCTAAGAACCAACATCATATCTAACAGTGTGTGCTAAATACATCTGTCTTTATAATCATTTTAATTAAGCTCTTAAAATCATTTAAATAGATTTTACTGTTATTAAATAAACTATTATTAGCTGAGCTCACTAGGCCAAACAAAATGTCAGTAAACTTTGTACAAGTTGTTCAAGTCACAGACTGTGTATATGGACAGAATGGATTATCATCCTACTTTTTGCCACCATCTGTCTCCACCACAATCTCTGACCGCTTCAGCAGCTGGATGTACTGAAGAAACAGGTCATCTGGAAACATCTTCTCCTTGAACCGCTGGTACAGCTGAGTTACCGGAATCTTTGCGGTTGACGATATTTTTTTCTGAAGACAAAAGTAATTGAAAAAAAATCATATTGACTCAAAACCAAAACATGTGTATAACATAGCTTTAATCTTTGTTTGTTTGCTTGTTTGTTGTTTGAACGCTGCATTCAGCAATATTCTGACCCAGACAATCCATTGATTGACATCATGAGCATTGATCCATGCAATTGGGATACGATGACATGCATCAACCAAGTTAGCGAGCCTTACACCCTGATCCCATTAGTCGCCTCTTAAAACAAGCAAAGTCGCCTTTTACGGCAAGCATAGGTTGCTGAAGACCTATACTACCCCGGATCTTCACGGGTAAGGACATCAGTTTGACTGTACAAATGTATGGTAACTTACTGTATCGATGGCGATGAGTGCTAGAAGCTCTTGCAGCCAGACCGGATTGAGGAAGTACAGACAGTTCAGGCCTTGGAGCTGCTCATTGAAGTGAAGCAAAGCCCCAACCTCCAGCAAGTACTTCAAAGCTGTACAAAACACAGTATGCCAATCAAACTATAATCTGAAGTTAGAAACTTACAAAAAGCAAGAGGAGAAACATTGAGGAGAAATGACTGAGTGAGTGATTGTTGTTTTACACCTCAGTCAGCAATTATCACAGCAGGCTGTGAAGAATCAACTCTATAGGCAAGGGAAAACCAGTGGTTTTCGGCATGAAAACAATCCATTTCCTCTGGGCACGATGAAACACAATCAGCCAGGTCACACTTTGTGACCATTAGGTAACTCTTTTGACAAGAATGGCAGAATGGAAATCTCAATGCCATCCCCACAGGAGTGAGTGAGTTTGGTTTAACAGTACTTCAGGTATGTCATGGTGTGTCAGCTTGCTGTGGGAGGAAAGCAAGCAGTGGTGCAGGCCTTGGACAATTACCACGTTGGCGTTCTTTTGGTTTGTTTTTTTGTTATTTAACGCTGCGCTCAGCAATATTCCAGCTATATGACAGTGATCTGTAAATAATCGAGACTGGACAAGACAATCCAGTAATTAACATCATGAGCATCGAGACACACAATTGGGATTGATGACATGCATCAACTAAGTCACCTAGGCTGACCACACGATCCCGTGAGTCACCTCTTCCGACAAGCATAGTCGCCTGTTACGGCAAGCATTTGTTGCTGAAGACCTATTCTACCCTGGATCTTCACAGGTCCCACGTTGGTATAACCCATGGGTAACATGCTGACAAACCTAGAATCACAATCAACACAAATCTGGTTTTTCAACCCTCAGGAGATTAGTAAGACAAGATGTTTTATGGATGACAACTTCTTTATTCTATTATGATGCTACATTTCAGTATTAGATCCTTATTCTGTGGTCAAGCAAGAGTCACACAGCCCTAAAATATCTTCTTTCATGAGTGAGTGAGTGAGTATGGTTTTACGCCACTTTTAGCAATATTTCAGCAATATCCTGGCAGGGGACACCAGAAATGGGCTTCACACATTGTACCCATGTCGGGAATCGAAACCGGGTCTTCGGCATGAGGAGCGAACGCTTTAACCACTAGGCTACCCGACCGCCCCCTCTTTCATGAAACTTCTAAAATCAAATCAACAGCTCAGGAGAATGATATGTAAATTCAAAATAGATTCAAGCACAAACCACTGCCTCACCATTACTTGTGTCATCCAGCGCCAGAATGTCATTGTAAGGCAGTTCATCCACCAGACTCTGAAATCCTTCTTCCGTGATATACGGAGGCTGCTTCATCTTCTCCATCTGTTTCCTCTTCTTGCCCACCAAGTCCACCAACAAGCGATATGACTGCGGGATCTTCATGCCAATCAAGCACTGATGACTATGTTGTGCGTGAGCCATTTTAATACCCGTCTCATAAATTATTTTCTTGAGTTCATCAATTCCTTCCTTAGTAGCACAGGACACTGTTTTGAATTCTCTGAGAACTGGATAGTGTTCTTTCACTGCAGACCTGGAATATGCCCTGCATATATTGGTGGCAAGATCCTCAAGTTTCTTGTCCCTTGTCACAGTTGGGACAATTTTGTCATAGAAAGTACCAACCAAGATGACAGTTGCTTTGTGAGCATTAGCCTATGGAACAAATATGAAAAGCATGTCTTATCGAAATAAGGTGACAATATGTGTAACATCCTAATTTCAAGCATGAGTTTGCAAAGATTAAATTATTAAGATGACATCATGCTATTGTTTTGCAGTTGATTCTGAGCTTGGAATTCACTGGCCATCCTGAACGTGTTCTTTAAACAAGTAAGATTAACACAAATATAGGTCATTATGCAAAATTATAGATAAATTATATATCAACCATATCATAGTTGAGGTCAGAGAAATCACTCGAATCTATAGATTCAGCAAGTAGTCCCAAAGTATGTCACTGGAACTTGATCATCTTCCTGTACAGCGAAGCAAAACTAGTGGATGAGTATGGTTTTACGCCGCTTTTAGCAATACTCCAGCAATATCACGGCAGGGACACCAGAAATGGGCTTCACACATTGTACCCATGTCGGGAATCGAACCTGGGTCTTCAGCATGACAAGCGAACGCTTTAACCACTTGGCTACCCGACTGCCTCTCAAAGCAAAACTAAGTAGACATACATCCCCTGAGATGAGCTTGCACTCACCTGAATCTGACAAAGCCATTCCTGCAGGTGTTGATAGTCTTTCCGCAAGTCAAATACCAGCAAGTACAGGGCATTCTGGGTAAGGAAGCACTGGTGGATGATATTGAGATCAGGGTTGCCTGGTAACTCCCACACATTGAACTTGATGTCGGGTTTCTTTAATAAAATTAAAAAAGAAGGAGCTAAAAATAATGCATATGATATCAAATGTTTCTTGCCAGTCGGTTCTCGAAATTAGACAGCCTCCTTTGAAAAGGAACACAATGTTTCAGAATATATACTTGCTTCTTCATCAGGTCCTCTACCTAATGGATGAAGGTGCTTCACCTGATGAAGGAGTAAGCAAATACTCCGTCACTAGGGTGTTTTCCATAAGAAGTTGACATCCATAAATTCTCTTCCTTATGTGTATCACTTCTAAATGACTTTGAAAGATTTGATCCTCTGAAAAGGTCATTTCAGGGTCACATGGTTTGTTTTTTTACCAATCATTGCAGAAACTGTAGACAAATAATTAATCCTATTGGAAATGATTTTGAAAGATTCTGTAAGACTCAATGATTGTCAAGATCCAGCGATACAAAATGAAGGTTAGAAGAAGTATCTACAAGATGAAGATAGAAAGAAATTTATTCTAGTTATGTCAGTCTTAACAGATTAATTAAAACATTTGTTAATTCAATGGCTAGCAAAAACTATGGAGAGCTTCAGTGTGTAATAGTCTGATATGGGACATGTATGCGAGAGCTCCTTCATTTATGTTCAAGTGAGATGAAGTGATGAGTTTACTAGGTGTGTAACACTCAAGGTTAATAATATGTAATTTTACTATCGATGCAATTGTCTATGGGATTAGATGAAGTCAATAATATATGGATATACCATGCTTGACAATCAGTCATTTCGTAAAGATGTATAAGAATGATAAACATGTACACAAACCCTCAATACTAAATTCTACCAATTGCATTTTTGCACATATATACACTAGTAGAGTTCCAGCAAACTTGCATCTACTCTAGACTACAGTAAGAGTTACCTCCCTTGAATTCCAAGTTTCTGTTACACCTAAGAAATGGTATGTATATTTGGATCAACATCATATCGAATAAAGCAATCATGCATTGGTAAGAATACCATTATTATACTTACATGACAATAGTATGTTTAACTATTATAAAACTATTGGAACGGTTTAAATGACCCAATAGTCCCCTATTAATAACATTTACACTTGTTGACCTTTAAGGCATATATTGCTTTTTCCATGGGACCCAATGCGACATTAAACAATAACTTATTTGGGAAATTTTATAACTAGGGGCACAACAGGTGCCCGGAAACATAGATTTTGTTTTATTAAAATGAAAAATTCTTAAAAAAAGTAACATCCAAGCTAGATATACCCGGTACTGGTATTGGTAAAGGGTAATTGTATTCATAAACATGATATTTCAGTTCATGACAAAATGACAATAAACAACACACCCGAATGTCTGTTTTATCAGTAATCAACAAAATATAAAGTAAGCTGTGCTCATTGTGCTTTTTACAATAATAACACCTCACTCTATCAGTTCCTAAAGCTGAAAAAATAATGAAAGGGTTTTAGAAATTGACACTTGTTCAACCTGATTTGTGCCTCTAGTTGAAAAAAGGTGTGGCCATGGTCACATGAAACAATTAATTAAAAAACATAGAAAACTGTTTTAAAGTATATATTTCAATAACATTCATCACCATATCTTCAGTTAAAATCAACATTCCAATGAGTTCTCGAGGTCTCTATAAGCATGCTACTTGTCCGAAACGTAGTTTAATTATTATTATGCTACTACTTACAATAATAATGTTCCAAAACATGTGACATAAACAATTGAAATTAGCATTTAACATTCAGATATTTAAGTATCTTCTTGGAGTAATTTGTAATTTGTGATGCAATGTGTATTTCCATTAATTTGGTTTGTTGTTTAACGCCGCACTCAGCAATATTCCAGCTATATGATGGCGGTCTGTAAATAATCGAGTCTGGACCAGACAATCCAGCGGTTGAGAACATGAGCATCGATCCACTCAGTTGGGATCAATGACATGCACCGACCATGTCAGCGAGCATGACCACCCGTATTTCCATTGAAGAAGTCAACATTATGCTTTAACACTATCCTAACTGTTACAAAATGACATATATATTTTATAATGAATTGTCTCACACTTGAGGGCAACAACATCTGATAGACTCCCTTGGCAGTCAGTTTCCACTCAGTTGTGTTTATCTTGTCCCCGTGTTGCTGACAAGCCGTACCCTGGAGAAGGCTGAGCAGAGTTGTCTTCCCTTTGTCCTACAAACAATTTGGGTCTCCGTAACTAACAAACCATATTTCTGACATTTACAAACATATTAAAGGACACAAGAAGAACCGAGCAGCGGTAACTGTTCTCTGATGGCCTTGGTTCGAAGATTCGTAATTGAAAGTGTTCTTGGGTGTGGAAGGATCGAGTCACCCAAATGCATGATACTTTGCGGTGTTTGGCTTCAGCACATGCCTCATGCAGTTGTTCATTTAGTGACAGTTTTCCCTTGTCCTCCCAGCAACTACTAGACAAGATGGAGTTCATGTTAGGGGATGTTTTTGTACCAGTGTTTGGTTGTGAATTCATTTGCGGTCCTTGAACTAGTTTTAGTTGTTCTACCAGTAAGGGCTGGGACGATCGCGTAACTTGGGTACTCGGGTCGTATCCAGAGAACTACCCAGACCCATGGTTAGTCACATGATATATTGTTTTATGACAAAAATTATCTAGAACTTCATGGTTACACTACAAGGCACCAATGTTATATGTTTGAATAAAGATAAAACTTAAGTCAACTTCAGTGTATGCATGACCAGATCGGTGAGGTGAAATGGGGTTTAACGTCGCGTCCAAGATAATTGCACTTATATAGCGACGTGCATGCACGTGTGTGTGTTTGTGTGGCTGCTTGTACAAGTCTGGACTGATGTCGATTTATAGTGCTAGCTCACTGAGATACCATGCCGCAGTTGAACATGAATACCCCACTCAGACACAGTATACTGACTCTGAGCCGACCAGTCCTTGTTTTAGCCCCTTCATGCCGAGCGCCAGACAGGGTAACAACAAGTACCATCTTTTAACATCTTTTGGTATGACGTGGTCGGGGTTCGAACCCCGGACCTTCCGCTCTCCGGGAATAGTGGGGTGGGTACCCGGGTTGGGTCGGGGAATAGTGGAGTGGGTACCCAGGTAGGGTCGGGTAATAGTAGGGTGGGTACCCAGGTAGGGTCCGAGAATAGCTGGGTGGGTACCCAGGTAGGGTCGGGGAATAGTGGGGTGGGTACCCGGGTAGGGTCCGGGAATAGTGGAGTGGGTACCCGGGTAGGGTCAGGTAATAGTAGGGTAGGTACCCGGGTAGGGTCGGGGAATAGTGGAGTGGGTACCCAGGTAGGGTCGGGTAATAGTAGGGTGGGTACCCAGGTAGGGTTCGGGAATAGTGGAGTGGGTACCCAGGTAGGGTCGGGTAATAGTAGGTTGGGTACCCGGGTTGGGTCGGGTAATAGTAGGGTGGGTACCCGGGTAGGGTCAGGGTATAGTGGGGTGGGTACCCGGGTAGGGTCGGGGAATAGTGGAGTGGGTACCCGGGTAGGGTTGGGGAATAGTGGAGTGGGTACCCAGGTAGGGTCGGGTAATAGTAGGGTGGGTACCCGGGGACTGAATTTGGACTCGTCCCAGCCCTACTACCTGTGTTTAGTTGTAGACTCACCTGTGGTCCAAGAACAACTAGTTTCAATCGGTTGTTAGGTTCACTTTTTCTCAGGAGCTGTCTCAGATGGTCAATGAGTTCTGTTGTTTTTGTGTCTGTCATAACAGAAATATTTTACAGCGATTACACATATGAGAGAAAGTTAATGTAGCTTTTGTTGTGATGTACAACATGTTTTCATCGTATCTAATAAACAAAGACAATATTTTAATTGTACTTGAAATGTTTTTGCAAGTTACTCTGAAAATTGGAAGCTTTAAGTAAATCTGGCATGCAACTTTGGAGTTCAGACAATTTTTAGAGTTGGTTGGTGATGAAGATTATTTTATTGTATGGCCTAACATACATCAAAATAAATAAATACAAGCGTGAATTGGAAAACAATTATTTAGAAAATATAGCTCTTCTGTATTGACTTCCACATGTCTAAACATTTCCCTCTAAAAGAGGAAAGGCATGGACAGGCTTAATTCTGTTATCTGCTATGTTTAAGGACAGGCTATTGCACTGAATAATTTAGACAAATAGAGGAGATGATATATTGTTTGATTGGTAGAGGTTGTATAAATATATAAACTCTGCTGTTAAGGCTTAAAAAAAAGAGAAAATTGGTTCTCAGGCAATGACTTGCGGGAGGGCGGTGTGTTTGGTTTTTTCGTTTTGCTTGTTCAAACTAGTAACCAAATAAACAGTGTACCATCAACCTGGAAAAGGGTCTCCCTACATAACAAGCATACAAACTCCTATTGCTGCCATTACCAAAACATGAGATGTGCAGTAAAGCAGTGCGCATGTAAAGGGAAGTAACTGTGTGCTATATTGGATCGCACTGTTTTTAAATATCAGGATATTTTTTGAAAATGGAAATATAAACGAAACGTGCAGCAGACTTAATGATCATGTGGGTGGTGCCTGAAAACCAAGACAGCATCATGTTGAAGTGACGTGTGGTGTCTAGATCAGCTGCAATGGCAGACTTAGGCAGCTCTATGAAGCAGACCCACTTCTTGCCTTGACAGTTCGTTACTATCATGTAGCAGCAGCACATCAACAAACTTGCTTCTTCACAATCAAGATTTCATTATGGGAAATAGAAACCTGTTCCAATTTGTACCATTTAGCAGGTCTGCAGGGATGGGTGGGTCTGTGATCTTGTTCCCGGCCAACAACAAATCTCGACACTGCTTCAGCAGCCCCAACTCCAGTGGTAGAGTCTTCATCAACTGGTTTCTACACAGCAAGCACAAATATAACCTTGTACGTAAATTATCATTGTAAATTAATGGTCCCTTGCAATCTCATGCAATAAGACCTCAGCAATGCAGGTTGGGTAACATTGTCAGACGCTTGTTATGGCGGACATTTGGATCAACTATGTGGAACTACAAGATAAGTCTGTCTTATTTCTTATGAAACATAGGATTCCGATCCAAGGTTACCACACATACTTCACATATTATGTACATATCATGTCAATCCAGATTGTTAGGAAAACAGCCACCAATTAATCACAAACGCTTTGTCAGTGAAGATATGTCCATAGGTAATAAAGGGCAATCAGTCTCCCTTATATTTTTCACAGATCAATTTTTCACAGATCAAATATGTTCCGACCACTGGAATAAACAATGACAGCTCCCTAAGATTTTACAGGCGGAAACTAAATCAACAGCATGGGATTACATGTACAGAATGACATTCACAGTCAAGGGTCTGTCTGAAGAGCGCTGATCAGCTGTCTAACTCCCTGGCTGCACTATACCAAAAGACATTAAAAGGTGATACTTGTTGTTACCCTGCCTGTCGCTCAGTGTTAACGGGATAAATGAAGGACGTATAATGTGTTTGAGTGCAGTAGCCATGTTTAACTGCGACATGGTATATTAGCAGACTAGTGTCAAAGAGTATCTGTTTCCTTTGGTAAAAAAGCTCGTTTGTACTATTTTTCTCTTTGGTAATTATTCCAATGGAACAGTTTTCACTAGGAAAAATGTTTCCATGACACATTTACACTGACAGTGTTTGTTCCGAATGGACCTAATGCCATGTGGAACTGATCACTGTTGACACATGCACAATGAAACTGGCATTGGTCCGGGCGAGAACAAGCAGGCACATACACTGATGCATGCACACACGTTTTGTTTGTTTGTTGTTTAACGCCTCACTCAGCAATATTCCAGATGGTGATGATGGTGGTCTGTAAATAATCAAGTCTGGACCAGACAATCCAGCGATTGACATCATGAGCATGGATCCACCCAATTGGGATACGATGACAAACAATCAAGTCAATGAGCCTGACCACCCAATCCCATTAGTCGCAGCTTACAACAAGCTTAGTCGCCTTTTTCGTCAAGCATGAGTTGCTAAAGACCTATTCTACCAAGGATCTTCACAGGTCTGTACACATGTCACTGTATCAAGAGAATGACCTTGAACGCTATGTTAAACCCCTATGTCACCACCCTGAAAGGCATTCACTTTTGAATGATTACACAGAGGATAAATGCAGCTGCAGATGCAGTATTCAAAAGGGAGATAACTCACTGGCTGAGGTCCAACTTGGTCAGGTTCTGCAGTCGGCTGATACTGACAGGAACGTAAATCAAGTTGTTGTTTTTCAAAATCAGGTACTTGAGATTAAAAGACAGGATTTCAGGAAACACCACTTGTTTAGAACTTGGCTGATCAATGCCACTCCATCGCCGAAGGTAGTTCTTCAATGTCTTTGGTGATGTCAAAGCGCTGGCATAAACAATGTGGAATACATCAACCAAAATACATCTACAGTAAAATATGTTTATAACAAACACGCTTGTAACAAACTGATGGATATAACAAACTTAATTTTTGGTCCTGGTCATTTGCTGTAAAAATGCTTGTTACGAACTACGGTTATAACAAACTTAAATTAGTGGTCCATTTGAGTTCATTATAACCGTAGTTTACTGTATCTATAAGTTTCCTTAGCAGCTTCCTTCAATCTCAAAACTACTGGCGGTGACCTGCTTGTCCTGCCCAAGCCTGAAAGTTTGTTTGTCGTTCATACAGTATCTTCATACAGATATCTTACAAAATTTGCTTTCTGTTCAGATTGAGATTCCATTCTGCCCACTTGTCAAAAGCCTTGGTGTTTTTGTCGACTTATCCCTAACTATTGAAACACATGTAAATTTTCTCTATAAGACATGTCATTTTCATTTGAGAAATATAAATTTTGGAAGGTTTCGGGAAGGTTTCAGGAAGGTATCCGGGCCAGATCTAAAGTGGGAAGGTATCTGGAAGGTTTCAAGAAGGTTTCCAGAAAACAGAAACCTACTCTCTTTTTGCTGTATATATTGGATCAATCCATCCCCTTCTCACCACTGATACTACAACTACCCCTGGCAAGATCACTCATCTTGTCTCACCTGGACTTTTGCAAGAGCCTACTTGTGGCAAAATCAGAAAATCAGCTGAACCAACTGCAGAAGATACAGCACAACGCTGCCCGGATAGTGGACAAGCCTCGGTCACATATCTTACACATCGTGAAGTCATTACACTGGCTACAGATTCTGCAAGAGGATTGAATGTAAAATCCTCTCTCTTGTTTGCCAGTCTCTTCATAACACAGGCCCTCCTTATCTTCAAGAGATGATTCTCCAGTACAAATCTACCATAAATCTCCCAGCTAATGACCAACCTCTCTTGTCTGTACCAAAATACAGACTGAAGTCCCTTGGTGCTCACTATGGAACACTCTTCCATTCATAGTCAACAGTGCACCTAGTATCACTGTGTTTCTGGACTCAAAATGGGGTGGTCAGGTAGCCTAGTGGTTAAAGCGTTCGCTCATCAAGCTGAAGACCTGGGTTCAATTCCTGACATGGGTACAATGTGTGAAGCCCATTTCTGGTGTCCCCCGCCATGATATTACTGGAATATTTCTAAAAGTGGCGTAAAACCATGCTCACTCACTCACTGGACTCAAAACCATACCTCTTCGAATGCTACAGCTGAATGTGTATACTTTTATTATCCTAATGAGTGAGTGATGATATCTTCTTTATTCTATTATGATGCTAAGTGAGTGAGTGAGTGAGTTGTTTTTTAACGCTGGTTTTAACAGTATTCCAGTTATATCACGGCGTGTCAGCTTAATGTGGGAGGAAAGCCCGAAGTGATGCAGGTCTCAGATGTTTACCACTTCGGTGAAACCCACGAGCATGGGTATGGTGCTGACAGACCTACAAACATAATCAGGGCGAACCGGGATTCGAATCCACAATCATAGGTTTCTGGCATGCCCAAGGGACGCAACTCTGCACAGCAAATCACGGCGCCTTAGACGATTGGGCCACCCGCGACCCCTATTATCCTAATGTCTCCTCTCTGTTGTACTTATGTACTTGTGCGTTTTTTCTCATTGAGCATGTCCATCAGTGACGTGGAATTTTGTGCTACAGAAATAACCTTATTGTTATTCGATTTATCTACAAAAACAATTAGTATCCTGCACTCATCCTAAAATAACACCATAATGAAAAGCAGTGTTTGAACTAAATAGTCCTTGAGTCCTTGTGGTTCGCTCCTGTAGTATTAAAGTCGAGGGTATTTTTAATTAAATATCATTTTAAACTCTTGTAACATGTAACATTACAGTTGTGATTCCTTTGTAATTATCAGTGTCATTGAAATAGTGATTAGTCAAACGTCATTTACTTGTGATGTATTGAATAACAACAAGATGATTTTACACATTTTGACATGAAAACCTGTACCTTGCAAGGTTGAGGTCAGATTTATATATTTATAATCATGGATTGCCTGACACTGTAGTATGCAAGACAAGTGCACTCACTGGGCCTGGGATGGGTAACTTGGGTACCCGAATCGGGTGGGTACTGATTAGGAACCGGGTACCCACCAGGACTACCCGGACCCATGGTTAGTCACATGATATATTGTTTAATGACAAAAATTATCTAGAACTCTATGGTTACACTACAGGTCACTAATGTTCGCATTTCTTTTTGACTGTGCACCCATACCTTCATATGGCTGAATAAAGATATAACTTTATTCAACTTCAGTGTATGAATGACCAGATTGTTTAATATGTGTATCTAAATACGTTTTGCCAGGGCTATGCTAAAAATGTTCCCAATCGGACATTTTGAGACATCTCCTGAGACCTACAGTGGGTACCCAGTTAGGGTTCGGTAATAGGGGGTGGGCACCCGGGTAGTAAATCTGGACTGGTCCCAGCCCTAGCACTCACTTCTTGTTATTCTCGTCCTCCGTGTATGCAACCCCCAGGTTGTTGTTGGCCAGGTTCAGGGTTTCTAGGTAGCGACAGTCCCACACGGACGGGTCAGGCAGGTGGTCAATTCGGTTGTTGGATACATCCAAGCTCCGCAACTCACCTTCAGAAAAACCTTTATATCACCACACATTGAAATATTTCAGCTTTAAACTGTGACAACTCATTTACAAGAGAGTAATAACTGTTGATGTGCATTCACAATCACGATACCAAGTATCCTGATATCTATATTTTTCTGCAATACAATATTTGAAATTGCCAGACAGAAAACAATAGTGGTACATGTTACCAGTCAAAACATTAATACATTAGGGACCGACCAGTCAATGTGTGGGGGGTCCTGGGAATTTGTATGGAGACTAGCGATTTTTTCAGCTGCTTCTGCAAATCCAGATGTTTTTTCACTAAAAACTATAAGCCCAAACATTTTTTTTAAAACCCAAAACAACATTAAATGATCGGTCCCTTAAACACACAAAAATCGAACAGCCATTTCTGTTAAAGTAGTTATTTTTACCAAACAAATTAATGTATCACTAGAGATGCTTGTACTAGTATGTGTTTATTTCAGGTCAGGAACTTGTCCATTGCCAAACTGCCCCTCAAGGGATAATTGATGAGCAACATGACACCCCAATCACCAGCCACATATACCGGTACTCACTAAGTTTGACGATGCTCTCCCCTAGTTCCTCCAGGTTATTGTTGCGGAGATGCAGCTCGACAAGAGATCCGCTCCAGAACTCCTCCACGCTGACCGGGAACCGCTCCAGGCAGTTGTCACTCATGTTCAGGTAGAGCTGCACACGGAGAACATTGTCACACAACTCTCACTATCACAGGAATCAGAAGCTGAGATTAAACTCATCAAACTGCATGCTCATCTTTCTATAATACAAACATGAATGCCAGATAATAGCAGGTCTTGATTATCAAACGAAAGAGACACTATTGGGCATAAAAGGCAAAATAGCAGTGAAAATTATGAATGGATCACTGAAAATCAGTGATGACACCAGGTGTTTGTGAAAAGGGTAAGCCTATCCTGCCTTCTCTCTACATAAACAAGAGTGCTCTGAGAGCACAACATCCCCCGCATGAAATTTTTTTAACGAGTCAAATGAAGCTCCGTAAAACAGGCGCAGTAACTCTGTCAAAATAAGTCGAAATGAAATGGGACTGCGATATGTGTATCATCAACATGTCGACATCTTGTGTGTAGAGTGTCAGGGATATTCTCTGGAAACTGTAGAAGTAGTTGATTTCACAAGCTTAGTACCCTCTCTCACAATAAGGCAAATGAAGCTCCGTAAAACAGGGGCAGTAACTCTGTCAAAATTAGTTGAAACTAAACGGGACTGCGATATGCGTATCATCAACATGTCGACATCTTGTGTGTAGAGTGTCAGGGATATTCTCTGGAAACTGTAGGAGTAGTTGATTTCACAAGCTTAGTACCCTCTGTGGGACGGACAGACGGACGGACGAACGGACTGCGCCACGACATAATCCCCCTTCGGCCATTTCTGGCCCCGCGGGGGATAAAAAGTACATTGTATGCATTTTTGTACCACCAAACAGGTGAGGTGAGGTGAAATGGGGTTTAACGTCGCGTCCAAGATTATTGCACTTATATAACGCTGTCCATGCACATGTATGTGTGTGTGTGTGGCTGCTTGTACTAGTCCGGACTGATGCCGATTTATAGTGCAAGCACATTGAGATACCATGCCGCAGTTTAACATGAATACCCAACTCAGACACAGTATACTGACTCTGAGCCGACCAGTCTTTTGGTATGATGTGGCTGGGGATCGAACCCCGGACCTTCCGCTCTCCGGGCGGACGCTCTACCATTAGACCACGGAGGCAGTCACCACCAAACAGGAGTAAACAAAGAGGCATTAGCTGACAACCAGCTGATGTGATCAAATATACATGTTGCGCAGTGGAACTGAATATTTGAGCGTGGTTTAACTTAAAATGAAAACTAATCTAAAATTTGTATGACTTACCTTTTTTGAATGACACCAGGAACTAAACGTGATAACCTATTATAAAACTATGAAGATCTATGAGGAACTAAACGTGATTACCTGTTATTATATGAAGAAAAGATGAATAAACCTCAAATGATAGAAACTAAATGCTAATTCTAACTGCTACTCCTAAGGAAGTCTTAACACTGTCAAACACTCTAACACCATCTAACTCATCAGCTCTCTAACGAACATTCTGACGAACATTCTGCCAACTCTCTCTATCTCCATCTAACTATCCATCTAACTATCCATCTAACTATCCATCTAACTATCCATCTAACTATCCAGCTAGCGAACTCTCTAACCAGCTCTCTAGCGAACTATGACCAACTTTTTTAACTGATGCGCGCTACCGCCTTATATTTGCTCACAACCCTCACATTTCACGTGCAGTCACAGCCATACGTTGGTGTGTTCAGGCGATGCGATCGGTATGCATCGGGTGCGTTTTGGAGAACATTTTTAATGAACAGACATGTCTTCAGAACATGCCCCCCTCCATGATAGATCCATGTCTATCATGAAAACCGACTAAACTTAGAAGAAACTGAAAGGAAACTGAATCTATGAGTATGTACATTTGTTGCTGTTATCCAATTTGACAATTTCAGAACTCAACTCCATTCAAGAGGGCAGACCTTCGTGATAGGTCTTTTCAAGACTGTTTTGCCAACTTGAACATCAAGAACGCGAACGTGATCATCCTTTCCAGGATACGTTTTGAGAACTCTGCCAAGAGGCCAAACTCCACGAGGAGTATCTGGAGATACCACAATCACAACGTCATCGACCTGTATATCTCTGGATGGTGTGAACCACTTCTTTCTGATGTTGAGAGTCGGGAGCCACTCCCTCATCCATCGTTTCCACACATGTCTGATGAGTTCTTGAACTCTCCTCCATCGCTTCTTTGGGCTGAACGAGGTAGAGTCTAACTCTGGTGCGAAATCTCCACCCACCTGACCATGTAGGAAATGGTTGGGCGTAAGAGGCACATCATCCTGTGGATGTGCACTTTGATAGGTCAAAGGCCTAGAATTCAGAAGAGCTTCAGCTCCTGTAAAGGCTGTCATCAGCTCTTCATCACTGACGTCACCTGAACTCAGTATAGCATAGATAGCCCGTTTTGCTGACTTCACCAAAGACTCGAAAACACCTCCAAAATATGGTGCGTGTGGAGGATTAAACAACCACTTCACACTTTTGTTTGCCAAGGTTGACTTAATCACATCCGAGTTTAGTCCTGAAATGAGCTGCTTCAGCTCCTTTGCAGCACCAACAAAGTTGGTTCCGTTGTCCGAGATTACCTCCTTTGGCATACCTCGTCTGTGAGCCATACGAAACAGGGCATTCAGAAAGGAATCCGTGTCTAAACCGAATGCCATTTCTAAATGAACCGCTCGGGTTGACAAACATGTGAAAAGGCAGAGATAACGTTTCTGTCGACTCTTGCCTCGACCCTGTACAGTGAAAAAGGGACCTGCATAGTCCACACCTGTTGTCACAAATGCTTTCATTGTACACCTCACTCTGATCTTCGGTAGGTCTGCCATTATCTGATGCGCTGGTTTGGCTTTTTGTCGTCTACACCAAGAACATTCTCTTTCCCACTGACGAATTTCCTCTCTAGCTGAAATAATCCAAAACCTAGATGACACTGCTGATAACGTACTGTTCGTACCTGTGTGCTTGACCTGCTCATGGTAAAACTTGACAATCAGTTTGGTGACCCAACTATGTCTAGGGAGTATAATTGGAAATCTGGCACTGAATGACAATACGTCAGCAAATCTGAGTCTCCCTCCTGTCCTCATTAACCCATTTTTATCAACGTAAGGCTGTAAGCCAAATTTGATTTCCTCATCAGTGACGAAAAGTCATCAGAAAATTTGTCTCTTTGAGTCCTGACCATAATTGTAGTTTCGGCGTCCTCAATTTCTTCAGGATCAAGTTCACCCTTTTTCCTAAGTGAATATGGAACCCTAGCGTTGTTCAGAAACCTATAGATCCATGCCGACACTCTACACAATCTCTTCCAACTTGAAAATCTAGATGGCGCTAATCTCCACGAGATTGGATCAGATTTAGTAAACATGGCGATGTTTACTTGAGAAGAAGGCTTCTTCAGTTCTGATGTCTCAGTATTGTCCATGTCAATGGTCTGCTTCGGCCATTCGGTTTCATCATGTGTCACAAATTCAGGTCCATTCAGCCATTTCTCTGTCAAAAGTGCTTCAGCATCTACACCTCTACTAAGAATGTCTGCAGCATTCAGTTTGGATGGTACGTATTTCCACTGACTGATGTTTGTATGCTCCTGTATGTATCCAATCCTATTTGCTACAAATGGCTTAAAACACCGACTCTGTCTTTTGATCCACCACAGTACGTTCTGGCTGTCTGACCATAGCGTTGCACGCTGCAAAGGTAATTCTAATGCCTTTGTTATAGCCAGTAACAGTCGTACACCCAGAACTGCCGCAAGCAGCTCCAATCGAGGCATACTAACTGCCTTGAGGGGAGCAACATGGCACTTTGAAGCAACTAGATAACTCGACTTTGTGTCATCTTCACGAGTGGTTACTAAATATACCACAGCTCCAAATGCTGCCTCTGAAGCATCTACAAATGTGTGCAACTTCATCTTTGAAGTATCTAAGCTAACCTCAAGCCCCCTTGGAATTTTAACAGAACACAACTTTTCAATTTCAAGGTACCATGACCATGCTTTTTGTTCCAGATCTGGACTGAGGGTTTCATCCCAGTTAACACCGGATATCCACATTTCTTGCAGAAGAACCCTTGCCCTAATGATGAATGGACCTAAGAACCCAAGAGGATCAAACAGCTTAGCAGTTTCTTTCAAGAAGTTCCTCTTAGTCATCTTGATATCCTGCTTTAAGGACATGAAAGAAAACCTAAACTCATCTGATTCTGCATTCCACAGTAAGCCCAGTGCTTTTACAGATGGCAATTCACTCATTTGAATATTAATCTCTTTCAATCTATCCTCTTCTGGTATTTCTTGGAGAACTTGAACGGAATTGGAAACCCACTTACGAGCGTGCATACCTGCTGTACTCCACAGCTGTTGCAGCTGTTTGTAAAGCTCTATAGCTTTACTATTTGTGTAAACGGAATCCATATTGTCATCCATATATGTTGACTTTTCCACGGTTGCTGCAGCCAATGGAAGTTCTTTCTCCATGGACTTAGCATGTTCCTGAGTGATAAACTGAGCTAAAAAGGGGGAACAATTTAGTCCAAATACAACCTTTGAGAACTCAAACACATCTGGCTTTTTGTTCAGACCCATTGACCTCCAAAGAAACCTTAGATATGGACGGTCATCCTGAGCGACTTCAATTTGAAGGTACATTTCAGCAATATCGCAAATGATTGCAACAGGATGTTTGCGAAACCGCAGCAAGATCTCGAATAGATCATTCTGGAGTTTTGGTCCTTGATGAATGACATCATTTAGAGATATGCCTTTATTCTTTGCAGATGCATCGAATACGATTCTCACCTTTGTTGTACTTCTGTCTGGTTTAATGACTGGAAAATGTGGTAAGTACCATTTACTTTGATCTATTTCTGTTTCAGGTACTTTTCTGATGTAACCTTTTTTCAGGTATTGTTCTATGACTTCATTGTAGGCTCCTGAAATCGTTTGATCCTTTGACAACTTCTTTTCTAAATTAAGAAGACGATTGTATGCCATGTCATAATTGTTTTTCAGATTCTCATGACCCTCCTTCCATGGAATGCCAACCTGATATTTGTCTTTTCTGTAAACAAGGGACTGTTCTACAGCCTTAACTGCATCATTCTCATCAATGCTTCTAATCGATGTCAAACCTGAAATGCTTTCAGACTCCCAAAATGAGTGAATCAAAGATTCAATATCTGTATCTGCGATTGCTTCTATTTCTGTATTTCTGATGAAGAAGGAACCTGCTAAGTGTGTTGTTTTGTCTGAACCTGATACAGCACCAACACAGGTCCAACCTAAGGGTGTCAACCGAGCCACAGGCTCTCCCTGAGCTCCACGCACCTCTTTAAGAGAGGAATGCAGCTCTAAATAATCCATACCTAACAGGATTTCAACTCTTGGACGTGAACTTACCTTTGGAAATTTTATTTTCGTCAAATGTGGCCATTCCTTGGCATGTTTTCGCCAATCAATGACTTCCATTCTACCCGTTACCTTGGTAGTTGTCAAAGCTGTGATGTTCATGTCAACTGAACCATCAGTACTTTCTAAGCCGATATCAATTAGCATACTATCAAATATTTCCTGTTTGTCATTGAGGACATTGACTGACACTTGCTGTGTCTGACCTTGAACACCAAGTTCTGCTGCTACATCCTCGTTGATGTAAGTATGCGTGCTGGCATCATCCAGCAAGGCATTAACCATCATTCTGTGCTGACCATTTTTAAGGATAACAGGAACTGTTCTAAGTGAAAGGTAATGACCTTCCCTCTTAGAAGTTGCCATGGTGATTGTTTCTGACCTACCTGCTTGTGGTGTTCTTGTTGTATGTTTCATCTCTACATTACCACTGTCGGCCCTAGCACTGCTTGTAACTTTGGTTTGATCATGAAGTAACCTGTTATGATTTGCTTTACAGCCATCAATCCCACACTTCAAAACTCTGCTACACGATCTTCCCAGATGACCGATATCAAGGCAACGAAAGCATAAACCTTACTGTTTTGCCCTTTCCCAGCGTTTAGGTAGGCCAATAGATTTAAACTCTATGCAATCTGAAGTGTCATGATCTGCGACATGACACACATGACATTGCCTTGCCCTAGTTTTATTATGTGTGGTTGTATATGTTCCTTTCTTAGAACTATCTCTCTTGTCTGTTTGTCTTTGACCTATCAGCTATTCCATGTTTTACCTCTGAAGCTATCGTTTGGAACTCTGCTTCTTGCAGAATCCATTCCCTAAGCGTCTCAACAGACTCTTGTCGTTGGTGCTCAAATAACCATCTGTGGAACTGAGTAATCATAGGCTCATTCATTTTCTTAACCAGTAGTGAATACAAACATCCACTACCAAGTTCCTCTATTTTATCAGATTCCCTCAGACTGACTACAGCTACATCAAGCATGTCCGCAAATTTTTCCATATCCTTAGCATTCCCTAATCGTATTGGCTTGAAATTGTATATTTCGTCCAATTGTAATGCTACCTGGCGTCTCTTGCCGCCATATTTTCTGTCCAATCTCTCCAAGGCTACATCATAGACTGAAGCACTGTGACCTAGCCTTGAAACTATGTGTGCTGCTTCTCCAGAAAGGTACTGCTTCAATTGCAGAAGTTTATATTCATTGGTGGCTGGAGCTTTATCAACACATGCCATAAAAGCAGACTTCCAGCCTTCATATTCTTTGACGTCACCAGAAAATACTGGAATGGAAACTCTCTTCAATTGTTTCCACATGTCTTCACCTAAATTGTGTTGCCTAGATGACTTACCTGAAGTTGTATAACAACCTTTTGTGTTATCTGGGACTGGTGTACGTTTCATATCCATATATGACCTTTGTTGAAAATGGCCTAACTTGAACGCAGCATGTTTGTAACCTTGGTTACTGATTTGCCCAGCGCCATCACTGTCCAAGTCTGCATCGTGCAACAAACCTTTACAGCTATCATGCGACCGATTCGCATCAAATTGGCGAGACCTTAACATTTCTGACTGAATGCTTTTTGCGTCCGAACTAACATGTGATCTGTCCTTAAGAAATGCTTCAGCCTTATCAAGGGCAAGTTCAATTTCATCTTCAACAGTTTCTATCTCCTTACTAGTTTTCTTAACTTTCTCTAGGTCACCAACCCAGTTGTAAGCTTCTAGTAATTCCACTATGAGACCTATAGCCTTGCTTTGCAGAAAACTTACCTGATCAATTAGACTCCTAATTGTCTTACGATCTGGTGTCTCAAGTTCAACTAAATTCAACAATTTGTTCTTTGATTTTGTCAAAGCTGACTTTGAAATAGTTTTCTGATGCTTAAGTTTAGCTATCTTTAGCTCAAGTTCAGAAGTGTTCTGTTTTAGTCCTAAGTCTGAAGAAGCGTACTGTTTCAGCGCTACGTCTGAAGAAGTATCCTTTTCTACCTCCGCCTTACTCGCAGACCCTAACTGCGACATACTGCTTGCATGTAACAGTCAGCTATACCTAATGCTAATCTAAACTAACGAAAGCCTAATACAAAACTAAAATATTCTAACCAGAGAAACCACGCTCTGCTACCAAATGTTGCGCAGTGGAACTGAATATTTGAGCGTGGTTTAACTTAAAATGAAAACTAATCTAAAATTTGTATGACTTACCTTTTTTGAATGACACCAGGAACTAAACGTGATAACCTATTATAAAACTATGAAGATCTATGAGGAACTAAACGTGATTACCTGTTATTATATGAAGAAAAGATGAATAAACCTCAAATGATAGAAACTAAATGCTAATTCTAACTGCTACTCCTAAGGAAGTCTTAACACTGTCAAACACTCTAACACCATCTAACTCATCAGCTCTCTAACGAACATTCTGACGAACATTCTGCCAACTCTCTCTATCTCCATCTAACTATCCATCTAACTATCCATCTAACTATCCATCTAACTATCCATCTAACTATTCAGCTAGCGAACTCTCTAACCAGCTCTCTAGCGAACTATGACCAACTTTTTTAACTGATGCGCGCTACCGCCTTATATTTGCTCACAACCCTCACATTTCACGTGCAGTCACAGCCATACGTTGGTGTGTTCAGGCGATGCGATCGGTATGCATCGGGTGCGTTTTGGAGAACATTTTTAATGAACAGACATGTCTTCAGAACAATACATAATGTGCACTATATACCAATGGGCAACTCCAGGCTGAGATGAAAGCATACAGCTCATTGTCACTGGCATTGAGGTTTGTCAAGGCACGGCAGGAGCGGAGTTCTTCTGGAACTTTCTTCAGCATGTTGTGTGATATGTCCAGTTGAACGAGACATGGCAGGCCTATGTATTGCTCTGGTCCTTCTGGAACATGTTAAAATGCAGTGACGTCAGGGGTCATTGCCAGTGATATTATTTAGGAAGTGTAAACTTTAGCAATCTATGCATCTTTCCGAGGCAAGGGAGTCACCTGACTGTAAAACTTCAGTTCAAATCCTTGCCGAACTTGGCTGGAATTTCGTGGCTCGAAATCAAAGCGCCACCAGTGCTTTTACGAGTTATGTCATTTATATGTCCCTCCTACTGACCAATCAGATTCCACCGCACATATCACTTGAATTTGCTTCAAACAAAATTGGTGGAGCCCAGTCAAGAGGATCTGATTGATAATCAAAATCTATATTATAATATAACACGTGTTACCTTGAGAAGTGCATCAAATCACTTGAGCACATTGACAAGAAAAAATTGGAAAATGTCTGTCGACACCCATTTGATGGTACACATGCTGTGCAAATCCTGCAATTGATCGTCATTTACATGTTCACATGTCGATTTCGTCACATGATTTTGATTGGACTACGATAGATTCCCGAGTCCAGCAAAAATATTACTTAGATTTTTTTGCCTAGTTTGGCAAGGTTGGAAACTGGACTTTTATAGTCAGTTAACTCCCTTGCCTCGGGAAGAAAGGGTAACAGCATTCTTGGCCTCAGTCAGTTATCTCCCTTGCCTTGAGAAGATGTGACCCATGGCACAAATAAAGTAAACCCATCCTAGTTACCAGAACAGGTCCAGAGGCAGATCCTTGAACAAAAACTCAAGAGGGGTCGTGTGAAAAAGGGGATGATGCTCATCTATGGGCAGCCATTCAGTCAAAAAATACAAAGATGACATGAAGGACAATTGATGCAATAATAGTCAAATGTTACAAATAAAGAATGAATGTTATAAATAAAGGTCATTATTAACATAAGACGTCATACCTAAAGAAAGAACACTGTGTACTAAAGAATGTCAGTGCACAGAAAGGACACTGAACTGCTAAAGGACAATGTTGACAATAAAGAACGCCAGAACGCCGCTTAGCCATATTCCAGCAACATCACGGCTGGGACACCAGAAATGGGCTTCACACATTGTACCCATGTCAGGAATCGAACCCGGGTCTTCGGCTTGGCGAACGAATGCTTTAACCATTAGGCTACCCTACCCCCCCTTTTTACAAATAACAAAATCTAGGACAGTATTTAGCCGACATAAATATATGACACAGCATTTTACAACATCAGCACTGGTAAAGGCAACTAAATTATTTTTGTGATTGTTCCTAAGTGCTTCACCATAACATTAGTCAGTTTCTAAAGAGGGGCGGGATCGGGTAGCCAAGTGGTTAAAGCGTTTGCTAGTCACGCCGAAGACCCGTGTTCAATTCCCAACATGGGTACATTGTGTAAAGGCCCATTTCTGGTGTCCCCTGCCGTGATATTGCTGGAATAATGCTAAAAGCGGCATAAAACCATGCTCACTCACTCACTCAGTTGCTAAAGACATGACATATAGTCCTGACCAGGAGTCCGTGTATTGCCCTTTACATGCGAACTCATACCTGAGTCTGAAGGTTCGGGCTTCCTGGACCAATGAAGCTCTGGCTGAACATGGGACGGTTTGATGAGGTACTCAAGCTTGTTATTGGACAGGTCAAGATATGTCAACGTGCCGACACAGAACAACTCCACACACACTTCCTCCACTTCATTGTGTGACAGGTTCACATTCTGCAGGCTGGAAGAGAAGCATCCAGTCTTTACTGAAGTCAAGAGTCCATCACATCAAGGCAAAGGTCTCAACAGTAAAAAACATCAGGTCCTTTGATCATAACCAAATTATTTTTGTTTGTTGTTTAAAACTGCACTCATGAATATTTAAGCTATATGATGGCAGTCTGTTAATAACTGAATCTGAGAATCCAGTTATTGACATCATGAGCCTCGATCCACGCAATTGGGATACGATGGCATGCATCAACCAAGTCAACAAACCTGAACATCCATTCTCATTAGTCACATCCTATGACAGGCATGGGTTGCTGAAGAGCAATTACAACCCAGATCTGCATGGTGGCATAACTAACTTACAATTTACATATGTTTATGGTAGGGCTGGGACGAGTCCAAATTTACTACCCAGGTACCCGACCCCCTATTACCCGACCCTACCCGGGTACCAACTGCAAGTCTCAAGAGTAGGGAACAAAATGTCTTATTGGTAATTGTTTTACCGCAGCCCTGGCTAAAACTATTTAGATACATGTGTCAAACAATCAGATCATGCGTTCACTGAAGTTGACTGAAGCTTTATCTTTACTCAAACATTTACAAGTCAAAGGGAATGTGCGCATTGTCAGAAAGAAATGCGAACATAAGCGACTTTTAGTGTAACCACTGAGCTATAGTAAATTTTTGTCATCAAACTATATCACGTGACTCACCACGGGTCCGGGTAGTCCTGTGGGTACCCGGGTCCTACTCAGGACCCACCTGACCCGAGTACCCGAGTTACCCGTCCCAGCCCTAGTTTATGGGATGAAAGGAAATTCTGTCTGTTTAACAGGATGTGCAAATATACAATAGTAATTGAACTTACTTCAAACATACGGCATCATCTGAGTTGGGTCCAGTAAAAGCTCTGAGTCGGTTCTGACACACATTTAGGACCTTGATGTTGGGCATACCCCAAGGGATTTCAGGGGGTAAGACCTTTAATCTGTTATCTGACAGGTCCACTTCGGTCAGCGCTGTGAGGTAAGGCTCGAACCACAATGGGTGGACCCTCCCTAGGTGCTGGTGGCACAGTGTAGCGGAGAATGCCTGTGACAGAGAGACAAGCATTAGCTGGTTGCATGTTACTGGACACCTATCCATCATGTGTGTTTGATGCTACAAATATAACCACACGCGACAGTGTTACCATGGTTACTGTCCGCGTTACTGTCTATGTGTTCATAGTTTATTTAATTCAATTGGATTAACATACAATAGTGGTATAAAGGGGGGTATAAAAGTTGGTATATTTTTATTCTCATCATGAGTCTGAAACGAAAACGCCATGCTTACGATGCTGAAATCAAACTGCGAGTCTTCGCTCTAGCTGATATATTTTCTCACGGGTTCATAATTCTAGATACACCGATTCACAAAATGGCGCTTCGTTGTTGATGGCAACATATAACGATCATTATGAGATTAAAAAAAGACAAGAGAAACAGCTTCCCACATTATGAAAATGGATGACTGGTTTGTTAAATCTTTATTAGAAATAATAATGACTTTTTCAATATCATTACAACGTTTTTCATCTGATATTTTTTAATATCTGCGAGTACCGGCACATGTCTTGCAGTCCGACTTCGCAGTGTTTTTTTCCTTTCATTTCCTGGTTCGGCTTATCTGCGGGTCATATCATTTTCTTTCGTATTTCAGTGGTCAAGTTAACACCTCGGCTTATCTACGGGGTCGGCTTATCCGCGGTCATATACGGTACCGGTATTTGAAAAATTATTACAATAAAACCAAACAAAGGAAAATATTGAAACTGAATATAAAAGCAATTCATGACCATCTAACATTGGATATCAAAATAAAAATATTACTTGAAAATAGAAGTTTCATAATGGTGTGCTCCAACCTTATCAGTGACATTCATCGAGATGTAGTATTTTCATCAACTTATGTAACAGGAATTTATATTTACTTATGAAAGCATTTACTTAAAGCCCCGGGGTGTCCCAAACCAACTGTTATTTTAGCTAAAAATGGCATGTGACAAACTTAGAAGATGATACTTAGGCAGCAGCTAGCTTGTGTCTACAAAATGCATTCTTACTCTACTTGTTCAATATACACTCGGTAGGAGGTGTATGGAAATCTTTAAGTAGAGGCTGACATTTTACTTCACATGAAATAATTTTAAACTCTTTTCAATATCACTGATGTGTACTTTTAAGGTCAATTATTGATACCTGATACACAATTTAGTGGGGGGCACGGGTGGCCCAGTCATCTAATGCGCTACAATTCGCTGGGTAGAGTTGCGTCCCTTGGGCATGCCAGAAACCTATGAGTGTGGGTTCGAATCTGGGTTCGCCCCGATTATGTTTCTAGGTTTGTCAGCACCATACCCGTGCTCGTGGGTAAACGTCTGAGACTGGCATCACTTCGGGCTTTCCTCCCACATTATGCTGACACGCTGCGATATAACTGGAATACTGTTAAAAGTGGCGTTAAACCAAACTCACTCACAATTTAGTGAGAAGGTAAAGCAATTTTGCAGTTATTGTCCCATGGTAATACATTCTTTCAATATGTCTGTCCATACCTCATCTTTCCGTTTTCGGAAACACCCGCTCACAAGACTGGAGGTCATCTCTGGGAACCGCTGACAGATATTGTCTGTGATGAAGGCTTGACTGTCCATCAGGAACTCAGCAACATCCATGTGCTCACCTAGAAGCATGATGCAAGTCTTACTGCTATCTCTAGTTTCAGCTTGAGGCTGTTCCAAGATTATCTGTTTGGTTTTGATATTTGGCAAAAGCTCCCAGTTACACCACTTGTACAAATAATGATACCAACATCCTACTGTTCCTTTAAGGTCTTCATATAAATATCCGTCATATTAAATGAATTTCTAAAGGTACTTTTCAATAAACAGAACTTTTAATTTGATAGCAATGTCACAAATGTTTTCGAAACTCAAAACTAACTAAATAGCAGAAAAAGTGAACAATTTCTGACATAATGTATGATGCTTTTTAGCTTTTTGTAACAAACACATTATGAACAACATTCCACTGAGTCCGGGCAGGATGACAAACAATCCACCAAGTCTGACCATCTCATCCAAGATCTCAACAGAAACATACGTTGCTAGGGACCTATAGTTTGTTCTCAGCTGGGTTTATGATTAAAGATATCCCAACAGTTGGTATAATACTTCATTTGACCCTAAGAACCTAAGTCCAACTTGTTATCAAAAATCTAAATATTTAAAGAAAACTCCTGAATAGCAAAAGGTGCCAGTTCAGCACTCCCCGATGGGAATACATAGTTTCAGAACAAAGAATGCTAGAAGTACAGTTAGTGAGTTATGCTTACACATGACCTTCATAACATGTGACCTTCAGTCGTGTGAACTACAGACTCCTGAATAGAGACAGTGCCAGTTCAATGCATGCCTGAAGTTTCATGAAGAAGTACTGAATCAAAATATGAGTCAAGCTCTGGAAACAAAACCTGGTGAATGGAGACAGCCTGCTTCTTCATCCCCAACGAAACTTTGTTAATTACACAAAATAACATTCAAGATATAGGGTTTTTCGCTCCGTCAGGAAAGCCCCAGAGGGTAAACTCCTGAGAAATATTTCCACAAAACAAATCCTTCTGAAAAGTAAGACAATCAATAACACTAACAAAACCAAATCATTAACTGAGTGAACAATAGACTGTCTTGCATTTAGGTTGGATTATTGTTTTGTATAGTTTTATAAGGAAGTTGCCTACGATCTTTTTAATTGCGGGGATTTATCTAGGATTCCAAAATAAGTGCCCTTGGCAGACAAATTGGGAAAAATGCATTTTTTTAAACATATTTTTTTTAAATTCAGGGGTATTTATTGCAATCAGTGCACTAATGTTAAACTATGCATGAAAGCCTCTTCCTCTGTATTGGTCATGTTATCAATGAAATACAAGTCTCCTCTATAAAGCCCTGACATTAGTTATACCTTAAATAGATGAATGGGGAAGTGTTAAATTTCAATTTGGGAATTTTAACTGACATTTGCTGTGACTTGGGGCCTAATACTGGCCTCGCGGCAAGTCGGGATATATCCCTGCTAGGGCTGGGACGGGTAGCTCGGGTACCCGGGTCGGGTGGGTACTGAGTAGGACCCGGGTACCAACAGGACGACCCGGACCCGTGGTTGGTCATGTGATATATTGTTTAATGACAAAAATATCTAGAACTCTATGGTTACACTACAAGTCACGAATGTTCGCATTTCTTTCTGACAATGCACCCATTTCTTCTGACTTTTCACATCTTTGAATAAAGATATAACTTGAGTCAACTTCTGTGTATGCATGCCAGATTGTTTAATACATGTATCTAAATACTTTTGCCAGTGCAATGGTAAAAAAATGCCCAATCGGACATTTTGTACCTATCTCTTGAGACCTACAGTGGGTACCCGGGTAGGGTCGGGTAATAGGGGGGTGGGTACCCGGGTAGTAAATCAGGACTCGTCCCAGCCCTAATCCCTGCCTTCTTTACCTTCACAGGCTGCGAACAGTGGCACCATGTTCTCGCAGTTCTCAAACGAAGATATCAGCTGCACTGGGTTGTTGAGGTCCATTCCTGGTAGGTACCAGAACTGGACAATGGCCAGATTACCCCCCTTGCAAGCGGCATAAAACAAGCTGCTCCTGCTAACAGGGTCCTTCACATAAGCTGAAACATAAAATAATCTACACGTTGATAATTTCATCAGTATTCATTAATTCTTCAACTGAACATTCACACATCAGTGCATTTTAAAGAATCATTAACAATGAAAAACTTAAATTCTCATTACTTTTAGCTGATAGTTTGTAATTGTGTATGAGAGTGGTAAGGCAGCTGTCCTGTGATGGCTAACCACTTGACAGCCTCCATAATATTAACCTCATGTCACAAAATGACTGCCAACATGGGTGTTTACGTAGTGAAAATATAACCTAATATTAAGAAGAAAAATGATATAAGTAATTGAACAATCTTGAAGAGATTTCCTTATTTTCATGTGACGAAATACACCATACATAAAGAAAGAACTAGGAACTACAGATTATTTGTCCCTCACGAATAAATGTTAAATCCTGTTGCGATATTAAGGGGGTCCTAAATCCTTCCCCTGCCCCATCACCCCTTCCCTTGCCCCATCACCCCTTCCCCTGCCCCATCACACCCTCCCTCCCTCATCACCCCTTCCCCTGCCCCATCACACCCTCCCTCCCTCATCACCCCTTCCCCTGCCCCAACACCCCTTCCCCTCCCTCATCACCCCTTCCCCTGCCCCATCACCCCTTCCCCTGCCCCATCACACCCTCCCTCCCTCATCACCCCTTCTCCTGCCCCATCACACCCTCCCTCCCTCATCACCCCTTCCCCTGCCCCAACACCCCTTCCCCTCCCTCATCACCCCTTCCCCTGCCATATCACACCCTCCCTCCCTCATCACCCCTTCCCCTGCCCCAACACCCCTTCCCCTCCCTCATCACCCCATCCCCTGCCCCATCACCCTTCCCCTGCCCCATCACCCCTTCCCCTGCCCAACACCCCTTCCCCTCCCTCATCATCCCTTCCCCTGCCATATCACACCCTCCCTCCCTCATCACCCCTTCCCCTGCCCCAACACCCCTTCCCCTCCCTCATCACCCCTTCCCCTGCCCCATCACCCTTCCCCTGCCCCATCACCCCTTCCCCTGCCCAACACCCCTTCCCCTGCCCCATCACCCATTCCCCTGCCCCATCACAACCTCCCTCCCTCATCACCCCTTCCCTTGCCCCATCATCCCTTCCCCTGCCCCATCACACCCTCCCTCCCTCATCACCCCTTCCCCTGCCCCAACACCCCTTCCCCTCCCTCATCACCCCTTCCCCTGCCCCATCATCCTTCTCCTGCCCCATCACCTCTTCCCCTGCCCCATCACACCCTCCCTCCCTCATCACCCCTTCCCCTCCCTCATCACCCCTTCCCCTGCCCCATCACCCCTTCCCTTGCCCCATCATCCCTTCCCCTGCCCCATCACACCCTCCCTCCCTCATCCCCCCTTCCCCTGCCCCAACACCCCTTCCCCTCCCTCATCACCCCTTCTCCTGCCCCATCACCCTTCTCCTGTCCCATCACCTCTTCCCCTGCCCCATCACACCCTCCCTCCCTCATCACCCCTTCCCCTCCCTCATCACCCCTTCCCCTGCCCCATCACCCTTCCCCTGCCCTAACACCCCTTCCCCTCCCTCATCACCCTTCCCCTGCCCCATCACACCCTCCCTCCCTCATCACCCCTTCCCCTGCCCCAACACCCCTTCCCTCCCTCATCACCCCTTCCCCTGCCCCATCACACCCTCCCTCCCTCATCACCCCTTCCCCTGCCCCATCACCCTTCCCCTGCCCAACACCCCTTCCCCTGCCCCAACACCCCTTCCCCTCCCTCATCACCCCTTCCCCTGCCCCATCACCCCTTCCCCTGCCCCATCACCCTTTCCCCTGCCCCATCACACCCTCCCTCCCTCATCACCCCTTCCCCTGCCCCAACACCCCTTCCCCTGCCCAACACCCCTTCCCCTGCCCCATCACCCCTTCCCCTGCCTCATCACCCCTTCCCCTGCCCCATCACACCCTCCCTCCCTCATCACCCCTTCCCCTGCCCCATCACCCCTTCCCCTCCCTCATCACCCCTTCCCCTCCCTCATCACCCTTCCCCTGCCCCATCACCCCTTCCCCTGCCCCATCACCCCTTCCCCTGCCCCATCACATCCTCCCTCCCTCATCACCCCTTCCCCTGCCCCATCACCCCTTCCCCTGCCCCATCACCCCTTCCCCTGCCCCATCACCCCTTCCCCTCCCTCATCACCCCTTCCCCTGCCCAATCACCCCTTCACCTGCCCCATCACCCCTTCCCCCGCCCCAACACCCCTTCCCCTGCCCCATCACCCCTTCCCCTGCCCCATCACCCCTTACCCTGCCCCATCACACCCTCCCTCCCTCATCACCCCTTCCCCTGCCCCATCACCCTTCCCCTGCCCAACACCCCTTCCCCTGCCCCATCACCCCTTCCCCTGCCCCATCACCCCTTCCCCTGCCCCATTTCCCCTCTCCCCATCACCGCCTCCCCCTCTCCCATTTCCTCTTCCCCTCCCTCTCCCCATCACCCCTTCCCATCCCTATCCCCATCACCCCCTCTCCCTACCCCATCACCCCTTCCCCTGCCCCATTAGCCCTTCCCGTTACCCCCTTCCCAATCACCACTAAGCAAATACATTAATATGTAACCCTTATGAAAATCCTTGAAAGATTCATTAGATCCAGGTAAATGGTAATTCCGGGTAGCTCATACATTATTCTGTAATCAATGTGGTCATCCAAGGTGAGACAGATCAGATTCAGCCGTGTTAACACTCACATGGAAAGGTATCAGTGAGTTGGACCACTATCTCGTAGTGTCCATACAGGGACGCCAGGTAGAAAGGGGATGTCTCCTGCCATACTTCTCTGGACATGTTGACATCCTTGGAGAGGAGGAACTTGACCACCTTGACATCCCCAGCAGCGGCAGCCACTTGCAGAGGGCTCAACTGCAACATGGCAGAAACGTCTCTCCTGTGTCAATAACTCCAGGCTCCAGGCAATAACTCACTCTTAGCCCAACGACTACCTTACGCCTATATTAAAGTATGGGAGCTAATGTTCCCCCTAGCGCTAAGATCACTTTGTGGAACGGGGCCCTGGTAATATTTCCTGAGATAGCAGTAACATTACTTCAGAGAAAAATAACATTCCACTGTCATAGTTTAGACTCCAACATTAGTTTATCAGTGGTAGCGAATTATGACAGCAGGAACTAAAATAGTTATATGAAAATACTTCTTTCTCCAGCTTGATGGGAAACGGTACTCAGTTTCAAATACTGATTTTAACACATTTAATGTTGTGAAATATAGAAACTCCATGATTATTTAATGCTATGGAGGGGAGATGGTTTTAACAGGAAACCAAATCAACAAATTAACATTGTAAATTTTAGAAACACCAAGGAGCTAAAATCTCTCTTGACACACTAATTTTCCTCAGCATGAACTGAGACATTACATCTTTCATACCACATTCCTTTGATGTCCAGTCAGTGAACCAGAATTAAATGATAATGGCAATGTATTCTTGTGTGTATAAGTACAACCTTTGTGTTTGATCATAGTGAAAAAATTCAAATATATTGTGACTAATGTTCATTATCACTTAACCCTCAATCGGAACTTTCAGCTTATGTACTATATTAGAATCAACCAATACTTAATCACATTAGCTATCACCAATGAGGTTGTGTATGTTCATATCTGACAAAATTAAGATAAACATTGTGTCTTCATTTTAGAGGTTTCAAACTATTTTCAAATTTAAAGTTATTAAATGTCTATTTGAAACCTCTAAGTTAAAACTCTTGAGAGACGTCCAAATTACAGCAAAACAGATTTTGGGGGATATGCTAATGGGAAAGGTCATACTAGCTCCTAGAAAACATAACATGGTACAACTGTACACACCAAGTGAACATACACACTAAGATGTTTTCAATATGGCCACCAATCAGGTGAGAATTCTGTTAACACATTTGTTTCTGAGATCATGGGGGTTAGTTTGTGGGGACTTCACTTAAACATTTTGGCAATCTTAAGAGGAAGGAAGAGAATTTATGGATGCCAACTTCTTTATGATGAGGAACATAACGTTTCAGAGTTTGTTTGTTTGTTGTTTAACACCGCACCGCGGTCTGTAAAAAATCAAGTCTGGACAAGACAATCTAGTGATTGACATCATGAGCATCGATCCAAGCAATTGGGAAACGATGACATGCATCAACCAAGTCAGCAAGCCTGACCACCCGATCCCGTTAGTCAACAAGCATAGTCGCCTTTTACGGCAAGCCTGGGTTGCTGAAGACCTATTCTACCCCGGATCTTCACGGGTCTCATTTCGGGCTACCCCCGGTATATGCTTACTCCTTCATCACTTTCCTGTGCTAAATATGATTGGACTATCACACATATCAATAGTCCATTCAGAGAACGTTCCACAAAATTAACATTCACGACTGGTGTACCTTCGTGTGAAAGTGATTTACCGCTGGAATATGTCTTTTTCAACTTTTAAACCCCCAAATGACTGCCTATGTTTTTGTGTCAGGGATGAAATCATGAATGTTTTTGCTGACTGATCAACTTGGTCGTCGCCTATAATTGTCGCCATCTTTGTGAAGCTATGCGAGATAACAACAGTGATCTGATTGGATATCGCAATTTCATTATAAGGGGCACACCTACGTGAGCTGGCGACAGGGTCGAGCCAAGAAAAGCGACCTTAATGTGGCAAGGGTAGAAACTAGGCTTTGTTATAGGCTAGTGGACACGCTTGCCTCGGGAAGATGGGTATTTGTAAACTTCATTACATTTGGAAACCAATGAGGCAGCAGCACCTACCCCAGCCCACTCCAAGTTGACATCCACTCCAAACTCCAGCAGAATGTGCAGTACATCCAGGAAGGTGTCCTTGCACAACTCATGGAAGATGTTGGGGTGGTCCGTCAAGTAAATAACAACATCGTATGGGTTGATGCAATCAGTCAGTACGTGTAGTAACTCTTCCCTATCTCCTGTTGATGTTGCCCTTGCAAATGCATCAGAAAAATCTGAAACAACATAATCTCAACATTAGATGCAACTAACACTGCTGTTGCTGCTGCTGCTGCTGTTGCTGCTGGTCAGGTTCATTCCGAGTGATGCATTGATGTAGCTGTATGAAATTATGTCTTCTGAGGCAGGGAGCAGCTCAAAGTTTTGATGATAAAAATCTTAGTCCCTTGTAGGCAGTTAACTAGATTGTGATATGCAAGATGTCTCACCACAGTAATTAGTGAGTTTGTTCGTTTGTTTGTTTGTTTGTTTGTTTGTTTGTTTGTTTGTTTGTTCTTTATTGCACACTCTGACGGTGGTCTGTAACTAATTAACAAGACAATCTAGTGAGTGACATCGTGAGCATCGATCTACACAATTTGGATAAGATGACATGCATCATCCAATCAGCGAGTCTGACCATCTGATCCTGTTTAACAACTCTCACGTTAAGCATGGGTTGCTGAATACAAATTCTAACCCAGGTCTCTGAGGGGGAGTAACCAGTACAACAGTTTATGCATGTTCTCAGAAGGAGGAGGTGAAAGGTGAGGTGAAATGGGGTTTAACGTCACGTCCAAGATTATTACACTTATATAGCGACGTGCATGTACGTGTGTGTGTTGCTGCTTGTACTAGACCGGACTGATGCCGATTTATAGTGTTGGCTCACTGAGATACCATGCCGCAGTTTAACATGAATACCCCACTCAGACACAGTATACTGACTCCGAGCCGACCAGTCCTTGTTTTAACCCCTTAATGCCGAGCGCCAGACAGGGTAACAACAAGTACCATCTTTTAACGTCTTTTGGTATGATGCGGCCGGGGATCGAACTCCAGACCTTCCGCTCTCCGGGCGGAAGCTCTACCACGAGACCACGGAGGAGGTCCTCAGAAGGAGGAGAAAGTATCAATACAAGTACCAACTGTAACAACTTCTTGTGGTCATTATCAGTTACAGTTTACACTGTGCCATCTGGTTACTTTGAAGATTCATTTTGACATAAACCTAGAGTATTTTCAATTTGGAGGTTTCTAGATTTCACAACTTCTGCAGTAAAATCGAGCATGCTCTTTCTCTAAAGATGTCAAACAGGGTAATAGGACTATTGCTCAAAAGTTGTTTGATCAGGGGTACAACATTCAAGGCTTAGCTTTCAAAACATTTTATGGTAGGCACGAGGACATTTCAAGTTTAATGTATCAGTGACAAAAATGATGTCTGATGCAATTCCCTATTTGGACTTGTACCATGTATTCCCTTGTTTTTTGTCAGGTAAGCGATTGACTTGACTTTGCATGTGTTTGTGATGGGTGCCATCGTTGGGTTAGAATATGCTCACCTTTTAGTGAAAACCTGGTATAATCACCATTTGATAGTTATTCATAAACACATGCTTATGACATCTTACAGAAGAGATTTCTTATGATTATGGAAAGGGCTTCTATTGCTTTTTTTGATACAACATAACAAATAAATTCATGTTTCTACCCAGGTGGTCAATTTTGATTCTACCATCAATTTGGATTGGTCAATCTAATGTGTATAATAACAATAACCACCTCCAATTGTAACCATGGTAACAGCTGTAACGACCACATCACTCTGAAAGAGGATATGTAAAGACAAGTACTCCTTGCTCCGTCATTGTTGGTATTGTGAATCATGATAAGACAATTATAGATTCAGCTACTTAAGTTTCTACCCAGAAGTAAATCTTGACGAGCCAAAACAAGTTCCGGGATGACCCCACCCAACTCTAAAAGATGTCCTCCACATCCTCCACGTCCTCCACATCCTCCAGCCGGCTAAACAAGGACATTTGGATTGATCAATAGAGTGAGTGAGTGAGTTGGGTTTAACGCCAATTTTAACAGTATTCCAGCATGTCAGCTTAATGTCGGAGGAAAGCCCGAAGTGATACAGGTCTCAGACGTTTACTTCTTCAGTGAAACCCACGGGTATGGTGCTGGCAAACCTATAAACTTAATTGGGGCGAACCGGGATTCAAACCCACAATCATAGGTTTCTGGCGTGCCAAAGGGACACAACTCTGCACAGCGAATAGCAGCGCCTTAGACGACTGGGCCACCCATGCCCCCTTGATCAATAGAGAACAGATAACATGTTATCATGGAGAACAGACAGAATATTCAACATCCTGTGCATACACAGTGGAATATTCCATGCAATTTTCAAAAAAGAAAAACATTAAAAATGGTTTGAGTAAGTATTAGTTAAATATTTCGGTTCTCACGAAATGTCAGTCAGTGACGGCAAGTATCCGAACAGAACAGAACTTATACTCCATATTAACACACAGCATTTTCAGCATAACAGAGAATCATGTATGATTTTGATGGCCACTATTTCACATTTGTTACAGTTATTCGACTCAAATTAGAAAGTTTCTTCAAATGTCTATGATATTGTGAAAAAGGAGATATTGGATACAGACATGTTTTTTCTGAGATATGCATATATGTATGCATTCCTAATGTTAAATTAGTCACATTGAAAATCACCAAATATATCACTTACTTGATAACGGTATTAGAACCTACACCGAAACGTCGCTCCTAATTGTAAAGTTGTTCATCCATAAATCTTATCCTGACTTAGTACTCCAACTTCTAAATGCCTCTCAAAGAAGTTAGAAATACAATTTTGATTACGATTACTCGATGTACAGAATCATTTATCAGTAGGAATATTATTCCATTATTATCAACTGGTAGTCGATGACACAAATATATGTACACTGCACTCAGCTAGAGTTACCTCCCTGTGTAGGTGCTCATGCGAGCTCCTTCCCTGGGCGTGACACCTTCGTTACCATGGTTACAGTCTCGGTAACATCGCTATTGTCATTGTGGGGGCAGCCATTACAAGAATCTTGAAATTTGCCCTCTAACCACAATATGTAGCAACGTTTATACTTCAGTTTATGTCAATGTTCGTGCAAGGTCGTTCTGACGTGACCCCTAATGGGATGTCCTCAGATCTTTGTTTAGCGGAAGCGAGAACTGGGATCTGATTTTAATGAGATTGATGTCTTTGGGAATGGGTTTACGAATGACCAGATTTCAGAGATCAATTTACCATTTCGTTTGTTTGATCAGATTGGATCGAGATTGCAAACAAATGGAAAATCAATCAAGTTCCATCATACATTCTTACTATACCAATTACATGATAGTTGTAATGAAATAGAAATTCAAATTGACAAACAAAGAAATAATTCAGCAGGGGTGATGACTGATTAAATGATAAAAGATAACAAACAAATAGACCATACAGATCTTAGATTAATAAATAAGACCAAATTTAGATGACATCCTTTTCACCTCTGTCATGGTTATCCGTCAAATATGACAAATTTAGTAATGCCCAGACACTCCGTCTGAAAATAGTCATGTGTGCAGGAAGACATAGCACTTAAGGTTTCACAATGACATTTCTAATCTTACTTCCTTGAGAATTAAGAACTGTTTGCATCTTTCAGCCTACTTCAGCATCCTTCCTCCCTTCCGTCCCTCCATTTCACAGGTTTCATATGATCAATCTCCAATGGGCCAAACATTTTGATAATCATTTTCACTCAATCACAAAATCCTGATAGATATTTAGCATTATGGATGTGACATTAAATTTACACAAATCACAAGGAAAAAATATCATTAATGTTGAGAAAGACCAAAGATAATGAAGAAATATATGACCAGTGAACAGAAGTATTGATAACACAGTTGAAACAAAAGGACACAAAATCCATGACAGGAATGGTGTCTTCCCAATGTGCACACAGTCCCCTGTCAATCTCACACAATAGGATCATGTCGAGGTTCCCCTGTCAATCTCACACAATAGGATCATGTCGAGGTTCTCCTGTCACTCTCACACAATAGGATCATGTCGAGGTTCTCCTGTCAATCTCACACAATAGGATGATGTCGAGGTTTTTGTGAAAACCTGGTATAATCACCATTTGATAGTTATTCATAAACACATGCTTATGACATCTTACAGAAGAGATTTCTTATGATTATGGAAAAGGGCTTAGTTGCTTTTTTTAATACAACATAACAAATAAATTCATGTTTCTACACAGGTGGTCAATTTTGGTTCTACCATCAATTTGGATTGGTCAATCTGATGTGTATAATAACAATAACCACCTCCAATTGTAACCATGGTAACAGCTGTAATGACCACATCACTCTGAAAGAGGATATGTTAAGACAAGTACTCCTTGCTCCGTCATTGTTGGTATTGTGAAATCATGATAAGACAATTATAGATTCAGGTACTTAAGTTTCAACCCAGAAGTAAATCTTGACGAGCCAAAACAAGTTCCGGTATGACCCCTCCCAACTCTAAAAGATGTCATCCACGTCCTCCACATCCTCCAGCCGGCTAAACAAGGACATTTGGATTGATCAATAGAGTGAGTGAGTGAGTTGGGTTTAACGCCGATTTTAACAGTATTCCAGTTATACCGCGGCATGTCAGCTTAATGTCGGAGGAAAGCCCGAAGTGATACAGGTCTCAGACGTTTACTACTTCAGTGAAACACACGGGTATGGTGCTGACAAACCTATAAACTTAATTGGGGCGAACCGGGATTCAAACCCACAATCATAGGTTTCTGGCGTGCCAAAGGGACACAACTCTGCACAGCGAATTGCGGCGCCTTAGACGACTGGGCCACCCATGCCCCCTTGATCAATAGAGAACAGATAACATGTTATTATGGAGAACAGACAGAATATTCAACATCCTGTGCATACACAGTGGAATATTCCATGCAATTTTCAACAAGTATTTGTCACAGAGTGACGAAATATCCCCCGCCATATACACCATAGTACCAAATATGAAGACAATCCAGCGATTAGTTCTTGAGATATTGTGGCAACACCGTTTTCCAACTCCAAAAACAGATTTGCCTGCTGTGACCTTGAAAATGGGGTCAAGGTCACCAAATCTGACAGGTGTATGCGGTGTCTGTAT